AGGCGGGAAATTAAAATCGCGTTTTTCTTCTAAAGTTGTCACATCTTTAATTGTTTTGAGTACACCATTCGATTCGCAAAGAAAAACTATATAAGATACTGCTTTTACCTGAAACCCCATTTTTTACTGCCCCTATGCCTTTAACCATGTGACGCTGTTTGGAAGGAATCTGCCCGCGCCACCAACCACTGCATGGCAGCTAGGAGCGTGGTGCAGTGGCTAGCGTGTCAGCCTGCGGAGCTCCTAGCTGCCATGCAGTGGTTGGTGGCGCGGGCAGATTCCTTCCAAACAGCGTCACATGGTTAAGGATAAAACCTTTGAAAAATCATATCTCCAAAACAAAAGGTTTGTGCAGGTAGCGACTATGGGGGATCGATTCCCAGTCCATCGAAGATTGTTTGAGCAAATTAAAAGAAAATTCTGAACCCTACGCTGAAATGACCTCCCATGTTAGTGTGAAAAGTATCATTCCAGTAAAGCTCTGTATCTTTAGAGCACACTTTCCACGCCAAAAAAGCTCTTTCTTGAACTTGAAATTTTTGTAGTGCGGAAAGTATGCTTCCAGTATATATATTTATCCTTACAGCTCAACTTTCCAAACCAAAAACGCTCAATTTTTCGTTTTTCTCATCTTAGTTTTGTTTCTATCAAAGCTTCTTGAACTGAAAAAGGAACACGGAGAAGATTTCTGCGGCAAATCGACCTTGAACACATCAATCACCGTCCAGCGGTGCATATCAATACGGTGCTACCCGGTTCTTCTTCTGATACCTCTTATCTTTACATTCAATCTTCAAAAACAAAATGTCGAAATCTTGGGTTTTCAATAAGCGATTAAAAATTGAAAAGTGCAGAAAAGGGACTGTCTTTTTTTCGGATTTAGAAAGTTTTTGACAGCTGGGAAGGGGTCAAACTTCAAAACAGCCTCTACCTACTGGTTACCCTATAAGGAAAGTAATTAGACTGCAAGCTCTGGAATTTCTCAAAGTCGACCGAAAGAATATTCAATGTTATCAAAATTACTCAAAAAAATGTATAGCTTTTTAGGAAAATAAAGTTTAATATTTTTTCCCAAAAAGTCTTGCTTTGAAAAACTGAAACTTTCAGGATTTCGATTTAGTACATTAAAGGTGGTTTCAATCGCTTTTCAGAATTTTTGAATTTATCTTTTTTTCAAAACGCACTTCAAAAAGAGCAAAAAGCTTCTACATGACATTCAAAAAATTAGTAACTCCTCGGATTAAGAAACTTCGGAAATAATAAACAATAAAGGAACTTTCTATCAAATACTACCGATAACCGAACGATTACTGTCAAAAACAAAGGGCACAGTTGATTAATGAGAGTACATGCAGTTCGGCGCCAGTAATCCATCATTATCTTGCTGTAGAGTCCATGAGAAAAATCAGGGTTTGAAAAAGAAGATGATGGTTTCAAGGGGACCTTTTTGAGTTTTAAAATGAAATAAAACTTCGAAAAGAATCGAAAAACCCACAAAAGGAGTTTTTTTTCGCGTCGAAAGCATTCCACCTAATTCTCAAAAATTTCACTCAAGCCTTTTTGAAAAAATTTCAAAAAGAGTGAAAAAAGGGACTGAAATACAGAAAAAGATATCTACAGAAAAAGTTGTATTTTTTTCAAATGTACCGTCTTATAAATTTCTAGGAATGGAAAAAAAGCTGTGCAAATTTATTAACTTTCTCCGATTTTAACTCCTCGAGCCTTTTTTGAAGTTTTTTTCCAGGAAAATTAGGACAAATAAAAGTTTTATATTCGAGATTTTTGCAAAAAATTGCACTTTTTCAATTTTACCGTTTCGAAAAGTTCTAGGAGAATGCTGGAAAAGCTTTCACGTTTTCTAGTCTCACCGATTTAAAGTTTTCGAGCCTTTTTGATGTTGTATTGAGGAAAAAGTTAGGACAAAGAACGATATTATCATCATTTATTATTATAATGAACACTATTCTGGATTTCCGAGAGTTTTTTTCACTCAAATTCTACTCTTTCAGGGTTAGGAGACGTGCTGAAAACGTGACGAAATCCATAAACCGCGAACGGTCGTTTCACGGCCCTTCCGGCAAGGTCAAACAAATTTCACACGTATTTACAATATCACCGTTCTCATATCACCTGGCCGAATTATTTCAGACGATATGATTCTTTTGTTTGGGATTTCCAATGTGAGGGGGTTGAAGAAGGCTTTAGCCTTCAAAAAAATATGTGGGCGCAGTGGAGGTTCTTTAAAAAGGAAAGGCAGATAAAATTATGAGAAGATTATTTTTTTATTTTTTTCTTCGAACTCTGAAGCTAGTTAAGGGGATTGAAGAAGTCTGAAGTGTTGAAAAAATAAGTGAGGATAGCGGGGGTTCTTCAAAAGTGAAAAAAAAAATGGAGATTCTGGAAATTTTGAAGGAAGTGAATGGAATCGAAGTAGTCTTCATAGATAACTACAGTACAAAAAAACTTGGGTTTTTTAAAGAAACAGGAAAAAGTTTTGAATATTTGCTATGCGCCTTTCATATCTCCAGCAAGCCGTTTTTTTAATCAAGAATTAAAATTTTTTTCTAATTTCAGTCCGCTTTCCTCTTCTATCCCTTTACATTATTTGATGACGAAGCGCCAAAAAAACTCACAAAGAAGTCATTTGTCCCGCGTCGCCTCGAAATGACTTCTTTATGCAAGCAATTGACGTTGAACGTGTTCTGAAATATACTTTTTGTTTCCATTTATTCGCCCTGCTTTCTTTCATTCCTTTATTTCAAAGTGAACGTGTTGGTCGATTTTGGAATGGATCGTAGCATCGCGGTCGCGTTGCGGTCGCCTAAACTCGAAATCGTGAGTTTTATTTAAACTTATAATAAATGATTTCATACGACTTCTTATGGTTAGATTTTAAAATTCTTCAACTTTTTTTCAAAATGAAATTTTCCTGAAGAGCCTTTTGCATCGAGAAATTCCATTCTTCTTTTTTCGACGAAATTTGCAAAGAAAGAAAAAAAAAGAGTCTAAAATTGTCTCTTTCCGTCGTCGGCCACCTTGAACTGATGTCGTCACAATCATTCTCCCCCCACCAAGATCAAAGTTTTTCTCTTTTTATCAGATGATCTCAGTAGTTTTTATAGAGATGTAAAAAGAAGGTGTTTTTGCGAAAACACCACGCAATTTACGAGCCATCAAACGATAAAAAAAGTCATGTTGGTGTGAAAAAAAAAACTAGAATTAGAAAGAAATAAAAATTTTTTGATGGTTCCATTGGTTTCTAGGAAGAAAATAATTCTCCGAATTTATGATCAGATGCTAATTTTTTTTTTATTTGCAGCGCTTTCAGCCTTATCAAGTTCGAGTGACGATACATTTTCAGGGAAAAAAACCCTCTTTTCAAATATCATAAATTTCGACGATTTTTTTGGTAGCCAAAACGGTTTGGGGGGGGTTTAGAAGCTAACATTTAATTTAAAAAAATATTCACTTCTGACAGTATACATAATCGATGCCGCTCTACTGCATCTAATAGTCTTGAAAAGGGTTTCTTCCACGATTTTCCCATAACTTCGCCTCAAATACTTTGAAAAACCTATGCACCCTTGCGAGGACTTTCGAACAGATCTTTTCTCGCCTTTTTTTTCAGTTCCGATTTCCGAAAAGGGATTACAAACTCATCGAGCCGTAACTAAACATGCCGTTGACCTTCAAACTCGATAATAAAAGTCCCAAAAAACGAGAATTGTCCAAGATTGTGCCCATAAAAGGCTCGGCCGATGTGACGATGTCGTGGACATCGGGGTCGTCTTCATCGTCGTCGTCGCCTTTTTTTTTGGCCTCACACACATCTTTAGCTCCGCCCCTCCTCCTCCTCCTTTTTATTTGGCCTCTGTTTTTCCAACTTGTTCTTCTTTGTGTTCTGGCCGAGGCCTAGACGTTTCCTGGTGCTATTTAAATATCGGACTTAAGTTGGTTCTTTACTTTCCTTTAATTACCACGTCTCGCTTTCTCTATTTGAATCAGTCCAAGAATTTTTTTTGCCCCAGCAACAAAGTCACTTCAAATTAGTCTCAAATAGGGGGCCGCGATACTGCTGAAAAACTGAACTCGCGAAATCGCAAATCTTGTTCATATGATGGTCGAGTTCTCTTTAAAAATACATTCAATACATAAAAACATTCTTTTCCTTTTGACACATTAATTCAATTCCTTTGAACTGGCCCTTCTGAAAAAAAATGTACTTTGGCTCATGTTGCATTTCTCCTTTCATTCTTTCTTTTCCGATCTTGAAGAGAAATAAAAAATGGCATCAAAGAGAAACTGGTCCGTATAAAATGATAACTTTTTCATTTTTATTCTTAAATTTCCGTTTTTTTAAAACTTATTCTTTGAGGCTAGAGACTCTTAAAAACCAGCAAAATCGACTTTATCCTACGATAAAAACCTCTGCCTAGGACTAGCTTCATTATCAAAGAAAAAAAAACAGCTTCATCCCATCACATCAATTAGAAAACTTCAAGCTGTCGTGCAAATGGTCAAGCACCCGATCGGACATGTTTGCTTCGTTGTTGTAATCGACCCATGTCCTTCTTCTTTTTGTCTGACTCTCTTTTTCGCTTGTCAGAAAAATCAGCAGATGTTCAGACTCTCTCTCTTTCAAACACATGTTTTTCGCTTCTCATTGCTTTCAACTTTTAAAGTTTCCTTTTTTATCAGCTGTTTTTGTCAATACGCCCAGTTTCTCTTCCTTGATTTGAACTTTTCTATTTTTGTACCATTCCACTGAGTCATAGTCTCTTCGAAAATTATCACTTGGGTGCTTAAAGGAGTGTAGATACGTTTCATGAGGTTTTCGAAGCAAAAAGAAAACTCCCAACTCTTTAAAAATATTATAATTTTTTTCCAGATCTGAACCTTTTTTTAAACACTAGGACTATTGGATTTCTTTTTTTCGCTTACTTAAAAATATTTTTTTCTATCATTTAGAACTTTTCCCTAACTGTAATTTTGTTATAGATATGCTGCGGGCGGCTCTGTCCATTCTTGGTGTGATTTACCTTGCCTCAACGGCCGTCCAGGCGCAAAAAGCCAACCGGACACTTATTTTCGCCAATGTTGTGAGTTTTGCCTCTCAAAAAAAACCAAAAAAGCTGGTTTTTTTTTTCAGCTTTTCCGCCACGGTGCACGCGCCCCATCGGCTCAATTCACAAACGCCTCTTATGCGGAAAAATTTCCTCGCGGGCTCGGCGAGCTCAGTGACGTGAGCCCAATGATCAAAAATTGAGCCGTTTGCCTTTTTTTCTAGCAAGGAATCGAAAACTCGTACAAGTTGGGAAGATTTTTGGGAGTTCGGTATGTCGACAGCGGATTCCTCAATAAGAAGCTCATTTGCAAGGAGGTTTGGATTTAATTTATTGCGCTAAAAAGAGTAAAAAGTTCTAGCTTTTTATTTTTGATAAATTTCTTATCGTTTCTGACGTTTTTAAACACATTTTACCCCTGAAAAATCTGGTCGAAATACAAAACGAGATCAGTAATAAACAGTAAAACGATTCAATGGTACCATATCGAGATTGGTTGACTTTTCAAAAATCTATTTTTTCTCAGACCTCCTCTTTAAAGGACTTATGAAACAGTTTTTTTGATCCTAGATGTACTTCCGATCGGTAAAACTATCGAGATGCCTGATGACAGCGGCGATTGTCGGCTCGGCAATGTTTGAAGGACACGGAAAAAACCTTCATGTTCCTGTTCTCACGGAAGAAACTAACGAAAACGTGAGTTTAACTATTGTCTGCTTTTTTTTTTTGATTCTTTGGTCTAACCGAAAAAAAAAAATTGTTGCGATTTTTCTGCCCACGTGACTATGTTAGAAATGAGGTCACACCAAAAACGGACGTGAAGACGTCTGACTATGACCAAATCGTGAAAACGTGAAAACACGTGTGACCATCTTGATGTCATGCTTCTTTATAGAGAAGTAAAAAAAATCGGGTTTGAGATGAATTGAGAAAAACGCCACAACAGTGATTTTGTGCATACATGGGCGATTATCGAAGGAAGTCAGTCCGCGAGGCTTACATTTAAGAAATTTTCTAGAACGGAGAGGGGTCGGCGGACCTCGAATCGGGTCTGCCCATTTGTGATTTTGTGGTAGAGTTGCTATATTTGTAAAACGATGCAGTACTCAATTTTTCGGAATTAAATAGCGTTTTGCTATAAAAATACACATATATGTACTTCTTACACTGCTTGACAGACAATGAAAAGCTCAGGATATTTTCAATCAAATTCCATTCAATCTTCATACACCTTCAACTTGAAAAAAGAGAAGTTTCAGTTGCTCAACTACGACATGCACAGTTGTGTCCGAGAGAAGGAGCTTCTCCAGGAGATTTGCCCCACTTACAACAGCTTCGATGAGCACAAAAGTGTAAGTTTGTATTTTACTTTACTACGAATTGAATAGCTGTCAGAAAACATTCTTTTTCGGAAATTTTTGGACAAAATCGTTGAGTTTTTTTTTTCAGTGGCCTCTGTTCGAAGACTTTGTGTACAACTGCCTGAACATCAGCAACCCAATCTTTGATAAATATCCGTTCAAAACCATCGAAGCCTACATTAATCAGGTAACATAATAATGATGTTCTTTCAACTAAAGAGGGGTTTAAAAAGTCTTTTTGAGTCCGCTATGAATTGTGAGCAAAAAAGGTCGAAAAGCTTCATAATTTCTCAAAAAAGGTAACACTTTTCCAGTTCCTCTGAACCAAAATCAGATGCTCTTGTGAATTGAGCCTTTTAAAAAACGGCTTGTAAAGCTTCATAATCCCTCGAAAAACCTTTCAGCATTTTCTAGGCCGAAATTATGCAATAGAACAGTCTTTTTAGTTTTTTCTAATGAGACATTTCCATTATCTTCCGAGTTTTCAAAAAATGAGTTTCAGTTCAAAAACGGCATCGCACTGCCAAAAGTTCTTGCCGATAATTACGATACCGTGATGAAGACTTACACACAGGTAATCACACATTGTTGTTTTCCCCACAGAATCCGAAATTCCAGGTTGGCCACTTCATAACCGGAACCGGCATGTACCACGATCCTAGGAAAATGAGAATGAAGGTAGCTTGAAATTATCCAAAAAAATAATGCTGCTTTTTTTCTAGTTCGGCAACCTCATGATGGCCTTGATGAAGAATGTCAAGTGAGTTGAATTCTCTAAGATTCCAACTAATAGTAGAGTTTTCTAGAAACCGCTGGAGCTGCTATAAAAACGGCAAGAACTGCGCACACAAGCTCCGACGATTTGTCGCCTATTCGACGGTAAAACATGACAAAGATTTCAAATATCGCTTTATTTTAAGCAAGACTGGATTCTCAGCGGCGTTATGGAATCGTTGGGAGTTCTGAACTCAACTGTCACCTATACCAAGTACCCGGAATACAACTCGATGATTATCATCGAAATGTATGACAATGGTGGGAAACCGGAGATCAAGGTGAAATATTCCCAAAAAAAAAAATAGGAATTTTTGGTTCAGATGTTCTACAAGAAAGATGAGGTGATAACAGCGGAGAATGAGATGCTGGACGTGACCAAATTGATCCGAAACTGCCCGAAAGATCAAGATTACTGCCCTCTAGAGGTAATTTCGAATTATACGTAATTGATTTGAAAAGACTGTTTCCGGAATTCTATGAGCTGAAATATTTTTCTAGATTACATATCTTCATGAATTCCAGAAGTTTGTGAGCTGCTGCGACGACTACCTAGAATACGTTCCCGGCGCTTCGTGCCTCGGCCAGAATTCGGACGTCCTAGAAGAAGGCAACTCTCTCAAAAGGAAACGCCGAACCAAGCGCTACGCTGGCTACGAATAACCTATACCTTAACTTTTTTTGTAGAATTTATCCATTCCGGGTGTCAAATCAACGATGATTGCTACGTGTCTCTGTGTAAATTTTTCCAATTTCCCATTTTTTTCACTTTAATAAACTTCTTGAACTTGTTTTTACAGAATGAATAAAGACTGATGGAAAGATCAACAAGAAGGCGAAACCATTGAAAATAGAATGATACGGGAATCTCAAAGTTTTGAGCATAAAAAAGTTGAAAATGATTGAAAAATGATCTTGCTGCTGTCTTTTCTAATCACAAAAACTAATCTGCTGTGCTTGAAATATGAGATAGTTTAAATTAATCCGAAACGTGATCTGAACTAGGTCATTTTGAGACACTGCCAAGAAGGCGACTCCTTCGTAAGTTTTTTCCCTTCTTTAATGAAAAATTGGTTTCTCTAAACTATTGTGTTACCTTAAATTTTGAAATAACTAGACTAAAGGCCTCAAAAAGTCAGAAAACACAGAAAATTGCTTCAGAAATGGAGAAGAACTTATCAAAAGCTTCCGTCATCTCAGAAGCTTCTGGCTCTGGACCGCCACCAGCAGTCCCCGCAAATTACAGAAGTCCAAGTAGATTCAAGTCTGTTCATTTTCGGTTGGTTTTTTGATGTCGGCTTTGGAAAACTATGGTAAAGTCTTTAAAAACGCAAAGGCTGCACGGGAAATGACTCCAAGCGTAAGAATTCGAGAACCGGCAAGAGTTCGGGTCGGAAAAAAAATTTCACTTGGAAAAATTCAAGCCATAACTTATTGGGAAGACGCTGTGTCAACTCGTTTGCTCAAGCGACGAAATGGCTCAATCCGTTCCTCCAGGCGACCATCAGACCCGATACCAAGATCGTCTATAATGCCCTGTACGACGACAATCACACATATGAAATCAAGGTGGTCACCTCTTCGGTCCGCCTCATTGGCTACGGAATCAAGACGACGAATAAGAAGCTCCTTGGCGTCAACCCGACCCCAAGGAGGCTGTCCTACTCTTCTCTTGCGACGCGTTTGCTTACGGACAGGAGGACAAGAATAATGACCGTATCACGATCGAGTGGACCAACACGCTCGAAAGCTGTCGCCATGAAGTTCCGCCGTGAATATTTCCAAGGCGGCGGAGAAGAACCTGACCATCGCGTACAACCCTTGAGGGACGACTTGACGAGGATTACGACACAAAATGCTTTTTTTTGTGTAAAAAAATAAAAAAGGGGTTTCAAGCGAAAAAAAAAAAAATCAAGATGATTCAGAACAAATTTTAGACAAAAATAAGTCCAAAAACTTGTCGCACAAAAAAAATATTGCACGTCGAGAAATAAGTTTCAGATTGGCCCTATTGCTATTTTGTCTCTGTCTCTGTGTGGGCTTCTCCATATTAGGAGTAATCTACTATCTTTCTCTGCGCAGTGATGTCATAAATGCGGACGAAAAGCCATACGAGTTTGAAGGTCCGGGAAAACTGATTTTCTCCGCTGTGGTAAATTCGAAGAGTTTTCTTTTTCAAAATCGTTCTAGCTCTTCCGCCACGGAGCCCGCGCCCCATCAGACGGTTTCACCAAACCAGAATACGCCACGTATTTTCCGCGTGGTTTGGGGGAGCTCAGTGATGTTAGATTCGCAGTTGTTTCGAAAAAGTTTACTAAATTCAGCAAGGGATTCAAAACTCCTACAAGCTGGGCAGGATCCTGGGGGAACGATATGTGGGATCAGGCTTCCTCGACAAAAAACTAATGCCCAAAGAGGTGAAATCGGAAAAATTCCTGTGATGAGAAATCAAAGGCCCAAAGTGACGTCAGAGAACGAGAATCATTCTAGTTCTCTAGCAGAGTTGTTCGAGATTGCCTCATTTTTTCGATATAGGTCTTCGAAAACTTCTCGACTTGTCTCTATCTCGAAAAAGCCCATCTCGAGAAACCCTGTTCTCTAGCGCCTTTTCGGGCTGAAGTTGATCCCTCCCGTCGGAATTTCGCTTACTCTCGATTAAATATTGATTTTATATGTACTTTCGTTCTTCCAACATCCGGAGGTGCCTGATGACTGGCGCTATAGTTGGAGCGGCCATGTTCGAGCCTCACGGCAAGAGTCTACAAGTTCCGATCTTTAGTGAAGAAACTGGTGAAACTGTTCGTTTTGAGAAAGATTTTGGGGACTTTTCTGCTGAGGATTCCGAAACATATCATTTTCAGCTCCTCAACTACGACGCCAGGATGTGCCTGCGTGAGACGGAGATCATCCGAGAAACTTGTCCAGGTTTTCCAGGGATTTCTACTTATAAACATGTAAGCAATATTACTTTGAAAGTAAAAACGCAAGAAAAAAAAAAACGTTTAAGTGGTCCGATTATGAAAACTTCGTCTACAATTGCTTGAACTATAGCAGTCCGCTCTTTAAAGAGGTTCCCTTCAAAAACATGGAAGCAACTATAAATCAGGTTTTCTAATTAGAGCAAAATATCAGCTAAAAAAATTTCAGTATCGAAACGGTATCGATTTACCAGAATCTCTTAAAGAAAAATTCGAAGAAGCAATGAAAATCTATACCGACGTTTGCTCCATTTCAAACTTCAAAATCAACTTTTCTTTAGGTGACCAACTTTATCATTGGAGCAGGAACACGTCCAAACGATCGACTCAATAAAATCAAGTTTGGAAACTTGCTTAAAGCTTTCCAGGGCCACATGAAGTTCAAATTTTAAATATTTCGAATGAAGGCCAGTTTTTTTCCAGAAACGCTTGGAATTGTCATAAAAAGGTTCAACCGTGCGAAAACCCGAAGCTGAAGTTTGTAGCCTACTCTTCCGTATGTGTTTTATGGGTTCGAATGAGAATTTTGACAAATATTTCAGCAAGACTGGCTTTTGGCTGGTCTTCTTCAAATTTTTGGAGCCTTGGACGCGGCTCTCGGGGTTACTGTGATGCCCGAGTATAATTCGATGGTTCTGGTCGAACTTTTCGACGTGGATGGTAGTCCAGGTGTCAAAGTGAGTCCGTGAATTTTTGAAAGCCTTTGAATCTACTTAGGTGCTCGCGAAAACGGAGTGAAGTGATCAAAGAGCAAACGGAATTGATTGACGTCACGAAAAGCGTCAAAAATTGCCCAAAAGATCAGGATTACTGTCCTCTTACGGTAGGTGTTCGAAATACAAATAGATGGTTAAACTTCGAGAATTTGGAAGCGACAAACAATCCAAGCCTCTTGAAATAAAAACTAGATAATCGTATCTTGAATGATCATTAAACGGCTCAGAATAGTCCAGAAGGCGTGAAAAGACCTTCAATTAAAAAAAAAATAGATTTTGTGGACCAACAAAGATAAGTTTTCTGAAATTTCATCCATTCCGCGGGAATTGGAGCTATTTCAAATGCCACCAAAAAAAAATCATTTCACCTTATCTTTTTTAGAATTTCCTGAGCTGTTGCGACAACTACTTGGAAAAAGTCCCTGGCGAGTCTTGCCGACCTTTGAGCAATCTTACGACAAAAAGTTCCTTCCCCTGGGGACCCAGGCGCTACGCTGGCTTCGATTAACCGTTCGCCAAATAAAGAGCCCATTCTTCTATAACTTTCATCTGAACTTAATTTTTGTACAAACTCCAAAGAATTTGACAAACTTTCCTTCCATTACTCTGAAAAATTCAAGAAATCCACGTATTTTCCTCTTTCAAAACTCAAAAGTGAATACAAAAAAGGCAGGTACAATTGAAACTGGATGAAAAAAAAAATTAATTACCAGCATGGGAAATTCGATCGAATCAACATTTTAAATTATGCAAGCCGGTAAGTTTGTCCGACTTTTTTCGTCTCAAGGGGCTAATTTTTCTCCATTCCCTTTTAAATCAGGCTCTCTTTTTAATTTTTTTAACACATAAAAAAATAATAATAGATATTTAAAAAGAACCTTAAAGCCTCAACGCAGTTCCCTCCGATCTTGGAGACCAGCGACCAACGGAAGGATCTGCCTTTCCAGGTCCATTTCGTTCCTTAAAAGACTATTGTTTTGATATAAAATTTTTCCAGCTTTTCATTTTTTTGACTACACTTTGAAGGAACAGAAGGTTTCTCGGATTTGAAAAAGTTATTGAAAAAAATTTTTTTCGCCAAAAAAATTCGTTATAATGATCAATAATTCTAAGTATATTATTATTGGGTTGAAAGTTCCCCTAAGTAAGAACAATGATTGAAAATCAAAACTAAGCGCAAAAATATATTCTGTACACTTCGAAACGCAAAACAAAAATCTTCAAAGTTTTTGATCTGTGGTCCCTGAAGCGGTCACTTACAACCTTTACATATTCAAAAATGTAATCAGATGTGATTTGAAGGATGATGTATGATAAAAAGTGCTTGAGAAACCTGAAAAAAAACACTTCTCCTGCTAAAAACTGAAGAGATAAAGTACTTTTGCGAATTTCACTATTTTTCAATCAATTTTTACCATTTTTCCTTGATTTTCATTATTTCTCTGATCATAACTTAATTATTTTACATGCTTTCCTGCTCTTAGACTGAAAACCGCAAAAATTTGCTCGTTTTACATCAGAAAATTTCATTCAGTTTCTTTTTTTGTACTTCCTCGGACATTGGTAACGCGAAACGGACGTGCTCCGGACGTTTCTGGGCGATTCAAGGGATCACTTAAGAGCGTTAAGGCTACTAAAGTGGTCACTAGAAATGCACCGACACGTCCGTTTCGCATCCCGTTCGCGTTACCAAGGTCCGAGTCTTGATAGTTATTTCAAAGAGCTATTCCACGTGCACCTTTCAAGGCGATTTTTTTAATTTTCTTTATTTTTCGCCTTTACTTTTCCTATCGGCAAAAATAACTTAGAGAAAGTGCAAAAAATAAAAAAAATAATCAGCTTCGAATTCAAAATTTTTTGCTCTTCCTCTCCAAAATTTACAAATTTATGGCAGAGAAAAATTGAAAAATTCAGCGCGAAAGACTAAAATAGGCTAGTAAAATCAACAACGAATTGAAAAAATTGCTCTTATGGGATGTTCTCGTTGTTGTTGGGATGATTCCAGGTGCAGTTGTACTTTTTGGATGATGGACAGTACTTGGGGCTACTGTAGTTGCCGGTGGAATGGGCGGAGCCGTTTCAGAGAGGTCAAAAGAGACGGAACCTGAAATTTTTTGTAATTATTTAGCAATAAATGTTTCAACGCACCATTTTCAACCAAAAACGTGTAGGAGGTGTCTTCATAGTTGACTGGAGCCACTGGTACTTGATTGGCTCTAAAATTCTTGTTGCTTGATTGGATTAACTGACATATAAGTGGCTACAAGAGTTCCATTGACGGTTCCATCATCCAGAACTTCGGCGATATTTTTTTGTAGATTTTTAGAGAGCCGCCATTCTGAACAGCATATTTTTCAAATTTTAGGATTACCGAACTCTTTTATTTAAAAATTGTTACGGTTCGATTATTTATAACTGCGATCAGAAGCAATAAAAAAACTAACCAAAAACGACGTTGGAGATCACTCCCTTGACGAGTGTGGTTACACGCAAAAAGACGTAAATTTGCCGACTATCCGATTTTATTTGATAATTTTTCGCCTCCCACGCTTTTGTATTGTACCGACTCCAGTCGACCACTTTCCCATTACTGGGTCCTGAAAAATTGTCCGTTTGCTACACATAACTCGAAAAATAGACATCATTTTACATCATAAAATTCCAAAATGCATTTTCAAATTTTTTAATTTTTTGGTGGTACGAATAAAAACACCAGCGAAAATTCAAACGGCGACTTTTCCGATTTTTTCGTATCGCTACGGAATTTTCCGACGGCCACCTTTCCGACGGATCCCTTTCCGACTTTTTTCCCTTATGTTTTTCCGTTTATAAAACATCTACAAAAATTTTTTTTTTCTATTTCTTTGTGTTTTAATCATGAACCTACCTCCTTTATATAGCAAGATTTGAAACGAAGATTTTATCGAGAAAAAAAGTCGAAAAAAAATTCGTCGGAAAGGTGGCCGTCGGAAAGTTCTGTAGCGATATGAAAAAATCGGAAAAGTCGCCGTTTGAATTTTTGCTGGTGTTTTTTTCATACCATCAATTTTTTTTTGCGAACTCCCTAATGCCGTGTTCAAAGTAATTTCCGCGAAATGCAAAATGATCTCTGACTCTCCAAAATTTAGTGATCTTTTCCTTTCTCTAACGGGTATTTTGCATTTCGCGGAAATTACTTTGAACACGGCATAAAAGCTTATTTGCACAAGCCTCGCCCCTTTTGCAAACCGTGCACTGTACACACTTCTTTTTTTCAATTTCATTTTTTTTTTTGACTTTTTCAAATTTTCTCACGTTTGTATCCATAGACGACGAGATTTGGATGGAACGTCTCGGTGACGCCCCAATAGCACGTGTTATTTTGATCAATTAGAGTATAAACTCCCTTGTTTTGGTACACGATCTGATGGCCTCTGAGATGATGAATGTTTATGAGAGATAAGAAAAATAAACTTACGAAATTTTTGGACTATTTTCGTGGTAGATCACAAATTGATCATGAGGCCTGTAGTTGGCGTCCGTGTCGTTGGTATAGGCCAGGAACAGGACTGTGAGCAAGATTTCTTTGGGTTCTGTAGAAAAATGTTCTTTTTTTTCCAAATTTCAGTAAGATACTCACGAAGAGTCGTAGTATTGCCCATAATCTCAAAGCTGAAAATGTTTGACAGGAACTGATAGGTGATTTGGTAGAACTCTCCAGGACCAACGTTCATCGGGAAAAGCGGATGAGGAGCAGTCACTTCAAATCCATATTTTTCACATTTTTCTGAGCCCGATTACATTGATCATCGTAGGAATACTTGATTTCAAAGCCATTATTTGTGGTATTCTGCATGTAGCCTTTGATCGTCAAATCGAGGTTCCAAGGTGTGGACAAGAATCTTTGAGCGGTTCCTACTAGTCTGAAATTTTTAGGTTTTTGATTATTTTTTAAAATTATTTTTAGAAAAAACTATCAAAAATTGTGGTGGTATCTGTAGGTTTTTCTTTGTTATGCTAAGTTGTCCCTTGAGTTTTTTCGGAATAGAGAAAAATTGGAAGATTTTTCCACAGTGCTAAGTAGTCTCACATGCTTTTTCTTGAAGAATGATTGATCCTCAAAAGATCTTCTAAAGAAACCAATTTATAATTTACCGAAAAACAAAAAGCTTCACGAGACCGCTCGACTTTTTTTTTCTGTGCTAGGAAATATTTAATGAGAGAAGAACTCAATAAGAACTGAGGAAACGCTCATTTTTCTCATTTTCTTTTTTTGATTTTCCAGAAAACTTACCCAAGGTTCATTTCGACGCCATTCGCTGAAATCGAACCCGAATCGATGTTGTAGAGATTGTAATACACGTATAGAGGCCTAGCAGGTACTGCTCCAAACTTTAAAAAAAGTTGTTTTTCGGTGATTATTTTGAACTCACATTCAATGTACACATAGTATTGTGATCAATGGGCTGTGTCGCTGAAAAATCGTCGTTTGGCCAATAGCCTTTGTAAATATTCTTCGTTGGAAATTGAACACTTCCCGTAGGACATTGCGCTGGAATTTTGAAGTTTATTTAACATTTTGTTGATTCAAAAACTCACGAATGTTTGCAAAAACGCTAACTGTTAACAATAGCGATAAGAGAAGCTGACGCATCGTCTAGGCCTAGAAAAACGGTGACAAAGAAACTGAAAAATCTGTGGTCGAATCGTCTGTTATATACAATTTTTGCTTATCAGGAGGGATTGCCGGTTATCAATTTGCTTTTTTATTCCGGTTTTGACAGATTTGATGTCACTAGTTACTCTTCTGTATGGTTGATACATTTGAAAGTTGGGAAATTGTACGTACGAGAAATGAGTCAGATTTTTTTCATCAGTGTCAGTCAACTCTCAATTTTTTTCCAATTACTGTTAGAATTGATGTGGCTTGGGTGAATTTTTCCCTTTGATCAAAATTTTTAAAATCATATTTTTCGGGAAAAATGAATAGACGTTGTTCAAGACTTCTGTTATGCAACTTTATGCTTATCAGGAAATTTTGGTTATCAATTTTTTTCTCGAGTTTGCTCCCCTAGCACATCTGACGTCATTGTGTGTAGTTTAATGTACGGTTAAATAAGTGGAAGGTAGGAAAGTTGGAAAAAATAATTCGAAAACTCTTAATTTCGAGTTTTTTCTTGAGATTTTGATGTCATTTGTACACCCACGAATTATTCTATTTTATTACATGAAGTTTTGATCTTTCAAGGCAATCATCGAAAGAATAATTGCAAAACCCATGACGAAAGAGTTCCTGAGTGAGCCTTTGGTTGTTGTGGGGATTTTTCGAGTACTTGTCTCGACATTCGAAGTTGTCGTTGTTGAAGGCTGAGGTGTTGTAGGACCCGGAATCTCGGAAAGTTGGAAGCTAACCTTCCCTGTAGAATAATAGTTTGTTTTTAATCTTATAGTGATTTTATTGACCTCTGTTAACGTAGAAAGTGTAGGTCAGGTTGACAAAAGTGCTTGGAGGCAGAGTGTTGGACCTTTAAAGTCGAGAACATTTCGATGGAAACCAGCTTCAGAATAACTTGTTGAAGTTAGCTACGAAGTTGCCGTTGACTGTCCCATTAGGTAGAATTTCAGCGAAGCCTTCATAAATGGTCAGGTCGCCGCCAGTCTCAATTTTTTTGGCTATTTTTTCCGGTTTTTTTGTAGAGGTTTAGAAAAGGCCAAGAAAAAAACAATGGCATTATGGCTGTCTAAGGAAAAAATAGCCAATTTCACGAATATCTATGCGCTCTATTTTTGAAAAGGTCGGGAGTATAGACTTCATTAAATTTTAATAATCAAAAATATCAACTAAAGAATGATGGGGCGCGAATAAGATTCACTTTTTCGCGGTTAATTCTATTTTATTTTATTTTTTCCATTTCATATTTTTTAAAGACTTTTTTCTTTCACTAACCGATATGATGTTCGAAACCACATCATATTTGCCATTATCCTGGCGCATGAAGACAAAAATTGGTTGATTTTCAGCGTCCATCTCGTATTTTTTCGTTTCCCAGGCCTTGGCCGTGTATTCACTCCAATCAACACCACTGTTCGTTGGTTCTGAATCAGTGCATATTTTTAAAATGTTTTTTTAAGCTATCACTAACTCTGGTACCCGAAAATCCCGAGGATCGGTCCAAAATGAGCAGTTCGCGATTGAAAAACCGTTACATTGGCCACGTCAAACTCCCAAACGCCATTGTTGTTCATTACTATATCGTTTCCACTTCAATTCTTCATACGTTTTCATTTTCAATTGAGCTTCAAACGAAGTGATAAGTCCTGTGGGAGCGTAGAAAGCCAGGCAATCAGTTGCGCCGTAATCCCAGACTTCTTCGCCGTAATAAGCCAGGAAAATAATGTAGTGAAGATTGTCGGAAGTATTTGAAGTCAGAGTAAAAGAGAATTCGAAAAGTATTAACTGAAGCTCGGTTTGTTGGTAGACTCCCGCAACGATAGGCAGTGAAAAAAGGGGATTTGTGACTAAAGTTGCAGTTCTTTTCACAGCAAACCGTAGTCTCATGTGGAATGACTAGATGTGGTTGCGCCAGACCAAAAACGGCTTTCGCTTTCTTAAAGAACGTAAACCAGCCGCAACGTTTTCGAGTCATTCCACATGGGGCCAGGATGTTCTTACTTTCGTGATAACTGTAGAAAATCGAAAAAGCGGCGTTTGAAGTATTTTGTTGAGCTCCGTCAATAGTTATCGTTGCCGTTCCTGGAGTGACCACTTCTGTGACCCCAGTTCCATTTAGGCTGAAAGTCTTTAAGAAATTTCTATTTTGAAGCTTACAAACTCACACAACATTCATGACCTTTCCGTTAGGTATGATGGTTTTGGGATCCAAATTCAAAGTGTTGAAAGTTAGGTGGAGAATAGAGGCGGAGGGAATGTTGAACTGAAATTTTTGAGTTAGTTGTTTCTTAGCTTTCTCGCATTTTTAGATATTAATAAAATATTTTCGATTAAAATATGTATTTTAACGGTCGATTTTTATTCCATGTCTGCACTAGATAGGCTCACAGGCGATTTTGGACGTCATAGTTTTTTTTTACCATTGTGTCAAGCGCAAACCGTTTTAGGTCGGAGGCGCCTCAAGTAGAACAGCTTTTACAGCCTTCCCTGTTAAGGAAGATTTTATTAAATTCTCATTCCTTTTTACTTTTCTTTCAGTTGAACTAATATTCAATAATTTTTACAGAAAAAAGCCTGCATTTTTTTAAAAAATGAAAAAGTAGAGCTCACAACGATATAACAAGTTGACGAAGAAGTAATAGGCTGAGGTTGACTTTCCGGCCAAGTTCCATTGACTTCTTGTCCCAAAGGGAACTGTACTATTCCATCGGGGCATTGAACTAATATTAGCTTTTATTGGGTGAGAAATACCTTTTTAAGGTACCTAAACTTGCCGCAACGCTTGAGGCTAGGAAAATCAGCCAGGCTATCGATCGCATGATGACAAAAAAGGCGAAAAAAAAACCCACAACGCTTCTTTTATCTTAGAATAAGACTTTCTTAATTCGGATTAAGACGCCTTTCCTTATCACCCTCTCTCGTGTCGAAATATTGGCAGAACTTTTACAATGACTTTTTTCGGTCAGGCTGATAAAAAAGGTCCTTTTTTGCGATAGTTCTTATCAGTGGAAAAAGAGAGTAAAAATGGAATTTTATCGAATATTAAAATGCAGTGAACGGTCAATTTTTGATTTTTTTTTTAGCTTTGAAGATGAAAATTTTTTAAAATGAAAGAAAAGTCCTAGAAATTTTTAAATTTCTTCGCGACGGTTTGAAGTTTCTTGGCCGCATGCAGAATGCTTGAACGCAACACGGTTGCGACGCGGCTCAACTTAAAATTCAAACTTTTTAAGATTTCGCAAGTATTTCGCAAGAAAATTTTCATCAATTGTCTTTCAAAGAACTTTCGGACGTCATAGTTTTTTTTAACATTGTGTCAAGCGCGAACCGTTTTGGGTCGGAGGCGCTTCAAGTAGAACACCTTTTACAGCCTTTCTTGTGAAGAGCGATTTTATTAAATTTTCTTTCCTTTTTTCTTTACTTTCCGATGAACTAATATGCAATATGTTTGACAGGAAAAAACCTGAATGTTTTCTAAAAAACAAAAAAATAGAGCTCAAAACGATATAACAAGTTGACGAAGATGTAATGGGCTTAAGCTATCATTTTCCAAGCGCAGAAAAATACTTCAGAAGAACTCATTCGCCTCGACAGCCTCTTCGGCTTGTTCAGACGGGTTCTCATTTTTGCGAACTTCTTTAGCTCAGTCATTCCAATTTGGAATCGACTCTGCTCTAGATATGACCTCAACGTTTCACCGACTAGCTTTAGAAGGATCCTCGACTCGCGTTTAAATGAAATGTTGACATGTCGAAAAAACGAGAGATCATAATCATGAGACATGTTGTTCGTTCGGTAGCAAGAAATGTTAATCAATCATATTTTTTTGGTAACATGTCATGAAAAATATTGGTTGAACGTTTGGTCGAACGATCGGTTTGGTGAACTCTAATATAAATATAAAGCTGATTTTTCCGACCAGGTACCCCCCTCCCCCTAAAAAAATTTCATGAGAAAGTCTAGTACCCTTCTGATCTTTCAATTTTTCTACTGATTCCAGTTTTCTGATCACTAATCTGTTAATAGTATTAAAGATCCATTACGTCAATGTTGTGTTAATGAATCACAGTAACGCCATTGATACCCGATAAAGTTTTCCTTGTTGAACAAGGGCGTCGACCCAAAATTTGTTCTAACCTGATAAAAGGCGAGCGATTAGGTATTAAAACCCAGAGTTTCCGAGGCTTTTTCCTTCATTTTCCTCCGCTTCAACTCAACAATGAGGTCTTTCTTCGCTATTATTTCCGTTATTTTTCTGGTTTCTGCGAATCCAAGTAAGTTTTTTTTATTGAAACTTCAGTCGAGGCTTGATTTCACTTGAGGAATTGGAAATTTCGCTGATGGAGATTCTATCGCAGTTTCAACTAAGGAGTTCACAGCTCAACCTGTGGTCTCAACGGTCACCGCAGCTGGTTCTACCGTAGTCCCCACTACAGTAACCCCTCAGCCTCAAGCTTCAAGCTCACCAGTTGCACCTTCGATGTCCACCGTAGCTCCCGCGTCAGCTGGTTCTACCGTAGTCCCCACTACAGTAACCCCTCAGCATCAAGCTTCAAGCTCACCAGTTGCACCTTCGATGTCCACCGTAGCTCCCGCGTCAGCTGGTTCTACCGTAGTCCCCACTACAGTAACCCCTCAGCATCAAGCTTCAAGCTCACCAGTTGCACCTTCGATGTCCACCGTAGCTCCCGCGTCAGCTGGTTCTACCGTAGTCTCCACTACCGTATCTCCAGCTCAACCTAATGACAAGAGCTCCACGACTGTTGCAGCTTCTTCAGCGGCCCCAGTAACTGGATCTAGCACCATTGCTCCCAAATCTACCGTAACTCAAGCTAAACCTACAGTTACCGTAGTTACTGTACCTACCACGACCAAATCAGCCAGTTCTCTCTCCTTTTCTTTGGTAGCTCTTGTTGTTATAGGATTTTTGAAGAATTGAGTAGGGTTTTTTTTTTCTGATTTTTGTAAATTTTGTATAAATTTTTCTATATGAAGAGCACGTGTGAAAGATTTTTAGTTGTGGATTATTGTAAAAGATCGAAAACTCACCTGTATTCTCAAAAGTGTCAATTTTTTAGTTACTCAGCCTTTTTTAGCCTTAAAAATTTCATTTCAAGACAAAAACAGTTTTCAATTGATTCTGAAACCCAAAGATCCCCACAAGGAACTGATTTTCAGGAAATATCCGTCGGTTTTGGGTGCTAATTCTATAGTTAGGTTGCCTGCGCCTGGTTTTCCGACTGGTTTTTCGGGTTCCGGTGATGTCACAGAAACTGGAGCGTTTTCTGTAGTCGTTGAAGCAACCAAACTTTGGTCGGGAACTTCGGAGAGGTCAAATGCGACGGTGCCTGGAAAAGTGGTCTTTTTTTCGGGTATTTCGCATAAAAAATTTGAAAAATAAGTGAATCGAGAAAAGGATTTGTGAATTGATTTTGAATGAAAAGTTTTCTGGCCTATTGGGAATCAAAAAAAAAAGACTCTTTTCTCAATTTTTAGACTTGAAATCTATCAAATTTCGGAAGATTTTTCTCACTTCAAACATTTTTTTAAATTTAAATAGTCTTCTAGTCGTCATAGCTCAGCTGGTAAGACTCATTTCTAACGTCCGCGAGGTCGTAGGTTTCGAAGGTACTCAATCTCTGCCACCGGCCTTTGGAAAGCTGGCACCGTACTTCTTCCTACGACCTCTCTTGTACTTGATGTTCTACGAGCAAAATTCACAACTTCTCTGCCTAAGCCACAGCTCCTGCCGCCGTTTAAACACAGTTAAAATCAATGAAAGTCGATTGCACATGTATTCTTACATTGAAGATGCAATAAACAGTTTTAAAAACAGTTTTTTTTTAAACAGTCATCTAGTTCGCACCTTTGACGACGTAAAACGTGTATGTCAAGCCTGGAAGCGTTGTTGGAGCCTCTGTGGTGGCGCTTTAAAAAAAAAGTAATAAAACTTTTCCCCTTTATCTTACTTGAATCGAGCCACTAACTTTCCAATAACAATCTCGTTTTGGTAAACTTCAGCAATGCCTTCGTAGACTTCAATAACACTATCCGTCTAAATTCCGGAAAGTTCCTTGTTGAATTTAGAAAATGACTCACATCATTTTTTGATGTGATATTTGAAATTATGCCAACATTTGAAGCATCTTCGCGCATGAACACGTAGATTTGCTCAGTTGCCGAGTTCATTCCATAGCTTTTTGCCTCCCAAGCTTTCGCCTTGTATTGGGGCCATTGAGCTTGAGCATTCCTTGGTGCTCAAAATAATATTATTTTGTCATTTCTATTTAAATTTACTTACCTTTATACCCATAAAAGCCGATGATTGAACGAAATCCGGGGACCGGCGAATAGAACATCGTGATTTCAGTTGCATTAGTGATCCAAAGGCCAGAATCTCTGCCCACAATATAATTCCCACTGAAATCAATTTGGGATGAAAATCTAGACTTGATAGGAGCAAAAATCAGGGGAAAATTATTGTATTATCGAAGTTGGATTCAAATATTAATTAGAAAGTCTGTGTACCACGACTTGGAATTTCACCGAACGACATTCCGCTGTTCCGCTGCTTGCCTTTAATTATTTTAATTTTATTTAAGAACTTGACCAACACGCGTTCCTAGTGAACAGTCCATCTATCAGAAATGAGAACCAATTCAAAACGAGACTGAGGCTGGTAAAGACGCTTCGCGACGCAGCGGAACAGCGGAATGTCGTTCGGTGAAATTCCAAGTCTTGACACACGGACTATACAACGAGTTAGTATAGCACTTATCATGGCCAATGTAAATTTTTCGATTGAGAGACTTCGGTTTAGCGAGCGCAAAAAGTGTGATTACACGTTTCTCATTTTCCAGCTTTTGCCTGATTTTCCAGCGTTTATTTGGCTCTTTCACTTTTCTTACTATCAAAAAAGAAATTAGTACTAACGATGTCAGTTTTTCCCTCTGATCGAAGAAAGCCAGGCAGTCTGAAGATCCATAGTCCCAAGAATCTTGATCGTAGTAAGCTAAGAACACAATCGTATGGAAGTTTTTGGTGTCCTCCGAGTTTATTTTCGTCGATTCGTCAGTGTTTCTCGTGTTAAAGTTCAATTGCTTGTAATCTCCCATGCCAATTGAGATGTTTTCGGTTGGAGTTGGCGCTGAAATAATCTTTTTTTTCGACATTTTCTGATGAGAAGAGCGCGTTATTTGCAAAAAAGTCGCTTTGAGAATGTAATTTTTGCGTTTTCACAAAACAATGAATATTTTCCGGTTGATTTAGGAGGCTTACTCTAAATTATTTATTTCTTTTCGCCTTTGACCGATTTTTTGAGTCTTCCAGTCGCCATACTTTCAGGCAATAAAACTCGAATAAAAGGTGAAATTCGAAGAAATGACTTTTCGATGGATGTGTTTTAAATAGAAAATTAGAGCGTGCTTTCGAAAACGGACTCTTCTTTCTCCTTTTTAAGTTTTTTGAATTGATCTGACAAAAACTCCCTCACCTGTATGGTAATTGTAAGACAGGGAAAATGCCGAATCATTTTGTGAAAGTGAGGAAATTATTATCGCCACATCGTTTGAAGAAATGAACTGTTTGACAGCGGTGCCAGATAATCTAGAAAATGAAAATATTTTGGTGAATACCTAGTGTAGTAGAAAAAAAGAGTGGATTAATAAGAGTGAAGTGTTGCGTGTGCGACGCGGCTTTTTGTCGGGGGACTTGAGGTCAAGCGCAATCATGAAAAAAGTGTAGAAAAAATTACGTTCCTTATCATTTCTATACTTATATGTGTTCAACTACATTTTAACCACGCGTTTGACTTCAAGTTTCCCGCCTAAAACCGCGTCGCATACGCAGCGCGCCACCCTCGCCAATCTATAGATATAGTCTGTTCAGATTTTGAATGTCAAGTAGAATGACGTCATTCAAAAACGCTCTGTGGATGGCTCGCTCTCTGATTGGTTCATCGCACCATTATGGGCGGAGCTTGAGCGACGACTTGACATTGAAAATCTGAACAGACTATATCCATGTTGGCTTACAAGTCGGGAAAGTCCACTATAAAATCTACCTTTTATGATTACGTAGGAGCGAGTTTCCACCATGAAGTCGGCTATCATAAAAAAGCGTTCCGTTTGAAATGTTCGAAATGTTGAATGTGTGGTACACGATTGTGAACGGAGGCAGTTGGAACTAAATTTAGGATTTACAGTCAAGATCTATATTTTTTTTCTCACTTTCAAAAAACATTTCGAATCCTCATCCAACGGTTCAAGCTCGCTCAATGACTCTGTAGGCCAAGTTCCACTGGTTTCGTTTTCGAGCGGAAAATTGACAACGTATTTTGGACATTGCTCTGAAAAATCGGTTTTGAATTTTTAATTATAACTTTTTTGTCATACCCATGTAGGCTAGAGTGCTTGATATAAGAAATATCAAGCCAAATATAAGACGCATCTTTCTGAAAATGCGTCTTTTAGTGGGTCATACGTCAGCAACTACTATAAATTGTCTGTCAGCATTTAGAATGGCTGAATATTTTGCGATTCGAACTTTTTTCTTAGTTTTGGCCAAATTTCAGCCGTTTTGAGTTGGCCAACTGAAGCCTAGTTGTACCTCATAAAAATGAAATAGGTGTAAAAAACCTATTTTAAACCGTCGAAAGGCTTATTCAAAATTGGCTTGAGAAAGAAAGGCTTATTCAATATTGGCTTGAGAAAGAAAGGCTTATTCAAAATTATACAAATGAAGATTATCAGAAAAAGTACTAGAATAAAACATAAACTACTGCAAAAAATGTCTTACTTAAACATTGTTTCACTAAGCGCTTCAGGACTTTTTCAAATCCGTTATTTTTTTTGAAAAATTTTTTTATGACTCGCAAGAAACATTTTATTTTTTTAATTAAAAACTGAGATTTTATTTTTTTATTTAAAAAGAGGATTTTAAAACTTGAACTTTATAAAATTTTGGGATAATATTATAGGAGAAAAAGAGAAGAAGGGCTTATTATACGACAAAAAAACGCCGAAAAATGAAGCGCTCAAGAAAAATTTTTGAGAATGTTTATAATGATTCATTTTCGCTCCGAATCAAAAATAGTTTGATTCCAGAAAAAGAAGAATAATTTCGAGTGCAAAAGAACAAGGAATCGTTCCAATTTATTGATATATACTTTTTGAGGACTGGCCTTCTCTGACAGCAGAAGTTCTGAGAAACTAGATGCAGTTTCAGGCGCTCAAAAATCTTTCCTTAGTCAAGTTTCAAGTCGGGCAGGCAGACTGGTTTTTCAAATTTTCTGCAAGAAAAGAACCCCCAAAAAATGAAACTAAGCCGATTTGAAAATGTTATTGTAAGTTAAGAGACCCCCAAAATACTCTGTTGATAAATTTCGTCAATTTGAACTAGTTTTCCGAAAATTACCTTTTCAGTCAGATGTCCTCGATAGAAATGATTGACCATGTTTCCAAGACACGTGATTTTATTTTTCTGTTTCGAAACCTTGAGCTTCTCCCCCTCCTTTCCATTCACAATAAAATATTTATTTTCACACGAAGAAATTATTCCTTCCAGGCAAGTCAACGTAGAAGCGCTGCGAAGACTGCAGCGGTACCCAAAATGAACGACGTTCTGATGGAAGTTTTGGGAACCTTATGATTGACGCCGGCCGGTTTTGATCCGGATTTAGGAGAGGTCACAGAAGGTATCATAATTTCTTGCGTTGTCGGAACTTGAATATTCGATAATGTTCGGTTTGAAGACTTCATAACTTACTACTTTTGATTTTTCATTCAATTGTCTATGATAATTGCATCTATGTAATTTCGGTAATCTAAAATATTGAACTGGAGCATCAGAAGAACATATAATAGCTGCCAAAATATCATAATGAGTAAATGTTAAAAAGAAATAGAATTGCAATAGATTCATTTACTTCAGGAAATTTATTTTAAATAAATTGAAAAATTATCCTGACTTTCTTTGCAAGTTGAAATTCTCAAGATAAAAATGGCTGAATCAAAGATTCCTAGATCCGCATGATTGATTGAAGCAGTAGACAGAATACTAATTGTTGATAGTCCAATTATTCAAGATCAAAGTATTCAAAAAGAAAATTTGATTAGCATATTCCCCTCTAGTGGTAGTAGTTTAAATCAACATGGAGAAATTAATTTTATCATAGAAACTTGTGATCAATACCTTCTACTACATAAATCTTACATCTACTTAGAAGCTTCCTTGACTAAATTAGACTCTACAGCACTGAATGAAGGTGATGAAGTTACATTGACTAATAATGGTCCAATGTTTTTATTTGATAGAGCAACTTATAGTATGGATGGTATGCAAGTTGAAAATGTCATTGATTCTGGAAGAGCTTCACTTATGAAAGGCCTCCTTACTTATTCTTCAACAATGAATAAACAAAATACTTTTGGTTGGATCCTCGAGACTAAGGATATCATGAATTATAAGATAAATAAATACACTAAAAATAGAAAAGGCTTACTAACCTTCTGTATTCCACTGACTCATATTTTTGGTTTTGCTGAATGTTATAATCGAATAATTTATGGAAGGAAACACCAGTTATCACTCTATCGATCTCCAGAAAATAAGAATAGTATTACTTCAACAGATCCTACTAAATTTACTGCTAAGATGACTATTAATAAACTTCAATGGATAATTCCTAAAATTATGCCTAGTCTTGAGATGCAAAACAAACTTCTTAATTTATTTGAAAGTAATAAATTAGTGCAAATGCCTTTTATATCTCATAAAATAAAATACCTCATTATCTCTTTTCAGACTGCTAGAGATAACAATTATCTGAATGCTGCAAAATTCGATAATTGTGGACTTGAAGAAATTTATGTTGAACTCAATAGCGAAAGATATCCATATGAATGTCTAAAATTTGATTTTGATAAATTCAATGCAGTTCAACAATACAATTTTGCTAAAGAATTTAGGAATAGTTATTATGAAAGTATCAAGGATTATATTTTCATGGAAGAAGATGTTTATTATTATTATTATCCACTTCTAGTATTTGATGTATCTAAACAGAATGATAGAGTTATTGCATCTAGACCAGATGTTACAATAAAAAATTCCTTTGGTAAAAACATTGCTCAAAGTACTAAATGTTATTTCCTCATTCTTTCAGAGAATGTAGTTGAAGTCAAGGATAATAGAGTTAAGGTTTTAAGCGTTTGAAGAATCAAACTAGATTATTTAAATAATTGCATTTAAGTCTTCTTCAAGAATCCAAGAATTAAAATTATCTGGATATCCATACCACTTGACAAATATTTCTTTTACCATCTTACCGTTTTCCTTTCTATTTCTTTTCCGCAGAACTTTTTCTATTTTATATTCTTCTTTGACATTATTATAAAGTGTAAGTTCCTCAGAGTAAAACTTTCTTTTAATTTTCTCATCTGCTAAATCTTTTATTGAATACATAATTGGATCACCTATTAGAACTTCAGAAATCTTAAATTGCTCTGTACTCCAATTTGGTAGATATCCTTTATCAAAAATAGCTTTATATTTTGTAATTCTGACAGTATCACCTATTTTGAATTTCGCTTTGTCTAAAGCCTTTGAATCTTTTTGAATTTCTTCCTTTTCAATTTCTTTAGGAAAAAGATTTGAGTAAACAATACTTTGATTTTCTATTTTTGAAGCCTGCATAGGAGACATTTTGATACTAGAGTGATAATGATTATTATACCCCCATAGTAAATCAACAAGGATGTGAGTCCATTTATGATTTCCTTGATGAGTAAACATTTTCCACATTTTCTCTTTCAAAGTCCTATTAAATCTTTCAACTATTGAAGCTTTTTTATCTGAATAAGTTGAAAAGTGATTGATTTCTAATGATTTGAATAATTTATTCATTTCTTTATTATAATACTCCTTACCATTATCAGTCTGCATCTTTTTGGGTTTTCTTCCATTTTTATTCATAACGGCTTCTAAAGCATCTGCAGTTTCTTTGCCTGTTTTACTTTTAAGAGGAACAACCCATGCATACTTACTAAAACAATCAATGATGGTCAAGAGATACTTGAAATCATTATTTTCTTTCGCGTAAGGAATCATTTCTACGAGATCTGATTGCCATTGGTCATCTATTCCACTGACGTAAACTCTTTGACTCTTGAAGTTCTTACGAGCTGGCTTATGAAGAGTGTAAACATCTTGTTCATTCAGGAACTCTTTAACCTTTTTCTGTGACACCTTTGCTACTCTTGATATTTCATTGATACCGCAGAAACCTGTTTTAGGAGAATAATAAGCTTTTTCTAAAAGATCTCTTTCACCTTCGGAACTTGTGGGTTGTCTAAGAATTTTAGATTTTTCACTAATTTCAACCTCCTTGATATCTTCTAATCCAGAACCTCCTGTGATTGTTGGAATTAGCTTACACTTCATTGTTTTTACAATCTTGGCATAACCCTTTTTATCATAGAACGTTTCGAGCTTGTTTCAACATTAAATATGTCAGTAGTATCAGTATATTTTTTGCATTTGAAACAGTATACTAATTCCATAATTTAGAAGTTAAAATTTTTTGGCTACAAATATCTTATTTGATTTTGTGAAATGGGGGACGTTCAGTGAAAATGGATGTCTTCACTAGAAAGTGAATTCACTTCCACCTAGCCATGAACCCCTAACATGGCTACCTCACCTGAGGTATTAACTTTTTCACTTGGCTTCAATCAAACAAGATATTTGTTTTTTTCAAAAATAAAACAAGAAGATGAAATAACAACAAACATGAAATAACAAAGAATTAACAACAACAATCAAATGATTATTCACTTTCTCCCTATCCGGAAAAGATTCTTCAAGTCGTTACATAGACTGTTTTTTTCAGAATTTCGAATGCTCATTTAACATTTCCTGCTGAAATATATCTTATTCATTTAAATTCTTTGTTGTTATTCTGAAGACGTTGATTACTCACCTTTAGTAGTTCGTTGAATCTTTCTTCTCGTTAAACATGATAAAATCTCTGGTTATTGAACACATCTTTCACTGTTCGAAGAGATTCACCAATTTCGTTAAATTGATGTTGTAGAAATGAAACCTGCAAATAATGAATAATCTAGTGTATCATACAAAAAAAGACTTACCGGTTCTTTCTGTTCACTATTACGCTTTATGGAGAAGTAGAGATTTCATGACACGAAAAGCATCCTCCATCTTATAAGAAAATATTTAACTTTTTAAAAACATCTTCAAAATGAAATAACAACACAAAAACTGAAGAAATTCTGCGACACGAATCGTTCTCAAATGAGAGACTTCGTTCTTCTCTTGTACCTGTTTGCTATAGTCTGTCCAGATTTTAAATGTCAAGTCGTCGCTCAAGCTCCGCCCATAATGGTGCGATAAACCAATCAGAGAGCGAGTCATCCACAGAGTGTTTTTGAATGACGTCATTCTACTTGACATTCAAAATCTGAACAGACTATAGCACCTTTGAGAAGGTTAGAGTGTCATTGCAGTGTGTGATGCAATTGCTTCTCGAACGCATTAAAGTGTGACCAAACTCGTCGAGTTCTAGATCTCACAGATTGACCACTCTTTCTTTCTCCTTCAGTTCTTTCAATTTGTGACATCTTTGCCCTGGTAATTTCTCTTTGTCTTTGTGTGACCTTCTTTTCTCTTCCTCACTCTGATTGAGCACAATCACACATTTGCCCCAGTTGAACTAGAAACACGCGACGCAACACGCAAACGCGGATGGTACGATTTTAACTCAAGTCCGCAAATCTCCGGAGCCGTTATCTCAGAGTACCGTAATCTCAAGGCCCATAATCTCCGAAAACAAAAAACTTCAATTTTCTTTCTCTTTTTTGCATTTTATTTTCATTTTTTTCTTGTGTTGTGCTCAGAATACAATCTCCGACCGAAACTGCGTACGAAAGCCAAAAATTTTAGTTTTTCAAACTTTTTTTATTTTTTCCACTGAGAGAAAACAATTTTCAATTTTTCAAATTGATATTTCTTTCTATTTTTTCTTGTTCTTAAGCTTCTCTGATAACTTTTTCATGTGGAAAGCAAAGAAAAGAAGAGTGAAACTCGAGCTTCGAAGTGGCTTAACTTAAAAATTGTTCAACTTCTCAATGAAAGTGGAAATTTGATGAATAAATTAGGGTCCGGTGAGAAATTTGGATCGGAGATTGTATTCTGAGCACAACACAAGAAAAAAAATGAAAATAAAATGCAAAAAAGAGAAAGAAAATTGAATTTTTTGTTTTCGAAGATAAGTGGTTTCGGAGATTATGGGCCTTGAGATTACGGTACTCTGAGATAACGGCTCCGGAGATTTGCGGACTTGAGATAAAATCGTACCATCCAAACGCGTTGGGCTAGCTGGGATAAGTTTTAGGGGCCCCTATAGGGGGTCGCGATTTTAGGGGGCCCTATAGGGGGTCTGCAAATGGTCTTTTTTTAGGGGAAATCCCTAGGGCCCCCTATAGGGGGTCCTAAATCGCTCCCTAAAAATTGCAAGACCCTCAAGGGGTCGCGAAGACCCCTTGGAACGAACGTGGTTTTTTTTTTTAATATATATCTTTCTCATTTTCTAAGTTTTGAGTTGACTCAGTCGACTCAGTTTTAGTTTAACTTTATAACTTGTATTTATATTTCATCAATTTCTGTGGTGCTTAAGGAAGTAATACGTTATTCACGAACGAGTTGTCAGTAGGATTTTTTCGTTATGGTTTCAAATTGTATTATAATGATTTGTGCGTTTTTTTTTTGTGCTCCATAAAAGTTAACACGGCAATCTGTACATTGGTTCAGTATTTTCAGTGTTTCGTTTATGTACAATTGATATATTGGTTTATGTAAATATGTTCAGAGTATTTTTTTATTTTGGTATTTTCAGAGTTTCGTCTATGTATAATTGGTCTACTGGATTGTGTGAAACCGTCAGAAATTCACCGGTAGATGATGTTTGTTGGAGGTTTTTGATGTAAATGCGTGTTTATATATTCTATTTGATTATTGTTCGTTAAAGAAGACTTAATTTTTTATTAAGATGCCGCGGAGTCGCGATTTTATTGATGCGCATTGGTTCTACAGCAGCGATGAAGATTCTGAAAGGTATATCGAAAATGTTGATAATGATGAATGATCGTAGAAGCACGGAATCAGCCGACGGAAATTTTGAGCCGCCACATGAACCAGAATCAACGGAAGATTACCGCGGGCCGAGCAATTCAATAAGTTGCTTTCAAATGTCAACGTTGGTTGTTTTTTGCTCACTGTTCAATTGTTCTTTTTTATATGTGCCAAACTTTTTGCCCTTATGTAAGTAGTTTCAACCGTTGCCGTGTCGAAGTCCCAACGTTTTTTATTGAACGTTGCCCAACCATCTGCCTTGACACAATGCGTTTTTCTTCTATTTTTCGCAAGTAGCGCTTATATCAATATGCTTTAGGCGTATCTTTATTGTCTTGAAGAGCTTCTATTAGATTGATCAATACGGTTTCCGTTGGCAGTGATTTAGACGTGTCAAATATTTATATGGGTCTTTTACGGCCAAATGTTTTTTTGCTTCCTCTAATATCCTGTTACGTATACATATCTTCAGTTTTTTGCTCGTTGTTTTGTTACTTATGTCTATCTGTTTCCATTGATGATCCTGATTCGCATTCAATAAGGGTTTCTCTATTTCCTCCCGGAGCTATTTCAGAAATTTTCCGTGCCCCCCCCCCCCCTAAAGGGACCCCTAAAAAAATTCGTAGGGGTCCCTATAGGGTTTCATTTAGGGACCCCTCCAAGGGGCCCTAATTTACCCCCTATAGGGCCCCCTAAAACTTATCCCAGAGAGTGGAAGGCAGAGACGCAGAGGAAAGCGAGAGACACTCTTTTTTGTTACAGGGCATGGAATGTTATCCTTCTTTCCTTTTTTTATTTTCTTTCACATCTTGCCTTGAATTGATGTTAATTGTTGAATTTAAGCTCATGTTCGTCATTCATTCGCTCAATCGTTTCGTTAAAAATGGTTCAAAACCATTTCTATCAATTCGAAGAAACTCCACAAAAGTTCCTCGAGAAAATTGCACGCTCACCAACCTTCGAAACTCTGAACTTGAGGTGAATTTTTATGATTTATTGATTCTATTTGAAACTCTTACTATAGTTAACTATTATAGTACTGATACGTGTTTTGAAATTCAATCTGAATCCTCCTTTTTTTCTTTCAAGTGGCCAAAAAGGCGTTCTACTTTTTTTAGCTTTTTAAAATGATATAGATTAACTCTTTTCTGAATTAATTTATCATTTTAGATACCTTTGTTCGATAATGCGGGTTACATCTCTCACAAAAAAATTTTTGACGTTACTCTTCTGGATATCGACGAAAATGAGTTGAACGAGGTAGGGTGTATTTTTAATATTTTGTCAAATATTTATGTTCTTCGATCGGAGCTGCTTTCGGTGTTGACAATTTGTCACCTGGATCATATTCATCTAAGCCTTTTCCAGTCATGGGTCAAATATATGGTAGAAACATGCGTTTGATGGTTCCTCTAATCTGCAGACACTTCGGTATGAATTATGATAACTTAGTTATAATTATGAAAAATGATTGAAATAAATTTTTTTAATTTATTTAAATATATGTATATAATAATAATAATAATAATATTTATAGATATTTATATTTTTTTTGCAGGAAATCCCAATGCAAAAAGCTGTTAATGTGTGGTTCGTCATCGATTCGGGAGCTCCGTATACTTACCTTTCGGTGAAATCACTAGAAGTGATTGTAGGAGAAGGCTTCACTCACAGTTTGCATAACATCACCATTCAGGTTTATTTTCTTCTATGTAAGTTTAATGATTAATTTCAAATGTTCAGGATGAAGCCAAAGCTGTCCCATGTCATACCTCTAGGCACCATTTTGCTGAAGCCAATCTACTCGGAATGGACTCTTTGAGGAAACTGGGATTGGGGATCGTGCCTGATTGGGAAAAGGATACGTTCCAGCTGATCAAAATCTAATTTTTATTCTATATTTCTATATTGTTACTGTTGTGTTATACCTGGTAGATCAATGAATATGTTTCATTTTTTTATAATACCACTTCCTATTGAAAAATCGACATCCACCGACATCCATCAATTTTGTAAAAAGTGAGGAAGTGATACATTTTCGAGCATTTAAGCATGAAAATGAGAAATAGAAAATAAAATCGAAAATGCAAAAAAATTATTGAAAATAAGCACTTTTTAGTGCTCCAAAAATTGACTCATTTCACACTTTTTACGAAAAAATTGTTGTAAATGAGGTAATTCTCTGACTGCAGAGAATGAAAATGTGTTGAAATGACTGAAATGTCAAAAACGGTATTATAATCCCTCCTTCCTATACTACTGAACTGATTTTTAGGAAATATCCGTCGGGTTTGGGTGCTAATTCTATAGTTAGGTTGCCTGCGCCTGGTTTTCCGACTGGTTTTTCGGGTTCCGGTGATGTCACAGAAACTGGAGCGTTTTCTGTAGTCGTTGAAGCAACCACACTTTGGTCAGGAACTTCGGAGAGGTCAAATGCGACGGTACCTGGAAAAAAAGCCTTTTTTTGAGCGTGGTCATTTAGCATAAAAAAATTTGAAAAATAAGTATAGCCTGTGTACCACGACTTGGAATTTCACCAAACGACATTCCGCTGTGCCGCTGCGTGCATTTACGATCCTTGGTCGCACTTTTAATTTTTTTTTTCTTTCATTAAGGTACTCTACTTTCATGTGCTCTCACAGCAAAAAAATCAATTGAAAGCGTGACCTAGATTTGAAAGACGCTTCGCGAACGCACGCAGCGGAACTGCGGAATGTCGTTCGGTGAAATTTCAAGTCGTGGCACACAGACTATAAATCGAGAGAAATATTTGTGAATTGATTTTTGATTTAAAAAAATTTTTTTGGTTTGTTGGGAATGAATAAAAAAAGAAATACTTGTTTTTCAATTTATAGAAGTAATGAAATGATGGAAGTTTTCAAGAAGATTTTTCTCATTTCAGAACTTTTAACTAGTTTTGAGTTGGCCAATTGAAGCCAATCTAGTTGTAGCCTTTAAAAAAATTAAAAGAAAACCTGTTGTCATTAAAATTTATGCCGTCAAGAGAAAAGAGAAGAAAGGTTTATTCAAAATTAAAATGAAAAAAATTATCTTCTGCGAAAAATTTCTTACTTGAACATTGTTTCACTAAGTGCTTCTGGACTTTTTTTTTCAAACCCGTAATTTTTTGAAAATTTCTATGACCTGCAAAAAACATAAAGGAGGATTTTAAAACTCGAACTTTTTGGAATGTTGAAATTTTATTAGGAGAAAAGAGAAGAAGGGCTTATTATACGACAAAAACGCCGAAAATGAAGCGCTCAAGAAAATTTTGAGAATGTTTATAATGATTCATTTCGCTCCGAATCAAAAATATCCAAAAAAAGAATAATTTCGTGCAAAAGAACAAGGAAACGTTCCATTTTTATTGATATATACTTTTTGAGGACTGGCCTTCTCTGACAGCAGAAGTTCTGAGAAACTAGATGCAGTTTTAGACTGATTTGCGCTCAAAAATCTTCCCTCAATCAAGTTTGAAGCCGGTCAGGCTGGTTTTTCAATTTTTCGTTTTCATAACTTTTTTTACTCGGCGGTTTTTTAGGCATAGATTTGAAACCTGCGTTAAAATGACTCTATTTATGAACCTCAGCTATTTTGAAAATGTTATTGTAAGTTAAGAGACCCCCAAAATACTCTGTTGATAAATTTCGTCAATTTGAACTAGTTTTCCGAAAATTACCTTTTCAGTCAGATGTCCTCGATAGAAATGATTGACCATGTTTCCAAGACACGTGATTTTATTTTTCTGTTTCGAAACCTTGAGGTTCTCCCTCTCCTTTCATTCACAATAAAATATTTATTTTCACACAAAGAAATTATTCCTTCCAGGCAAGTCAACGTAGAAGCGCTGCGAAGACTGCAGCGGTACCCAAAATGAACGACGTTCTGATGGAAGTTTTGGGAACCTTATGATTGACGCCGGCCGGTTTTGATCCGGATTTAGGAGAGGTCACAGAAGGTATCATAATTTCTGGCGTTGTCGGAACAACGGATCTGGGCGAGGAGACTTCGTAGAGGTCGAATGCGACAATTCCTGAGAAAAAAAATGATTGAACTTTATGAATAGAAGGACAATTAAAATTAGTAATTAATCTTTAGTTTGAAAAAATTCGAAAAATCTTCGTTCTGAGTGGTTAATCATCCCCTTATCACTATAAGACGTTTTTGCTAGTGGAAGAAATAGCGAAACCAAAGAGAGAGGGCGGAGACATACGAGCGTGTGAACAACACGACTAATTAAAGGCGCAGGTCAGCATTAACCTACGTCCTGAGAAGAATAGATTTTCTCGTCTGTAAATGATGTTTTTACGTGTGAAAGCGCCGCAGTGCTTGCACACGATACACGACAATCTACGGAAAAAAGGAGGCGGGCTTCGTCAAAGAAAAACGTCGTTACGCTTGATATGAAGCTTGAGACTGAGCGAAATCTTTGTTTGCTGAAATTCCGTAGGATATATTCCGTTTTTGAAGTTTTTTGAAGTTGAAAAAGATTTTTACTGTAGAGCAACTTTGCCTCGAGTAGTTTTTTTTTGCGATTCGATAGATGTTTTTAATTTAAAATTTTCACCTTTTTTAACGCAGAAAGTGTACGTCAAACCCGGGAGCGTTGTTGGAGCCTTTGTCGTGGTGCTGAAAAAAAAAATGCAATTTCTACAAAAATGCTTTATAATATTCTCACTTGAATCGAGCGACCAAGGTTCCAAAGACTGTATTGTTTCGATAGACCTCACCAACTCCTTCGTAGATTTCAATGATTCCATCCGCCTTAATTTTAATAATTGACAACTAAACTTACAAAAAAACTCACAAATTGATCATTCTTCGATACGATGTTTGAAATAACGCCAACTTTCGTGGCATCTTCGCGCATGAAAACGTAGATTCGCTCAGTTGCCGAGTTCATTTCGTAGCTTTTTGCCTCCCATGCTTTCGCCTTGTAGTCTGGCCAGGAAACATCAGCGTCTTTGGGCGCTGAACAAGTTTTTTCCGTTATTTTAAGTGTATTATCTCACTCTTGTATCCATAGAAGCCAATTATTGGATGGAAGCCTGGGATTGGCGAAGAAAACATGGTGAATTCAGTGTTGTCCGTGACCCAAATGCCACCGTTTCTGCTCACGATTCGATATCCACTGGAACGATTTTGTTCTTTTCGTAGAAAGGTTTCGTTCTTCCTTCATGGCTTTTTCAAAATTCATACATTTTTCTAATACAAGGTTGAAAAAGGCCAGGATATTCATTTAAATATTCTAGAATCGTTAAATTATCAACAGAGCGCAGTTCCCGCCGAGATTATTCTTGTTCCATCACTTTTTGTGACTCATTTTGATTATCTCGAGTTGAATGAAAATTGACCTTGTCAACAGCTGCGTTTGATTGAAAAAGGATAGACAATCTGAAGAGTCATAGTCCCAAGAATCCTGATTGTAGTAGGCCAGGAACACAATCGTATCATCGGTGTTTTTTGAGCTTATTTTTGTCGATTGGTCGGTTTTTCTTGTGTTAAAGTTCAATTGCTGGAAATCCCGCGTGCCAACAACGATATTTTCAGTTGGAGTTGGTGCTGAAAATTATATTTTCACAAACTTTTGACCGCTTAAAAAAATAGTATTTTTTTTCAGATTCTCTTTTTTTGTATGGAAGCTTTTTTTCAGAGGATGAAGATGAAAGATAAAAATTTTAGAAATTTCCAAAAATTTAAAAATTCTCTTATAAAAATTCTCTTAGTAATTTTTTTCAAAAAAAGCATTCCTTAGAAGCGCGCAACACTTGCAAAACCGTGGCTCCGCCCACAAAACCATGTGAGAAATGTTTACCTTTTCTGTATTCATAAGACAACGCAAAAGCCGCATCTCCTACCACGGGACTAGGGCTAATCGTTATTCCCACAAAGTCCGAGCTGATGAAGTTTTTGACGGCCGTTCCAATTAATCTGGAAAGACGAAAGGTTTCAAAGTAAAAAGTAGTGAAAAACCCACATTTCATCGATGAGCAAATTCGAAAAGTAAATTGTTTTATCCGACACATTGGAGATATTGAAGGTTTGGTACAAGATTGTGAAGAGTGGCGGGACGAACTAAATACAAAAACTACTTTAGGAAGCTAATCTGTTGGGCTCACTTGTAGAAAACAGTTTGAATTCTGACCCAAAGGTTCCAGTTGGCTCAACGATTCTGTTGGCCAAGTTCCACTGTTTTGGCCATTGAGTGGAAAACGAACATATCCCTCTGGGCATTGGGCTGGAATCGATGATCAACTTTTCATAGGATGTGTTGAAAGTTACCCATATTGGCTATAGCGCTGGATATAAGAACTGCGAGCCCAAAGATTGGGCTCATTTTCCTGAAAAGTGTCAATAAAGTGAAACTAGTATTCTCGAGTTAGGAATAGAAACTTTGGGTGAAAGGTCCAAAACGGTTGCGTTTTGAAAATGATAGAACTACCGAAAGTGAGTCAAAAACTTCCGAGAAATTTATAGTCTGTTCAGATTTTGAATGTCAAGTCCTCGCTGAAGCCATCCACAGAACGTTTTCGAATGACGTCATTCTACTTGACATTCAAAATCTGCACAGACTATAGATAGAAACCAATTTTTGAGAAAACAAAGAAAATTTATTCATCACTATCTAACGCCTCTCACTGCGAATCCATATAATCTAACTAAATTCTAAAAAAAGAAATCTATGAATCCAAGTCAACGAAAGAAATGTTCTATTTGAATAAATCATCACAGTCGCAACATGAAAGGGGGTTTCTTATCAACGTTTTTTCCAGCGAAACACGCCCCTTCTGTGAACTTTTGATTATTTCAAGGTTCGATGAGATCATGTCATCTTTTGAAAAAAATTTGTATGGAGTTTGAACTTCCGGCATGAACGATATCTGGATAAATTAATCGATATAAAGTTCAAAAACAAACTTGTGTATTCCAATTGCGGATAGTTCTTCAAGAACGGGGCTTAAAGCTGAGGCAAGTTCGAAACTTCTGAATGAAACTCAATCGACTGATAACCTAAATAATCAATCAAAAGACAATGAGACGAATCGATCGATATGATTGGATAAGCTATAGCTGCTCTATGAGCCTCCGAATTCGGTCTTCAAAAATAAATTTGCGCAAATATGTTGTCTGGATCAGTGCGTCGTGTCAAGTGCTCGTCTGAGGCTCTCATCGGTGTAGTTTCCTCGCGAAAAAGAAAAAAGCTCCAAAATTTTTTTTCTTTTTTAGGTTTTTTTTAGTTTAATCGATAGAGCAGCTTTTACATAGTACTGTAATCATATCAGTTTCAAAGGAAAAGCTCGAATATAGAGACAAAAAAAGGACCGGAAAATCGCACTTTGTGGACTTGAAAGCTTCATAACTTTATCAGCTTTCGAATTATGTAGATCATCACGAGATCAAGCTTCATATAGAAGATTCAGACTTGCCTCAGCTTGTAACTCAAAATTTTGACTTTACCAGGGATTGAGATGTATCACCCGTCTCAAAACGCTCATCAGGAAAAACGCCTGAGGCCAGGTTTGACTTCCCTAGGTCAACTAGAAACTAAGTTAGAGGCGATCAAAAATAGGGGCCTAAAATTAAAAAGTAGGTCAAATTCGGTATCAATCGATAGAGGTGATCAAGGAGATCAGGAAAAACTGAACTTTCGAGAACAAAAAATATAAATTTTCTAAAAGCGATAAAAATCAAAAATATCCAACTGTAAAATCTTTTTTTTTTTTTGAATGCTATCTTCAAAATTTTTGGACTCATGACGTCGATCGGCTTGAAAATAATGTGCAGCAAATCTTCACGCGAATGGAGAAATACTGTCCGATAAGAAGATATTTCGACGTCACAACTCTTTGTCTTAGGCTGTCACTGATTGGAAAATATTGTGGCCTTTCAAAAATATCATCATTTTTATTGGCAAGTTATCGCTGAATCAACTTCAACCACGCCAAAAAGATTCAAAAGTTCCATTTTTACGTCTCTTATCTATACAACGGATTAAACTTCTAGCGTCAATCGGATGCATTTCAATGAAGAATCACAAGCAGGTCTCTTGTTTATTGGCTTTTTTCCATGGCCGCACTTAAAATGGCTTCACGCGTTGCGGTTCAATGTAAATTTTGAATCCAGCTTCGCTGAAATCTGCGCCCTCTCTTGATCAGATGCTCTTTTTTATATAACTAGATCACATCAGTTAGGGACAATAAAAAACAGGCAGGTCCGACTATTTCAAATTGACGCTAATGTGTTGAACAGTGCGTTCTCATGCCCTAAACTCTGCAAGGGGGTACAAGAGCATCAAAACTTTTCAGCTTCTCGGGAACTCTTTTCATTTTGCTTTGAGAGCGTTTATATGCTCATTAACTACTTACTTACTTAGATACTTAGATGGTCCATCTTCGCTTTCGACCTTTTATTGCCTTTTAGTGCCTTTTATTGATCGAAGCGTGGACCACACGTTTTCCAGGAGATCTTATGCAATCGGTCACCCAGTGTTGTCGTCCTGGTTGACTGGTATTCTTGCGAAAAAGTTCCATCCGTGGTGTTGAACGTGTTATAGCATAATTGTGGTCTTATTATCCTTTTTGCCTTGCCAGGGCTAAAAAAGACCGCCCATTCTGTTAGCAGAAGCAAGCCGAACTGCGTGACCGGTGTACCGTTAGCCGCCATAAATGGCGTTGCCTGCCCATCACCGCGTAGAGGTGGTACTTGAAGGGGATGCTCATTAAGCATGACATAATTTATATACAAACTCCCAAACTTCACAAAAGTGACACGAAAATGGAGAAACAGGCTATTAGAAGCGAAAAAACCGTTTGCGAAGAAGTTTTCGTGGTGGTCTCCACTTTTATCGTCGTCGGATGAGATCCTGGGTTCTGTGTTGGACCGTTCGGAGTTGTTGACGGCGCTGAACTCGTCTTTCTCGCATCTTCTTGGAGGTCAAACGTGGCGGTTCCTGAATTTTCCGAGTGTTGAATTGGAAAAAATCGATGATTTGTAACCATTATTGATCACTTTCTGCTAAAATTAGGAGTATCAATTGATGTTAAAACTTACCGTTGAACATGACTAAAGTGCAGACAGGGAAATCGTAGGAGGGACGGAGCATTTGGGGTTTGGTTGTAACTGAAAATTAGTTTCTTTTTTCTCGGAGAGGAATAGTCCGTCGGACAGTTCTCGAGCGTCTGCGTCTCTCTGTTCCCTCACTGTCGTGGTAAGAGGAACATGAAAATAGCAAGTAAAACCTGAGAGACGAGGATAGCACAGAAAAGTCGCAATAACGGACTTTACAAAATTGTTACCCATAGATTCCCGCAACAAAACTGTCTGGACTGATTCTACCGTCGGGCGTAAATTCAGTGATTCCCAAGTAGATGATCAATGTCCCACTGGTCTGAAAGTATCAAATCATCAAAAAATTGTTCTTTTCGAGAAAAAAAAAGTGAAGCTTTCTGGGAAAATTTTTAGCGGGCACTATAGAGTTCTGACGTTTTATTTGTCACTATAGTCAAATTAGTGGCCCCTTAAGGTGTTGAAAATTAGTGGCCACTGTAGAGGTCTAAGTGCTACTACTAGACCATTAAAAATTTTAGTGGCCACTTTAAGGGTCAGTGGATCTGGTTCAATCTATTTGTTTTAAAATTATCAGAGTTACTGGAAGGAATACTGGATAAAAAACTACTGAAGTGGCCACTAAATAGAGAACCTCTACAGTGGCCATTAAAACGTAAAAAATGGCCACTACAAAAGGTGAGTTTAGTGGCCACTTTAGGGTCCTCTCCAAGTAGTCCTTGGCGATATAGAGACCACTAAACATTTTCTTAGTTCACGGTTGTCCTTTACCTTTCTACAAAACTTCCCAGCCAAGTTTCAACAAATTAACAAAATTTGCATTTCAGCAGATACTTTTTGATGTCATAGCGCGTAAGCCGTTCCGTGTCGGTCACTATTTCAAACAGCTACTGGGCCCTTTCATGAGAAATTCTTTGAAAATAGAGATCAAGGTTCTTTTCTAACTATTTCTCAAATATTTCGCTGAAAACCCACCATTTTCAAATTACTCATGACGCCGACGACATCTTTACCCGACAGAAGAAGCACCAGAGGCTGGTTTGATGAAACTGATAAATTTTTGCCTTCCCACGTTTTCGTCGAGTATTTCGTCCAGTCGACCGCGTTCGTTGGTGGAGCTTGAAGATTGTAAATCATTAAAGATATCGCGAATTTCGATCCTCACCTGGGTAAGAATAGACGACAAGTTCGGCTTGGAAATCGTCTTTTGGCGACCAGGACAGAGTGACGGCCGGCTTAGTCAGGACCGAGACTCCATTCTTGTCGTTTTTCACGATTTGGTTGCCTCTGAAGTTGCAAAATTCGAAAGTATACTTCGTAAGGCCTCATTAATTGATATTCTCATTACTCGAACAGTCGGGAATAACCGAATAGTAGTCCGGGAGAAAGGCTCAAAACTTTGAAAATTGACTGATATTTGCTACGAAAAACGCTCCAAAAAACAGCCGAAAGAGCTTCTGCCAATATCTTTAAAAAAATGGGCGAAAATCTAACAAAATATAAAAATTGGAAGTCAAACTAAAAGGTCAAATATTAACAAAATGAAGTTTATTTTTTTCACGTTATTTTAATTTTTTTTGAAAAAAATCGTTCAGTTGAAATCACTACTGAATTTTTTTCTACATTTCTGATAAAAAAGGCCCATGACTAAAAAACCGGGAAAAAAATCCGATGAAATTAGGCTTGAAATTGTTTTTCAATAACCTTAATTTCAACCTTCAAATAGAAATCTTACGAAATGAGCAGCTGATTCTGGTTAAAAAAGGCGATTCGGTCATTGATCATGTAGTTTGTTGCTGGATTCTGGTGATAGGCCAAAAAGGCGATCAATTGGGGGTTGAGTCCAGGACCTGAACTGATGAAATCTCGTCTTTCTGATTTTCTAGAAGAACGAACTGGCAGTGAGATCTTGCGTGAATTCCCATGATTGCGGGAGTTTTCCGAGGGACGTCTTTGTAACCATTTTTCCAGAAATTGTGAGGAGCAAACGTTTTCGTTACTCTGGTTAGCACCTGTAACAGGTATATGAGAGTGGAAGAAATACAGATGCGGAAAAAGTAAATGTAAAAATCCAAAAAGAAAAAACTGAACAGGAGAACAATAAGAAAAGAAAGAAAATTTAATTTTAAGGCACCCTGAAATTTTTTCATGACGAAATTTTCGCAACACAGTACCTTGAACATAAGAATAGGCCATGGCAAAGCTAGCCAGGCTTTTCTTATCCGCTTTGGATCCATCAATGGTCAAAACGGAATTCCAAGGAGTCGTGAACTGAGCTACGCCTGTGCCGCTGGGCCTTAAAATTTTCGTCTCATTTTACTTCTCACTCAACGATTTGAAAAAAAAAACATGATAGTATAGTCAATTTTATCCCGACTTGAAAGGCGAGGGAGGAGGGGCAGAGGGCGGGACGCGTAGCATGTGCGTACGCGGTTCTTGGCACGAGTTCATTTCAAGCGCCAGAGACTATTCAAAAAGCTCGGTCACCGCTCTTTTTTTATATGTTCTACTAATTTTTAATGCAGACATGAAGAAAATCAATAAATAATTTAGAAAATAAATGAAAACGGCGATAAACGAGCACTCCAAATAGTCGCTGGCGCTTGAATTGAACTCGTGCCAAGAACCGCGTACGCACACGCTACGCGTCCCGTCCCTTTTTTCAAGTCGGGAAACATTGACTATAATTAGGAATCCCATGTTCAAGCAGAGCAAAGTCGCTGAAAGTCTGGCCACGAACATCAGAAAAATTTTTAAAATCCAATCGGAGTGTTTTTTTGAGCCATTTGATGATAAGCATTCGACTTTAAAATAACAGGAATTATCAGGCTAAACGCGCATGTATCGAAGACATAGGTGGATCCGGAGCCTTTCTACTTTTATCAGATTCTGTTTTTGTGGAGGGGGTCTTACGTCATGACGTCACTATTGAAAAGTGGCCTGGTCCATATATTCTCGAAGAAGAGCGAGAGAAAGTGACAATTCGGTGTCGAACGAGCTATATATAATTTGAATTGTAAGAAAATTCTCTCATACAACAATTTTTTTCAAAGAAAAACGTCATTTTATTTCGAAATTTAGACCAAATTCTCACTTGTAGTCGCTGTCACTGACGTCCGTTCCAATACTGAGCTGGCCGGCTTCGATCGAACTCATGTTGAATGAAAAGGTGACAATCGTTCGCGGAACTTCAGAGAACTAGAATAAATCCGTTTGAGAATTTAGGTAGTAGATTTTGGCTTTTCAAGGGACCACTTAAGTTGCACTAATGAAACTTGAATATAGACAAGTTTCAAGGCGTTTAAAAGCGCAAAATTCTTGTAGAACACTACAAAAGCCTCGGTTTACCAATTTTGGCCATAGAAATTCTCAGCAAGCTTTTCTACTCGAAAACCAACAAAGAAACCTATGAAACTCACAAAAACTGAGCATTTGAATCCAACAATGGATTCCAGTTGGTCCAAAGACTGATTCGGCCAGGATCCGTTGACCACGTTTGGTGGCGGCAGTTGGAAAACTCCATTCGGGCAATTCACTGAAGTTTCAAAGCTTAAATGAAAAGACAAAATATAGACGATTCACGGCTAGCTTGGGACGCAAAAAGGCGTGGCCTGTCTGCACTCTCCACTAACCAGGGCACTGTCTCGTCTCTTTTCGTGGCAGGACCCTTTTCTCGATGGATCAAGCCAGCCGTGAATCAGCTATATAAGAAAATCCACAAAGTGGGCATGGAATGGGTGAAGATAACATTTGTCCAATTTTCGTTAAAAAGTCTCATTTCCAAAGGGATTTATGCAATTTCAATACAGGTCTTCACGCGAAGAGCCATTTTCAGCGCTTGATTCATTCTAGAATTTTCGCGCCTTCAAAAACTACAGCAAGGGTATTCGAACGAAACTTTTCCCCTCAAAGCTTCAATTTTATGGGAAACATTCTTTCAAATCTCGAAAATCGTTCCTCTAATAATTTTACAGCGTAATTACCCTTCTTAATTAATAAAATTCATCAAAAACCCACAAGCCTGCGCCGATGAGAAGGCCGTCAGAAAAAGCACTACGAATAGCATTTTCGCCAAAAAATATCGCAACAATTATTATCACTAGTCGGTTTTTATGCCTATTTCTTATCGAGAAAAAGTCGTCTAAGCCCTTAAGCTTCTACTATCTTTTCCCACTCCTCCCTAGTGATTCATTCCATCGTTCTTTTTTGGAGATTTTTTGAGTATAGATCGATTGAAAACATCACTTTGGGGTACATTATCTGGTTTTGAAGCAGTTGATTCACCACTGGAAAACACTTTCGAAACTGTGGAGGGTCATTTTTGAGCCTTTGATGTCGGGATTTATGAAAAAACCATCAAGTAAGCTATTTTTCGAGATAACTATGCTTTAATGTGAGAAATGCGATAATTTATTGCTTTCATAACAGATATTCAAAGATTTCCTCGGAGCTTCACGTTTCGAAAACCATGGTCGCACTTGGAATGGTTATTGACGTCAAAATTTCGATTTTCGCGCCATTCCAAGGGCGGATTGGGTATAAAAGCTCTTTTAGAAAACTGGCAACAAGACCGAAAAAATAGAAGATCCAAAGAAATGAATGAACAATTTATTAAGCCATGTCATACATACAGGGTGGTCCTAAGAATTTAAAAAATCCGTGTAGCATTTTCGGACAACCCAATATAATTAAATTAGACTGAAAATACAGCAGCAGTGTCAAACACGTATTAAAATCGTTCGCAATGTCAAAAGCTTTTGCTTAATTTCAACATAGTTCCAATTGAATATCCGCTCATTTCCTCGGTGAAGCTGTGAGGTCTTTTCTGGAATTTGTCAATCGGGATTTTTGGTTCTAAAGAGGATATTACTTGACTCCAGTCAAGCTTCTCCTGACTGGATCCCTCCGAAGTGTTCCTGACCGGTTATTGACCTGTCCGATCTTCTCAGCGAAATTCACGCTGCTGATTGATTCGTTGACGCTTGAAATATCCGGGGATAAGTGAACTATCACCAGGGTTTTGCTGTCCCCATCTGAAAATGAAGACGTTGGAACTTTTTCAATCCTACAAACTTCTGTACATAGTTTAGCCTTTTCTGTGATTTCTAGATAAGTCCTTCTAGCTTATTCTAGTATCTTATATACAGCTCTCGCAAGTTTTACGTAAAAAGCTTCATTACAACTTTTTTTGTTCTTTGAAAAAAATATATTTTCTTTCAACGTCTAAAAAAATTAAAGCTACCCCTACAACGTCTTCACCACCTGCGGGCACATCAGAATAATTATTTTTTTCTGTATTTATAAGCTGGACCGGTTGAAAAAAAGCGGTATTTTTTTAGTATTTCCTTTAACTATAAATATTAAAAAATCAGCTTGATCCAAAAATTTTTTTTTCATCTATGAGCAGTCTGAAAATTTATATAGGAAGAATCTCCGTCCTTAACACGCTCTTCCTCTCATTTTGTCGCCTGATATCTCTAATATTTAAAAATCGGGCTCGAAAAAGCGCGGAGAAAACATACAGATAGAATTTTTTTGCCCAGAATACAGGAAGCTCACTTTACATCACTTTGTGGAATTGCTACGACTATGTTCAGTTACATTCTAATTTTCCAGAGAAACTTCTTTTCTTCAAAATTGGTCATTTTTCAAGTGTTGATTGGAACTCACTCAAACTGTCCTCGAGAATCCGAGTCAGCTGACAATTCCTAAACGGAATGTGCTTCTGATTCTGGCGCAGAGCCAATACGACATTCCCCAGCTCGGAGAGAGATCTGAAAAAATTAATTTGATATAAAATTATCATCTATATTAAAATCGGCTTGAAAAAATTAACCATTGAATCAACAAAAAAAGAACAAGCAGAGCTACCCTAAAAATTCCCAGGAAGAAGAAAAATTAAACAAAAAAATTCAAACAAAAGTTTCAACTGAACAAACTTTTTGTGGAAATATTTCGATTCAGAGACGATATGCCCAAAAAGCAGGACTATCAAGGTAGGTTTCAAGAAAGTCAAAAAGGGAGCTTTTCGGTACTCTTATAAATAAATTTCCAAAACTGAGAAAAAAAGAAATCACAAATCAAAGCTCCAAAAAATCCTGTCTTACCAGACACCCAAGAGATTATTTTTTGCGATTTAAAATTTCGAAAAATGTTTGAAGCGTTCAAAAATCAATGAAATTCGTTCAATAACAACTCAAAAGGCTGCCACATTGAGGAAAAAGCAATCCGGCCGCGTGTAGAGACACAGAGGAACTGATAAAGAAATTCAAAGACAAGGGTACAAGTACCGTCAAGGCGAAAGTCGGCAAGAGTCGGACACAATAGCCTAAGGGGGTATAAAAAGCAGAGCGACGGAGGCAGACGACTGGGCCCAAAAAGAGAGTCACCAAACTCCAACCGGAGTCCCACTCACTGCTGTACACAGTGAAGGCAGATTGAACATTGCCAATGATGATCTGCACCGCGGAAAAAATCAGATGAACTGATAGCAGAGGTACTGCAACCGCGAATTTTCGATGTCTATCCCAGTCGCAGATGTTCAAATCGATGACCTGCAGCGCGAGGCTTGGAAGCATCCTGACGCCGTCTACTGAGCTCGTTCGGAGCCCGACGCCGTAAACGCTTGAAGCGTATTTCGTCAGACGATCCTGACGACGATCACTCCAATCGGGAGTTGAAAAACTGCTGTACACAGTGAAGGCAGATTGAACATCGCCAATGATGATCTGCACCGCGGAACAACTCAGATGAGCTTCCTGATAGCAGACGACGTCCTGCAACCGCGAAACTCGATGTCTATCCCAGTCGCAGATGTTCAAATCGATGACCTGCAGCGCGAGGCTTGGAAGCATCATGATCTCGTCGACAGCTCTCAAGCACGACGACCAACTCAGAAATCGAGAGGGCCAGAAGCATTTCCTGACGAGGAAGATCTGCGCCGAAGAGAGAGGAGGAAGAAAAGAAGAAAAAAGGAGGAGATCGGTCCGGACTTGGTTCCCAGGTAGTACTGGGAGCCTTGTCAACTTCGACCGCTCCAAATTTTTTTTTCCATCTTTTTTTTTTTCTAAACTCTAACCAATTTGGACACGTCTCAGTAACCTTTGCACGGACGCTATCTATATTGACTTTTGCAAGGCTTTTGATACTGTCTCTCATGCTAAACTTGTTTACAAGCTTCAATTTTACGGCATTTGTGGTCCTCTTCTTGGCTGGATCGAATCCTACTTGACTAATCGTGTGCAGTGTGTTTCTCTTTCTGGAGTACTTTCCGACCCCGCTCCTGTACTCTCCGGCGTACCCCAGGGGTCGGTCATCGGACCCCTTCTGTTTCTACTTTTTATTAACGACATTACGGATAACTTTCGCTCTGCGCCCCTTCTCTATGCTGACGATTTAAAAATTTTTTCTTCGCTCACAAAAACCTCTAGTTCTACTGTCATCGAAGAAGACCTCAAATTACTTGAAAACTGGTGTTCAACATGGCAAATGGCTATAGCTCCAACTAAATGCTATTCTATTCATTTCGGAAAAACGTAACCCAAATATTTCTTATAAAATTTCAAACATGGCTTTACAGCCTAAACTTTCAGTTCGAGATCTTGGTGTAGTTTTCTCAAATAACCTTAAGTTCAATGATCATATATCTGAAATCTGCAGACGGTGTAAATGTCGCATAAATGTTATGTTTAACGTGTTTCGATCCACTGAGCTTTCATTGTATTTAAAAATGCTTTGAAGTGTATATTCGTCCTATTATTGATTATTGTTCTGTAGTCTATGCTCCAATTGACTCTCACAATATTTGTTTGATTGAAGGTGTTCAGAAAAAGTTTCTTTTTCCGAGCTTACCATCGTTGTGGCTTGCCCTACCACTCTTATTTCACTTGTTTATCTGAAAAAATAGTCTCAAAACTCTTGAGACAAGACGCCTCATCTTTGACATGTCTCTTGTTTATAAAATTGTACTTAGAGAAGTCCCCATTGATTTCGATAGTCTCTTCTTTTTCCCCCGTGTCCGTGCGCTGCGTCGCCATCGCTATTATTTACGTTCAAATATAAGACATAATAGTAACATCGTTGCCTCGTTTTTTAGTATCAGAATAATTAATGTTTAGAACTCCCTTCCCGATGTTGTATTTGATCTATGTAATGATTCTATGCGATTCAAAATCTATTTAGAAAACAGCCCCCATCTTCTCGCTGACTTTCTTAAAATATCTTCTAACTTTTAAACGGTTTGTTGCTGTTTTCAATGTTTAAATTTCCCTTTTTGGAAATTGGTTCTGTTAGAGGTCTCTTCGGCCCTTGAACTGTATTATTATTCGTATTGAATAAATGATTATGATGATCACATTTTTATGTTCTGTGATTTTTTTTCACCTTTTCAAAGGTACTAATTGCTCGAAATTCCAGTTCCGAAGATGAAAAAACCCAAAGTTGCAAATTATAGGCTGCAGGCCTGGTTCTCTACTTGGGACTTTTAGAGCCTTATATCTAATATATTATAGTTCCATGTAATTAACGATTCGCTTGAGACCTTTAAAAAGCGCTTTAGATGTTAAACCTGTTAGGCCTCATTTGAACTTCAAACAAATTCATTGAACATCTCTTTCCCACTCGCCAACTCAAACGGAAAAAGGTTGAAAACCTCCAAAAGTCGACGAAAGGCGACCACTATTAACACATAGAGTGGAGAAAATCGCCCTCCAGCCGCGTGCCGAGACATAGAGACAACGAGAAACGAATACGAGGGCGAAAGTCGCTGCGAGTCGGACACAGCCGCTCGAGGGGGTATAAAAAGCAGAACGACGGAGGCAGACGACCGGGCAGGCGCTCCGCCCGACAAGAGAGTCGCAACCCCTGAATCACGTTGAATACATTGAAGTATCCCGTTTATCGCAATTATCCCGCAAAATCCGCAGAAGACACATCTCCAGAACGATGACCTGCACCACGAGGCTCGATAGCCTATCCAGAACACCAACGCCAGAAAAAACTCGCAAATCTCCTGAGCACCACGAAGCCGGACGGCCATCCTGAGCGAGATGATCTACAAATCGCGCGACAGAAGCATTTCCTGACGAGGACGATCTGTTCCGACGCTTCTTGAAGACCACCTGGATCATGAGGAGCCCTACGGTGACACCCGCGATCACATCAAATCACTCGAACAAATCGCTACGCATACGAGGATTGACGAGAAGAAGAAAAGAAGATCGAGAAGAAAAAAGGAAAAGATCGAGAAGAAGAAAAAAGGAGGAGATCGGTCCGGACTTGGTTCCCAGGTAGTACTGGGAGCCTTGTCAACTTCGACCGCTCCAAATTTTTCAGTTTCTTGTTGAAGTTCAAAAATCAAGCAAAGCCAAATGAAAAGACTTTTTTTCAAATAAGAAGTATTAAAAATTGAAGAGAAATCATTATGAGAATATTTTTAGATATTTGAAAATCTAAAAGAGCCGCTGACTTCAAAAACATCGTAAAGAATTAAGTCCCGCTGAAATCTTTACCGAACTGACGGTAATTTTAACTTTCTACGGCTTCAGAAAACTTGAAAAATTAAACATACAATGATTCGAGAAGCTCAGTACAGCCTCGAATTGATGGGAAATTTTCAAATATCGTTCGTAAGTTGTAAAACACACGGGAAACATCAAAACTGCAAAAAAAAATAGGTGATAAGACATTTTGAACATGCTACAAACTTACTTCTGCCCTGATTATACGTCTCAGCTTTTTTAAAAACTTATTTAGAAACTCGAAATTTCATTCGAAGCGAGAAGACTGACGATAAACTCGAGTTCCAATAAATTCTCCACACCGACGCCTAGATGACCTCTCCTGTGAGACGCCAAGACCACCTGTCTCCATGGAGCACAAGAAACGGAGCAGATGGCAAAGCCGTGTAGGGTCGGATGCACCAGGATAGAGGGGTATATAAGCGAAGGGTCATCGGTTGGTCAGCAGGAGTAGTCGCAAGGCTACTCTCACGGGACGCCGTCCCCGTTCCATCTAAAAGGCGGCGAAAAATACCGGGCAAAAAAAATTCCACTTCGACTGAAAGACCACAACAATAAGATCGTTGTAGGAGCGGTCCGGATCTGTTCACTACGAACAGAACTAACTCGACCGCTCCTTTTTGTCTTTATTGCGTTCTTGTCAACTATATACTAGCAATTCTTAACTAAGAAACGTTTTTTTTCCAGTTAGGAAGCTTCCAAGATTGCAAATTATGCCGAAAAATTAACGAATTTTAAATAAGTGACTCTCCCCATAACCCAAAAAGTCTCTAACCTTTCTGAAAAAAGGAGTAAAAATACATACTTATTGATGGCCTGGGCCTCCTTCAGCAGCTGGCCAGTGGCGTTGGTTTGGGAAACCCTTTCCGAACCGGCCAAATCGACCAGATTCAGCCTCCCAACAGTTGAGTTGCCAGTTATCCTGTTCGTTGCACTAACAACTACGCGAACAATAACATGGGATCGGCTAGACTCGATATTCGCCTCTGTGGCAGCGACGGCCTGAGAAAAAAACTGATTAAAAATCTGGAAAATTTTAAATTTAATCACAAGGTAGTTCATTTCATTTTGAGATTGGGAATTTTTCAAAAATTGGCCAGAACTCTTATCGATTAACCAGAAAAAATCCTGAGAGTCTCAACCTACACAACTTCTTAGTTTTCAAGAAATAAGAGCTCAAAGGCCCAAGAAGCCTATTTTTTGGGTTTTTTGACTCAGAGGTGTCCTTACTCGAAAATATAGGAAGTTGATCAGGTTAAAACATTTCAGATCTTTTCCTAGTACGCCAATGAGTATAATGGCTAACTTTCAAGCAGTTTTCACACGCAACAAAAAAATGACCTCCCTTGAAAGATAAAGGGTAGAGAACATCTGAAATGAAAAACTAAAGCGGCTAAACTTGATTTCTCCTAACAAAGGCCGCTATGTTACAATTTACATTATTTAAAAACTTACGAGACAATTTTCCATGAACTTGAACAAAAAAGTTCTTGAGTTTCATCCAAAACCCTATCATGAAGAAATTCAATTTGAAAAATCAGCAAACCCATAGAAAGTTTGAGAATTCATAGTTTATTGAGCAGAAAATTAAAATTCGATTTTAAAAATACCTTTCCAAATTACACGAAATTTCAAATACAAGCTCGTTTCTTAACTAAAACTTTATCTAATTCCCAAAAAATCACCTTATTCTTCCTCCCCTTGGCCAGAACATCGTAGACTTCTTGTGTAGAAGTCACTGTCACTTCTTCCAAGCCAGGAATCGAACTTTTGCCTTCCTCAGTTTGTCGAATCGTTAAATTAGTGTTATTAGTATTCAGAAGATCCCTAAAGTCTTCACTTAACAAAGTTTTGAGCAGTTCTTTCTGTACCTAATCTTTTCGTTATAAATCTCCATCATAGACACCCGAATCAAATAATCAATATCAGATTGGCGATCTTTAGCCGCAGCGAAACAGCTGCATTATTGCTCTTTGGTTGATTCCCGGGCTTTCCAGTGGTCCCTCAAGGGAATATCGATTATTTTTTTTTTCGAATTTCAAACCTCCATGGTGTACGTTTTTCCACTTCCAGTGTGACCGTAGGCGAAAATACAGACATTATAGCCGTCGATACAGCTGGTGATGATGGGTGAGACTTCGGTGAAGATCTGGAAAATGCGGACGATTTTATAATAAAGACGTTTTGGTGATAACAAGAAAAGGCTGGGATTTGTCTGCAAAATTGTTCTTTTACAACCAAAAAACTGCTCAACATTCAAAAATCAACTCACTACCTCAAAAAAAAGGCGGAAGTCCGATTTTCAAAAAAAAAAAATCACTTTTTACCCGGTTTTTGCTAAATTTTATAAACTTCAAAAGGCCTAGCTCTCAGTAGAACTTTACCTTAACTTCCCTTTGATCTTTGCAGATAAACTTTTTAGCAGATTTAGAGCCTCATTTTATCAAATTTTGAAGTTTTCAAGTGTTCATCCAACCAAAAAGCTCTAAAAATATTTTAAAAAAATTTTTTTTTACCCACCTGATCTTGACTAAACTGCGTCGGCAGCACTTTATCAGCACTGGCACTGGTTTTCCTCGTCCCAACTCCGGAACCAATATGAACAACTCCATTATCCATTTCGTCAATCACCACAGCCGGTTTGCTCGAAAGCTCTTCAGTCAACTGCGGCCGGATCCGGTAGAAAACTCGGATGTTTCCTAGAATAGGTATTTTTTGAAGTGGAAAAACATAAGGTTGAAGGTCCAAAATAAATAATTTTCTCTCAAGTTTTGAACGATAAAGACCTAAAAATCACAAGAAATTCAGTTTTCAAGTGAGAAAAATCGAAATATGTACAGGAACAAGCGAAAAAAAGAAAAATCAATCAATTATTTTTTAATGACTTTGAGAAAAAAAAACGCTTCGATGCTTCCCAATTTTGTTTGAGGCGAGAGAAAAAAACGTTTTTTTAACACTAACTTTTCCATTATTTTTGTATACGTTTTCAAGTTTATTTTTGTTGTAGTCGATCCCCCTAGACAAATTATAAACTTCGTTTCAACCTCTGCCATTAAAACGTTATTTTTCTCATCCTATCAAAACCTGGAACACTGACTCGAGTCGTCTTGATATAATTTCCAATTTAGATTTGTGAAATTTCGCAAAGAATTAATAAAATTACAAATTTCTGAGCAGTTATTAGCACATCTACTGAGCTCATTTAAGGCCGATATTTTCTTCAAGTTTCCAATCACCATTGAGCTCGACGAGCTGATTGTGGAGCTGTTTGCGTTTCTCCATTTCGGCCCTGTATCTTTCCAGAAGGACCCGGAAAAAGTCGGTCGTTTTCGACTCCAACATCAGCTTCATTTCGCCCATGCAAACGCTGAAAGCCTCTTTCGTATCCAAGGCCAACTGCTTCAATTCGTCCTGAAAATGCATAGTTTATTTTTGATTTTTCTATGGGTTCGATCATACCTTTTCCCTTTTCAGCTCTTCCGCACACCTTTGGATTTTCTTCATTTGCACCTCGTCGCGCATCGTTTGCACTATCATTGGGTACGATTTCACTTCTTTTTCAGGCAATGAACTGAAAGAAGAAAACATTTGTATATTTAATTATCTCTGTAACTAAGAAAAAAAGCCAAAGCGGTCCCTATAGGGGTTAGGTGAACAACATACACTATAAAAGACGAAAAAGACGTGCCCCTATGGAGAAGGGGGGGGAGGTGAAACTTGGGCGCCCTAGGAGTTTAGGGTTTGACTCCATAGTCCCTAAAACTTGAATCGCCCTTATTTTCGTTCAAAAAACGCTAATTTATTGAGTGTTTCGCAATCTTCTCATGCTCTTCATAACAAAAATCAACTAGCATGTACCCAATACGGGCCACTAACTAGAACCTCTAGAGCGATTGGTAAAGTGACCCCTTGAGGGGTTCTTCAAAGGTCCCCAAGGATTGTTCCTATAGGGACATTCTAGAGATTCTGAGTTTTTATTTTTTTTAAAACAAATCCGCGTGAATATTTATCACAACCTTCTGTTTAATCTCTTGAGAAATGAGAAAAAAAAAATTATCAAAAAGTTCAAGCCTTGTTTCTTAAACCAAGAAGTGAGCTCATATGGAAAATTTCTTTCGAATTTAGACTTTTGACATTAGTTTTTGAATCATCAACTTCAAAGTTCGAGTCGTGTGAGAAGTGTTAAAATGAGTTCTAAATGGACTTCCGAAAATTCATAGAGGTACATTAAAAAAAAGATGGAGATTGATTTTTTTGGAAATCAATTAGACTCGAAATCACCCTTTTGAATTTAGTTATGAACTTTCCGAGTCCTGGTGAGGATTTAAAAAAAATAAGAATTTCGAAGTCTTTCCTTGCGGAGAGAACACGTAGGTCAATTTTCGAACCCTTCTTTGGAAATACCCCAGAGTTTCGGTCATTTTTCCTACGATTCACCTCTCCGGTACCCGCTCCTCTCCAGTGGTCATATCACTTTCGTAGTCCTCGTCCGTCTCCAGAAGCTGATTCATCCGCGACGTCTTCTGCATCTGGCTGATGGCGGCTTTGAGGCGGAGGTTCTCCTCGGAGAGGACGCCAAAGTCCAGAGAAAGCACTGAAATTCCTTTCAGTACTTGATTTCGGCGGACGTACGACGAGGCGCGCCCTGCAACACAACCGGTAATGCTCAAAAAAACAACTTTATCTTTTTTGATTTCAGATAATTAGGTGAGCCAAATGAGAGGATCGTTTAGAAGGTTCAGGAGAGTGACTATAGAAAAAAGTTGAGAGGTCACTGAAGGGATTTTAGAAAAAAGCTGAGAGGTCACTGAAGGGCCATATTTCTATAATAAAGAGAAAACTCGGACTTTGTTAACGCTACCCGGACATGTCGGAGCATTTCTAGTGACCCCTTTAGTAGCGTTAGAACTTCTTAAGTGATTTCTATCCTTGCTTAGATAACTCCGGTTTTCGTTTCCGAAAACAGATGAGTAGTAAATGTGCTCTACGGACAAAGACCAATTTTTTGGTCGAAAATTGGTGACTTTTCAATTTTTTGCTCATTTTTTTTGAAGTACACAGGTACGTTGAATTAAAAATCCAACAAAAATCGAGTTTTTAATGGGTTAGATTGATGAATATGTGATGGAATGGATATTAAAAAACTTCTCAACATGAAAAACACCATTTTTTTAAACTTATTGATAATTTAAATTATTTTTTTCGTAAAAAAAGCGACTGATAAGTGTTATTTTTTTGAGCATTGAGTGGTGTTATTGCATGGTGCGCAGAGACAGAACAATGAAAAAAAAACTGAAGATCATGCGTAAATTATGAAAAAACATGCACTTGGTTAGTTACTTTCATGCAAAACAGAAACTTTAACACTGAGCAGAAAAAAAATCCATAAAAATTACCTTGGATGAAATCTTCCATGTTGGCGATTCTTGTCTCCTGCTCGTCGATTATGTCTTCTAAATTTCGGATAAGACGATCTTTGGTCTGAAAATAACCCTGTAAAGTGAAAAAATAGTAATTTCGGTAATTTAAAACTTGTTCCCATACATTTGAAATTCAAACAATCAGCGCTCCTCGAAAAAAATTAAATCGAAAAACCTCTTTTCAAGAAAAATTTGCGAGTCCGTAAAGTTCTCTACAAAGCGACTAAACTTCAAAATGAGGCACAAAAAAATTTGAAAAAAATTTTTTTAAATATCAAACCTAAAAAAATGAAATTATCCTTGTTGAAATCCAATATTAAGTACAAGATTTTCGAAATTTCTTGCGATTCGAGAACTTGAAAAAAATTGAAGAAACCGCTGCTAATTATGACATCTTTTCGGAATAGGAAGAAAAATCCTCTTTAAACTGAAAAAAGGATAATTTTTCGCGCTCCAACCTCAAGATGGGTCTCCAGGATCCGCATCTGGAGCCGCATATTGACGAGCTCGACCTCGTGGATGTACTTGCATTGCTGGAAGATGTCGCTCTCGACGGGCCCATCCATTCCCGTCTTCCAGAACTTTTCTTTTCGTTCGTTTATGTATCTAGTTGACTACACAGATTTTTTGAGTGGAAACTGCAAAAAAAAACTATTAAAACAGATTGAAAACCCGCAGCAAGTTCAAATTATTAGCAAACGAGAAGAGCCGGAAAAATAATAATAACACGACGGGCAGGTAAATCAACAAAGTAGCGCCAGGCGCGGCAAACAAAAACACGAAAGATAGATAATACAGCTTGGCGGTAGGATTCGCGTCGGATAAAACCCATTGGAAACGAGATTTCGAAGCATTTTGTGCGTACAAATTTTATTGTACCAATCAAAAAAACAGAGGTTGGAAGAAAAAGAGTACCAAATGCAATAACAAGGAAAATTGTAGCAAGGATGACTTGATTTATAGAAAAATCCTGGCTGAAAAAGAAAAAAAAACACCGAGAATAATTATTTTTGAAAAATTATTCTGCGCTTACGCACACACTGAATGTGAACATTTTTTTCTACAGTAAGATATAATTGAAAATTTCAGTTTTCTTTTTGAGACAGACTTTGCAAAATGCTGAAACTTGGCAACAAGCCAGGAAAAAAGAAAAAGAGTGCAGCATACAACAAATAGAAAGAAGAACAACACATGGAGGAGAACCAGTTGTGAAGGAGCAATCGAGACAGTAATTTTACCGGCGAGTGTGTCAGCCTTTTTGCGGCCACGTATATTTCGGACAATATTTGTACTTGTTCGATGCCGTGTGTTGCACGCTTCGTTTTATTTTACTTCAAATGTTTGTTTGATTAACTCGTGAGAAAAGGGAATTGCAAACTTTAATCTTTTTGTGATTTTTCTTCAAAACCAAAAATATATCAACCTTACTGATGATGACAATGAATTTTTCGCATTTAAAACAGCAAAACTTAAAAAAAAACTATTCGGAAGGGCAATAAATTGGCGTCGTTATGTGTCCTACGTCATTACGCTGGAAATAATTGGTTGACATCAAACTTTTTTGTGTTTTAGATGCTAGAAAATGATTAATGACTTGTAGAATAGAAAGCTGGAAACCCAAGAAAAAAAAGAGCAAAAAGAACAAAAGAAGAGTGACAAGTTTTCCCAAAGGAATAGCGATTAGGCGACCTAAAAGTCAAAGTTTTGTCTCAAAAAAGGATTTCCCCAAATAAAAGACATCATCTTGTTGGTTGACTTCAAGAAAAAAAACTTTTATGTTCAAAAAAAAAAAGGGAAAATGAAGAAAGGCATTACCACTGCCAAAAAATCTCGAAGCTCCGAAACAAATGACGAGAAATGCCAAAATGCCTCAAAGAACACTAAGAAGATGAAAAAGAAGACTAAAAACAACGATGGGAGCAGCCAAACCGGGTCAGAATCATGGTTTCAAGCCGAAAATGACGAAGAGCGCCCGGCGCGGAAACACACCGAAATGTTTGTGTTTTGGCTTCCCGCCAAAGAAGGCTCGCCCACGAAAAGAATGCACCTTTGTTCACTGTAATTTTTGAAGAAATCCATGAGCGAAATGAGGCAAGCTTCAGCGCAAAGCTAGTAAAGAAAGACAAATTATTAAAACACTTTTTCAACAAATAAAACTCATTGTCGAAATACTCAACGTTTCAAAGAAATTCACAATTTCTTGCGTGACTTTACCACAAAAAAATTTCATTTCAAATTTATTGAAAAAGGGCGGCACGCACTCCAAATTGCAGGGTCAAAACTAGACAAATTGGAAAAATGTTTCAAAGGAAATAGGTTGAGTTCCCCTGGGAAAGAAAATGCAGGAAATTTCTAAAATTTATAGTGAATATTCTCTTCAAAAATCCCTATTTGAGTGCTAGAAAAGGAAGAATTATTGAATGGCTTAAAAAACTCCGAAAAGAATCGTTATCTAGAAAAATTAATAAATGAGCCCAAGCCTCTTCAAGCATGTCAACAAAAAATTTCCAACAGAAGATGCAAAAAATATCAATTTAAAAGCATAAAAACCGATAAAAGGAAAAATACCGAAAAAACAGAATTAAAAAATAACTTGGGGCATGAAAATGTGCTTTTGGTGCACACACCTGAGATGCGCGTACTTTCCCCCTACTGTAAACTAAAACATTTTCCAAGAAAACTTTTTTTTTGTTGAATTTTTACACTAAGCTCCATTGAACTAACTTCACTGAAAAACTTCACTGAAAAGGCATCAATATCGCCACAAAAACTTGTGAAAAAGTCTTCTTCCCGGCGTGAAACGAGGAACCGTACAAACAGACAACAATTGTATTTCCGAGGGCGTGAAAGACGTTCGTTCCGTGTGTGTATTTGCCCAAATTCTAAAGTTCTACACATAGACAGTCAGGTTTTTTTTTCAGTACTAAGGTAAGAGAATCTATTTTTATTAATTTGATGAGGGCCCACAAGGCATCGAAATGCTATATAACTTTGGAAGAATGAGTTGTTCTGAAAACTTCTTTTTTAACTCGCAAGTCTAAAAATTGCTCAATAATCCGAAAAAATTGAACCCAACATGACCTTTTTCGGAAACGGCAATATCATTTCAATCAAGTAAAAAGAACATGAAGCTCCAAAAATTTAAAAAAGGTTCAAAAAAAGTCTTCAATTTTTTTATAGAAGCTTTTTCAACACCAAAAATCGAAGAAGAGAAAGAAGAGGTCAATTTTTTCCATCGATATTTCAAAAAAGGAGCTCCGAAAGTTGCTCAGAGCTCAAAAAACTCAAGATTTTTCATCTGAAATGAAACCCTTTTAGACTTTCCACGTACTAGCATGACGTTTAGAATAAGCAAAACTGAGTGAAAAAAGAAAAGAGGTTTTTTCCAAGAGACTTGAAAAAGCACATTTTACTCAATGAATTCTCAAAATTGGAGAGGTTCAAAAGGGGCTTTGAGAGCATATTGAGTAGAAAAAAAAGTGAGAATAGAATCGCGTTCTTCAAATAGAACAAAGCCATGAAAATGCACAATTTTCTCACTTCATTCTCAAAAATTTCCAAAAAAGAGCTTCAAATGTTGCTCAATGAGCCCGGAAGAGGTGTCAATTTCAGACAAATTTGACCACTGGGAAGTGAGTGACACACAAACACAAAACAACGGAACGCGCGAAGGGCATCGGATCATCGATCTTTTTTCCAGCAGCAGCAGCGGAGGCCAAGGACCTCCGCAGTGGGTGCCGATTCAGATGCGTGACGTTCAATTTAGTCTACTGAGTTTTTCCGGTCGTACTCTACTCTACTTTATGGATAATTACACCGTGGGTGGACAGGAGGGACTGGTAAAAACGGAAAGAACGTCACTGGAAAGCTTCAAAAGTGGAGAAAAAGGTCCAAGCTCCGTTTAAAGACGTGTGAAGTTCAATTTATTCTACTGAGTCTTTCCGGTCGTACTCTACTTTACTCTGAAGATAATTACACTCGTTGTGGATAGAAGGGACAGGTGAGAACGGAAAGAAGATCATAGAGAAGCTGGGAAAACCCTTCAAAAATTGGGAAAAAAACTCTGAAATCCAGGGAAGAATTATTTTCATAAGTAGGCCTTCGTATTATTTTTTGCGTTTTTTTTTTCATGGATTTATTAGAAGAAATGAAAAAAAATCTTCTACCTCCATTTTTTTTTCTCAAATCATCGTTTAAAAAAAACTAAAAGTTGAAGTTAGGTTTCGAAATATCTTTGAAAAACTTGTAAAACAATTCAAATTATCAAAAAAACGCCTAATTTTCGCTTTCAAAAATGAATCATTCGACCCTTGAATCATGGAATTCGCTGAATTTGAAGTCCAAAACCGAGAAATAATGTGAAAATCTGTGAAAAATGGAAGCAGATTTTGCTTCAGCTCGGGGATTAGCGAGGATTAAAGGCTTCCAGTGCTTAAAAGGGCATTTCTAATTTTTTGTCCCACTTGAAAGTAAGAAAAAGAGATTTTGGAGCAAGAAAACAGGAAAAACACAGTAAAATAATGTTGATTTTCAACGCAAAGGAGAGCGAGAAAGAGTGGAAAATATCGAATTTCCAACTCGTTTTTTTTCTCGTCCATTCCGAAATTGCCTTCAAATAGTAAATATTGTTTTTCCAAAGTCTAGACTTCAGAAAAGTGATAGATTTATGGAATAAAGTCGATTTGGAAGTGCGTCGTTCGGTTCTGAATGAGGGCCTAGGTGAATGGGAAAGATTTCGGCCGTTTTGGAGGATTTGTCGGAATAAAAGAGTGAGATTTGAAGTGGAGGAGAGAAAAACCAGAAGTTTTTTCCCGGGAATTCCTAATCGGTCACTCAAGGGGTTGGCAATCCTACGAATGTTATCATATATTTTTTTTTGAAGAACTTCTTAAAAAAACCTTGGGAGTCTGTAATCATCTTTTGCAAGTAGAAGTGTTCCAGAACTCGATTTTTCTGCGCGCCCGACTCAATACGGCTTGCGCGGTGTGGCATTGTCCAGCACTAAGATTGAATTTATGTTTTTTCTCAAAGTTCCCAACAAAAAAAAATTTTTTTTCGCTCCTTCTGCAATATATTCAGCTAAACTCCAACTCCATCAAGGCAATGAAAAATAAGAGAAAGTCGATTAAAAAAAACCAAGCAAAGAAAAAAAAGATTAGACCAAAACTAACTGAGATTTGGGTGTGGTTTACGCCATTTCTTGACGTATCAATGTGTCATCTCATTATCAAGGACACGTATCCGCCCAATTTTTCCGTTGGATCAAACTTTTATCATATCACTCTTCACTTCAATAAACGTATGAGAAAAGAATAACAAAATCTCCGAAGAGATTTGAAAAAACAGATATGTCGACTTCTTGGGATATACAAAAACGTGAGAACAACAAGAATAAAAAGAAGATAATTTTAAAAAAAATCAAGAGGTTAGAGGGGATGTGAAAACTCTCAAAAGGTTTGATTAACTTTGAGAACTGAGTTAAGATTTAAAAAAAAATAAAAATGAAAAATTTTAAGAATGGTTGGATGAAATAATGAATAATTTGAAAATTTACAATATACAGTACAAATCTTATTCATAGAAAAAAAGAAGCTTAAGATAGGGAAAAAGATCGATTTCGTTTCAATCAATAAAGATAAAATCTTGAAATTTTTCGGCCTTTTTTTCTAATTGATATTGATTATTTGATTTATACACCCCCTTTCAGAATATTTTGTTATAGCCTTGAAAGTTCTGAAATAGTTTCACCTCACATGAAACCGACCTTTTCCATGGACAGTTTGAACACGACATCCATACAACTTTCAAAAACACGGTCAATATTTCGCGTCTCGGTGGCATTGGTGAAATGCGAATAGAGGGGACGTTCTGATTGAATTTCGGAGCTGACGAGCCGCGTGAACCTGTCCTTTATGTAGCTGGCCGACGGTTCGAAGCTTTGGGCGCCTGGAAACGAGGTTAATTGATGGGTTACTCGACTAGTAGGAAACTTTTTTGTGGGGGAAAAAAATCATTTCCCAACTCACCTTTATAGTTCTGATAACACAGGGTCAATGGATAGGTTCCGATCTTCTCCTGGAAAACGTCCATTTTGTTTAAGAACAGGATGATGCCCGTTTTCTTGGTGAAGCAGGGATGATTAGCAATCTTCTTGAACAACGCCATTGAATACTTCAACTTATTCTGGGGCCTCTGAAAGGGAAAAATTGGATTTTTCCGATGAATCCTGTTGGCGACCTTCGGATCGTCGTCCTCGTTCATCGTCAAGTTGTAGTTGCTCATGTCGACAATGAACAAGACGCCATTGACGTTGTCGAAGCAGTGGATCTGGAATTGGATTCTATACTTCTATCATTGATAAATCTGTTCAACTTCTATTTTATTAACTCAAGCTTCACTAAAACCTTCAAAAGGTCAATTGAACCAAAAATGCCTGCAATTCCTGGTCTCCAAAATCTCTCAGAACCAAAATTGCCTTCGAAGTGATAAGTACAATTTTTGGAGCTTACAAAACGCACTCTGTGTTTTTGCGTAGTTTTTAGACTATAAAAGTTGTTCCACAAATGGAAAACCCACCCATTTACGTTGCTCCGATCTTTGTCCGCCGACGTCAACCATTCTAAACGAGGAACAAATTTTTGTGTGATAAAAAAAATAATGAAAGGCGTCAAGGCTTTCAAAAAACTAGGACATTTGCTTTTTTTTTGCTTGACAAATGCGCTCCAGCGAACTTCAGTTTTAACTGACTTTTATCAGTAAAACAATGAATGAAGATTTTTGTCTTATAGCGACGTGAAAGCACGAGAGATGGTTTGAAACAAAATTTATATTATACGCCCTAAAAATCATTTAAAAAAAGCGGGCTTTTTACAAATCCTGTGCCTGTTAAGAGTGCTATGGATGAACTATAACAGCTAATAAACCAATTTTCTTCTGTTACTAACCTCAAAGTCGCATTGCGGAACGGGAAACTGATCTCCGTGATTCCCGTGGTGGGAATCCTCGTCCTCACGGCATCCAACTCTGTAACGCGGTAATCTGGGGAGGCGATCCGTTCCAGTTGGTCCAGGAAGCTGTCGAACATCTTTTTATAACTCATTGAAAAGTTCCTGCTCACTAGGTTGCCGAGTCCAACAGCTCGATCTCGTTCTTGCGTCGCAAAACGGCTCTGATGAACTCGGAGCGATAGATAGTGCCGATGGCGACGGCCAGATCTCTTGTCAGATCAATGTCAGAGGGTCGGACTCGGGCTCGGTACGCTGTGAAGTAGCTCAGGGCTCTCTGAAACTTCCAGAGTCCTTTTTATGTCTCATTTAACTGGTCTTAGTTCACAGTGAGTCTTTTTACTGCAAATGTTATAGGTGATTCACGGCCAGCTTGGGGCGCTAAGGGGGCGTGTCCTGTCTGCGCTCTCCACGAGCCAGGCGCTATCTCTTTTATTATCGTTCCAGGACCATTTTTTCGATGGCTCAAGCCAGCCGTGAATCAGCTATACGCCCATTCCAAATCTCGACCCAAAACCTACCAAAAATGCTTGTGAGAAAAATAATGAAAGCTCAAAGAAAAATAAGATAATTATTTTTCTGGAGATGTAACGGACCGCATTGGTCACCAAAAACAAATCTCATTAGGAAAAAAATTTTGAGATATGATTTTTATTTTGCGAGTTTCCTGTCAACTTCAAGAAGTCATAACTTTGTCTACACACCTCCCAGACAAGGTCCAAGCTCATTTTCAAAAATCATCGTGAAAAGTTCCATCTAGGGGATCTAGTTTTATTGAAAAGCCCTACTGTAAGTCTTTTAAAAAGTTTCTTTTTTTATTACTTTCATAATAAAAAGATGACTCCGCGTAGAGCGGCTAAACGGCTTGCTCTAAAGTGCGCCCGACCTGAAACTACTTGCGCAGAAAGACATCGAGAATCATCAGGGCAAGTCAACCGCAACACGTCGAGCCATTCTACATGCGGCACGCAACCTTTGTTTCCCAGAACTAACCTGAACTTCTGAAGTCTCATCCGACGAGAAATGAAGTTGCTCCGCGGCTCGTATAAGTTGCTCTATCGACTGAATGATGTTACTGTAGACCAAGTAGCGGAAATTGACGTAGTCAATGTCGGTGAACCCATTACAGTGCAAGATTCTGCAAATTCGAGAAAAAAACTGTTGAATTCCTTCTAGTGCCTCACCTCATCTGTTTGAATATCGTGCTTTTTCCCGACTCTGGGCCTCCTAAAATTGAGACTTTAGAGCAATATTTGCAGGCAAAATATACCCAAGAGGAGAATTTTCAGGGTTTTTTCCACAGTTTTACGCTCTTTGTCGATTTGTTTCTCGATTGCGCTGTTCTTTCGGAGCATCTCTTCGACGGTAAGCGTAGTGCCGCCGCAGACATTTACTCTGAAACTTTTGAGTTCGAACCTTGAAGAAAAAAGAACTTGAAGAAAATATTCTGATTTTTGCTGTAAGATTCAACGTACAATTTTTTTAGATCAATACTGTTTGTTTAAAAAAATGGTGGAGCGTTATAAAAAAAGATCAGCTTTATCCCTAGAGCGTTCTTGATTAGCGGCTTTTTCACCAATATTTTTTTCAAAGTACTCTTTAAAAAAATAAAGCTCATTCTTCGAGGAAAAAAATCATAGTCGCCTAAGTCGTAGACATTCTCAATGGAGCGCACTTTTTTTGATAGCCAATTAAGCAATTTTTTTCTTGAAAAACAACTGTTTGGCTCCAAAAAGCTTCAAGATATCCAGCTATAGGCGAAAAAAATAGCTAGAAATATCTTAATAAAAAAATAAAATATTAAAAAAAGTTGATCATCAGACTACTTGAAATGGAATACTCAAAAAAACTATCTTACCTCAAAGTTGGTTTTGGTGTCGACATAACAACTGACATCAAGAAAAGGTGGCCTATCACGAAAAGAAACGCTTTGAACCGAAAAAAAGCCACGCCCATTTTCTGACTTTTTGCAGAGTTTCTTATGGTAGGGTGTCACGCAAGCAAGATACAAAATTTTTTTAGGAAGGAAAAATTTTTGTTCACGATTTTAACAGGTAGTCAAGGACTTTAAGCAGTCAAAATATATGAGAAAAATTATGTTAGTGTTTTTCAAATAGAATCGTTAGAAAATCCTTGGCCCATGTTTCCAACTCAAAGATCTTCTCCAGGAACTTCTACTTTTTCCGGAAAACTTATTAATTTACCTGTTCTCAACCTGGGCACTCAGTTGCAGACCACCACATAGGAGAAAACGGAAGTTAATCGTTGACACCGTGGCGGACGTTCCTTCCGACGATTCCAGCTTCTGAAGGCAGGTTAAATAGTCGGCACAGAAACGGGGAAAAAAAAAGTTAATGAGCGCCTGGGAACTTTCACCGAATTTTTCGGCTCAATCTTAAAATTGTTTTGCGTCTTGGCCGTGACGTTTGGGACAACAATCACACCCGAAAATAATTGTGTTGAGGGAGTTTTTTTCTGCATAGGTTGATCTTTTGTGGTTTCTTTTTCAGGTTGCATTTGTATTTTGATTCAACTTCTAGAAAAATTGTGTCGTGGAATTAGTGAAAACTGAAATTGATCGATTGACCGTGACTTCTGAGCTGTATAAGCATCTGAAACCGATTCGTTGCGACTGTCCGAATTAAAACGACTTGCGCGCAAATGCATCCAATAGACATCAAAGCAAACTGCCATAAGTCTTCGCAAACGTTCGACACGCTTTGACCCATTCCAAATGCGACCCGAGCATTTCAAACACTTCATCCAGGGTTTCTCCTCGAAAAATGACCCTTGAGGGACACCTTGAAATTCTCGGAAGTGCCACCGATCTTTGTTTTTTAACTCTGGCAGATCAGAAAACTTCCAAACCCCTTGTGGAGTCTAACTAGAGGCCACGCCTTAGGAAAAGCTGTCAAGCAACGCCAACTTCCCAGGAAAAAATATTCAAAAACTTGGGGAAAATCTAGAAATTTTCAAAAGACGAAACGTAGCTTGGTAATGCAGTAAAACAGGCCGGGAAAAAGTTCAATTAAAATATGGATAGACTACGGTAAGATGGGAGCCTGAGCTTCAGAAAGGTCAAAGAAGGTACAGTTTTGAGTACTGTAGACTACGGTAGACCGTTCGGCAAAACAGGAACTTACATCTTCTTCAGAAGGGTAGCATGGGAAGAGGCAGCTCATCCCGCTTGAAAAAAGGCCTCTGAACAACAGGCTATCCGCCTGGAGGCGGGACATCACGTTACGTTGGTTACCCTTCCAGGTGTAATTATTGAAGCTTATGGATAGATAATTGTATGGTTAGTCACGCGAGAAAAAAAGTGGATACTAGATACAAGGAGATTAACAACTTCTCTTTGTCATTTAAATGATGGATAAAATTAGTACTACTAGACTTTAGTGAGTTCTGATGAATTCTTTCGAAGAAGGAACTGTGTTTGGAATGACTCGACGACTGCTTTAGGAAAGTTTGGAAAGATCAACTTTCAAAGTTAAAAGCTTCCGACACGGTTAGAGAAAAAATTCGAAAACTCGGCTACGATCCAATACTTCTAGGTAGGGACCGCAGACGAATTTTCAAAAAAATTTTTTCAGCATTGAGCTTTGTATGGTTTGATAGCTGTTTCGATTCAAAACTCAGAACCGTTTAGTTTTTCGAAAAAGATTATGGATGAAAAAAGTTATGACGAAAATTGTGGCGCGCCGCGCACCATTTTTTAGTACTGAAATTTTGGTATTATCCATTTTTTTGACATTTTTTTCTCGATTTTTTTCTTCCAGAACAAGTTTTGATACTGGTCTATTATGATGTAACAAATCATAATAGATTGCTAAAATAATGCTAATCAGCTAGTTTGCCGAAAAAGTCGGTATTTTCCAGAAAACAAAAAAAACGGGCGCTTGCGGGCATCGAACTCGCGACCTCAAAACGAAAAATCGCAGCGCACGCGCTGCGCCAAGCTGTTAGGTCTAGCGAAGGGAGTTTCCATCCGCCATACCCTTGAGCCGTTTGAATAGCACAGATTGCCTATTTCAAAAAGAAAAAAACTTGAAGTAATGAAGCTATTTTTTTATCAGAATATGTTCGCAAATCTTTACTCAAACTTTTCGTGGAAATTCACTTCGAAAAAAACTGTTTTTTTAGTGCTTTTTTTGCCTCGTTTAACGATCGCTGCGTTAAAAACGGCCCCGTAAATTTTTGGCAAAGACGAATTTTTTTATTTTATTCTTTTTAATTGAAAGATTTTTTTTACTAATAAATGTATATAATCGTTTAAAAAAACCTGCGTTCGACCGCTTTCGGTGTGATAAACGCCGCTAATTTTTATTCTCTATTTTCAAGAGCATTTTTTTGCGTATCAAACAACTTTTTTTCAAGCACATATGCTGTGGAGAAAAAAATTTAAGTAAGCCCATGGTCTAAATTTTGAAAAAAACAAGAACTCGATTATATTCGCTTATTAACGATATTTTTGAATTATGACTTTCGGCACTCCCTAAAAATTTTTTTGGCAAAGACGAATTTTTTTATTTTATTGTTTTAAAAATTACCGTTACTTGAATCAAAAATCATTATTTAAAAAAAGAAAGAGTGCGTTCGACCTAAAAAAACACATGAAAAAAAGCAAAAAAACGACAAAAATTTTTTTAGTTTCATTCACGTTTTTGTACGACATTCCGCGAGAACGCATCAAAAAAGCGTGAAATATTTTTCAAACGAAAGAGGAAGCTTTTTTGTACATGTGTGCCAAAATTTATTATCCAGTTCCACATATTTTGCAACTACAGCAAAATGAAAGTTGAACACCAAAAAAAAGCCACTTTTTCTATCGCGAAAAGGGGCGTGGCTTTGCGGTCCCTACTTCTAGGCCAAAATTTGATCAGCGACTCGGGATCCTTGGTAGGCCCAAACAAGGGAAATGACCCAGTCAAAGGCCAATTTTTCAACAAACCGGTTTCAATCCAAACCTGGAATGAATTGAAACTCAGCTTCAGGACCAAAATAATTTGCTCCTCAGTCCACAGGTTCTGTGACAAAATCCAGAAGGTATAGCTGGATAGAAACGCTCAATATACTTTCATGTTCCCATAGACCTCCTAGAAAGTTCTATGAAACCAATTTCGCGACGCAAAAGTTCCCAAGAAAAGCCAGAAGCTTGGCTTTTCCAGGGCTTTTGATGTCACGCGACTACAAAAAAAAGTCGCAGACAATCATGAAAACCAGAGGTGGAGAAATGGCGCCCCTAAGCGTTTTAAAACGTTTACATTTCTAAACCGACGTAGGCAGCCATGGCCATTTCTTCATAAGTCGCTGCCCAGGGCGCCCGGGGCCAAAGCCACGATGGCAAAAAAACGCCATTGGAAGAAAAAGAACGCGAAAAAATTGGAATCTTCTAAAATCTTGCAAAATCGTCGTTTTCGAAGCTTTAGAACAAGGTTTTTCGAATTTCCAATTTGGTGGCGACGGAAATTTATTCTCTCACTAGTCAGCGGGTTCGTAACCATAAATCTGGAACATTTCGCCTAAAGAAAAAAAAACAAATATAACCGTACTTCACATAAAAAATTCAACTGACATCATATCCACTGAAAAATTAAAAAAATTATTGGAAAAATGCGAAATCCACGGTTTAATGAAAAATGAACAAAAATGACCATTTTCGCCCTACTTTTGCAACGTGGTATTATACGCCATCGACACATAATGAAGCGGCTCATTTCTTCTCAGAGGCCTGATGGCTGAGGCGGGCATGTTGCGCCCGGGAGGGCCCCTCATTTCATCCACCTCTGATGAAAACATTTTATTTTCTAATTTCTTGGAATTCATAAATATAGAAGCTTAAACGAGTCGTAATTGACGTAAACAGATTATGAGAAAATTCCTTTTTTCTCAAATCCCTTGGGTCCAAGCCTATTTCGCCACTCTTCCATTCTGAATCATGAAAAAACATGATTTTTCGACTTTTTTGCAAAGTTTAATCATTGTACTTTGTGGGAATGCGAGCGAAAATCAAAAGAAACGTATAATTTATTCAAAAAAACCACGTTTTTTCCGAGGCTTCTCTATAATTGCGAGCCAATGGTAATTGCCGACATTTTTCTTCCTTTTTTTTTGGTTCCACCATTTTTTTTTTGTATAATACATAATTGAACGGTTGAGAGTCGAGCAAATGAATTCTCGATTGGTATGTTACCGCTTGAAATATGGGGAACGGAGAAATTATTTTCATAAATTTTTTAAAGTTCAAAAAAACAACCTTTAGAATTTTCGAACCGCATTGAGGCGTGTGATAATTTTGTTTTTTCGCTAAACATCCTCCGCATTTCATTATTTTTCAGCTAAAAAAAAAAGATAACAGGATCGTTATTCTGATTAAATTTTCAAATGTCAAGGGATGCGGAAGTGATGAGTAAAACCTAACTAGTTAGAGAGCCATAATTTTGTAAAATGATTTCACAGGCTTTTCGACCCTTTTATTTATGAAAGCTGAGAAATTTTTAAAACGCGATTTTAAGTTGAATCGAAAGCTGGACCTTGTGAAAGCATGAAAATCGAGAATTTTAAGACCAGAAGAAAGAGGAAAATTTGAAAAATTCCAAAAAAATGAGAAATTATATGTTTCACAAAGAAGAGTTACAACCTTCCTGTGAAAAGGCGTGACGCAAAAGCGCATATTTTTTCTTATTTTTTTACGTTTACTTTTTTTTTCAAACTTAAATTACACTTTTCTGCTTTACTTGCTACTGAGTTTGAGTTAAAAAACGGAAACAAACTTTCTGGGAAACGGAGTTTTTGGTGTTGACAGCAAGAATTTTGGCGAACTTCGAAATCGATTATTACCTAAAATTTCAATAAAAAAAACAGTTGATCCCTTTTCTTGATTTTTGCGACAAAAGAACAAGAAATTTTGACACTGGTATAAGAATCAATCTACGCATTTAGCCATTATTCTGGCGAAAAAAATTTCTTTTTTTAACGTGAAACGGTTATACATGTATTAGATAAATGGACAAGACTCAAAATCTAGAAATTTTCTGAAAGAATTAAAAGATTGAAAATCTATTGGTTTTTAAGACATTTCAAAAAAAAAGCGAAAAAAAGCGTGAGAAGCATCGAGCAGACAGCTGAAACTTTGATTGTTTCTTGGACTGATTTTAGGAATTTCAGGCTTTTCCATCGAAAAAAAGTTCAGATCGCATCACTCCAACCAATGTTCCAACATACTCTATTCACCGCTAGCTTGGGACAAAAAACTGTAGGAATGTCTAAATCTCTTTCTTTTGCTGACTGTCTTGCTAATGATGCCTGAGGCCAGCGGCGAACAAACTTGAGGTGTACAAAAAATCGAAGAAACTATCAAGATCATTTTTCTAGCCGAGGAAAGTAGAAAATAACACGAAGCGTGCTTCTCAGAACTGATAATTAAGCTCTGAGAGACCCCATGATTACGTCAGACTTCTCTATCTGTTTCTAAAGACATGATTCAACACAGAAACTGATGACAGGGCCTTTCAATTAGGATCATTAAGGTGTGAGAAAGAGGAAATGACGGTTGACAATTAGGGATGATACTCAGAAAGATAAAAGAGAAAACAATCAAGGATAATTGGTGTTTGGGAATGGATTATTGGAAAGCAGATTGAAGAGAAAAACCTATAAGGAAGACAGGAAATGCCTCATCAAGGACCCCGGTTTAATAAAAATTACTATTTTTTCAATTTTCAATGAAACTTTGGTTGGAAGTTTCTTCATTCAACAACTACATCCGCTTGCCGTTGTCGCACTTCGAAATGGAATCATACCATACCGAGTCTTTTTTTACCTAACGCGCGAGTCGTTTTATGTCGGGCGCAAAGAATCTATTCGCAGCCCCGGCTTTGTTTTTCGAACCAAATAAATAAAATTTCGAAACAATAAAGGTAGGGTAAAGAACTCTTTCCTCAGAAAGACCGTTGGAAAGTTTTTTTTTCAGATTTTTGGAGATTTAAAACTTTTTTCAACGCTTTGGAAGTTCGAGAATTCGAGTAGAATGTCGTAAAATCAGTTTTTTTAAAGTTCAAAAAAAATTAACATTGTGGATCGAAAGCTTTTCTTGCTCAAACTCTTCCAAAAGGAAGATTTCTCAGGAAAATTTTCAGAAAAGTGTGCTTAAACTTTGAATTTTATGGTCGCACGTGGAATAGCTCATCACGTGGCGGATGCTTGAAAGAAAAAATTAGCTTTTGGGAATTAAATGGTTCCTCAAGAACTATTCAGAGAGGACACTAAATTGACCACTAAACAGCTTATTTTGCGACTTAGTGGCCACTACAGCAATTTTTAGTGGTCCAGTAGTACCTCCTAGACACCTTGCGGGGCCACTAAATTTTAGTCACTTAAGTAGCCCCTAATTCGACTACTACAGCGGCCATTAAAACGTCAAAACCCTAAAGTGGTCACAAAAGTTTCCGAGTTTTTCAGCCGTTTACAACCGCGACGCTCTGAGCCATTCCAGGCGTGGTCATGATTTTTCAAGTCGCAGTGAATAGAAAACCTGGGAGAGCAGCTTCGAGACGCGCAAAGCTGCCGAGTCAGAAATGAAGAATGGAAAATAAATTCAGAAAAAATCTGACGTCAGCAGGTGCAATTCTCCTATGGGCCAGCTGAAAATCCAGTGCAAATTGAAAAATCGTTAACAGCGCTGATAAATCCCAGGGGAGTCTGGCAAAGTGCCATTAACCTCTTCACCCTAGAGACTTTTTTAAAATAGCTAAAGGAAGAAAATCTCTCCTGTGGGTGGTGTTTTCCTTACTCAAAATAGAACAGCTATTCCAAGTTTCGGTGCTACGACAAGAAAAAGTTCTCTCCGATGGTTACGGTATGGGAGAGTCCGCATTCTGCGTGTGCCCTTTGTGTGCTTGCACTTTCTGAGTTATCAATCTTGGCGTTTTTTTTTTTTCCATTCTCATTTTTTATCGAAATGGATCACCACTACCGGAAAATTTTGAAATACACAATCCATTATGTTTTGATAAAAAAAAACCAGAAGTTTACCATAAAAATAGAAAAAGAAACCGAAATTAAGGATGATCTGGTATTGCATTTGCATGGTTGCATTTGGAATTGATCGATGACAGGCTTCAAAGTGCGCCGGACCCAAAATGACTCACGCGCGGAGGCAATAAGACTGCAATCCTCTTCCTACACGTGACCACGGCGTTTTGGAGCTCGTCAATTTTATTTTCTTAGTCCTTTTCTCGCAAAAACAGAACGCTCAGGATTTCTGATCCGTTTGATCTCAGAACTGGCCCCACACATCTGCCTCTCTTGAAAACTGGTAGTTTGAGGAGAAAAAAAAATTTATGAAACCGAGGCTTTGGAGCGTCTAATTATCATAAACTTCAGGGAACACCTACGCCATGGTAACCGGACTAAACTAGCGATAATTAACGGAGAAACAAATAATGTAAAAAAAAAAGCGTGTTACGCTGAAAACAAAGAAAGGTGTTTTGGAGGATGATACTCTTGAATTTCAACCGAAAAATATGAAAACGTTTTTCTTCTTTTTTTGGTTCTTTGAACCCTATTTAAAAAAACGTTGAGACCTTCAAACTCCATAATTTTCACAGAAAAAAAGTAATCGTTAATTTTAACAAGTTTGTTGGACGAGAAATGGCGGTTGCGCCCGACTTGGAACGGCTTACGCACAAGTATCAGATACCGGACGTTTTTTACGATTTTACGTGCGATCAGAGCGTTCGGGATGAGAAAAAAATTGAGTTTTTCATTATTTTTTTTACATCAGATTTTTGAAGGAAGGATGCAAAAACAATTTTAACTTTTCCAGGATCTTTTCATTGTTTAGAAATGAGTAAATTATGTAGATATTTTTATTTTTTATGTACAGAACTTGTGAGAAAAATCAAAAAAAGATAATAAGAACACAGTTTCGGAAAAAAAAATACCCGTTAAAAAAATCACTTTTTCAAACCCGCTCCAAGGCGCTCAACTCCTTGCGTAGCTCCTCGTTCAAATCGCAAACCTCAAAAAAGAAAAAATTAATTTTCCACTTCAATGGCTGATTTTTGGTCGCATGGAGAATGGCTCAACGCGTTGCGGTAGCGCTGCGGCTTCAATAAGTCGCTTCAGGATCTACAAAGCAATCGCCACGCGTCGAGCCATTCTGCGTGCGACCAAATCGTTCCAAACAAATGATTGAAGAAAAATGAAAACCTTCTGGAAATATTCGGATTTCCGGTGAAACTCCAAGACTTTTTCGTTGATCTTCGCTCTTTCTTCGGCCCTTTTCGTCTTTTCTTGGTCCAGTGTATAACTAGCTTCTTTTACCTGAATATTTTTCATAGTCATTTATCAAGAAATTCGAGATTTTTGAATGTGATTTTCGAAATAAAAGGAAACCTTCCTAGAAGTTGTGCTCATTCCGCTGTACAAATCCTGCAGGAAGTCAATGAACGATTCTCGGTACTCGGCTTTGGTGGCTCTAAATAAAATCATTTTCATCATCGAACTCAAAAAAAATTCAGTAGATTTTCCTTTTTCATGGATGTGATTTCAAAAAATGATAACAAATTTCGAACACAATTTTCTCTAACATGGCAAAACTACGTCCACCTTGGACCTTGGTGACGCGTCACGGACGTGTCGGCGCGATTCTAGTGGCCTTTTTAGTGGCTTCAGCACTCTTAAGTGATCCCTAAAATGGCTCAGAAACCCGATTTTCGTCACCTTTTATTTAGATACACATATATAGCACACAATCTGCGAAAGTTCAGTTATTTCTTGTCTCGGGGTAATTTTGGAAGAGTTTTGAGAGCAAAATTACCATAATTATCATCGCGCAACTTTGAGCTGACTGAAAAAAAGTTGTCAAATTTTTTTAAAAATTTGTTCAAAAAAATAATTTTTATTTTCTCAACGAAAGGCTTCCGCTCAAATCGCGGAAAAATTGAATTTTTTTCGAAAAATTAAGGTACATTTCCAATCAATTTTTTTGGGTATTATGATAAAAAAATCCACCTGGACAATTTTAATACAATTCATCGACATTAAGGAAAACACCAATTTTTTGAGAATTTTAAAAGTCCAGGTAAATTTTTCGTCTTTTTTTTTAGTTCAGAAAAAGCCCACTGAGGAAGGACATCCTCGATTTTTTCCGTCAATGCGATCGTCTTCTCGGTGAAATTTTGGACATCGACCACCGAATTGAACAAAACCATCACTTGTTTCGTTTCTCGGGTCAGCGTCGCCACTGAAAATCGGGTAATTCCATGGTTCTTAAGAAAAATTCGGATATTACTGTCATTGAACCGCTCGATGGCCCTTTTCTCGTACTGAGCCCTAACGGAAGTCGTCAGAGAAGCGTCCAGCCGCGTTTGGAGGGTCGCCACCTCACGAGCTTTCTGAACAATTTCTTTTTCTTTATTTTTATTTTTTGGTGTTCTGTTGGAGCATACCGCTCATACTTTGTTAATTCTAGAATTTTTTACAGTATTATGCAAACTTCTAGTCTCATTTCTCAGGAATGCCAAAGTGGTCCCTATAGGGGCAACCTTAGTGGTCCTGTAGTTTCTTTCTAGAGACCATTTTCCTTTCTCCTATAGGGGCCTTCAAAACTTTCGAAAATGCCCTTATAGGGTTTAAGTTAGTGGGCCGTATAAGAGCTTTTATAAACTCTATTAATACTCGGACCTTGGTAACGCTCACCGGACATATATTAGCGCTTTTTGAATAAAAAAAAAATCAACGAAGGCGTCATCGATAAAATTGTATTACCGTTGTTTTTTTAGATTTTCGGGTTCTAACAAACAATTCAAAAAAACCCTTTAGGGACCACTTCAGCATTTGATGCTCAGGGGACAAAACTTCTTTGCCCCCTATAAAGACTGATTTTCCTCTAATCCTCATAGGTAGCACTCCAGTGTTCTTAAAAACACCGTAGGGATTAGGACAAAAATTTCCCTTCTAAAAACATCTTTCTCTCATTTTTTATTTCAGGAAGGATTCCTAAAACTCTGGAGTCTTCCTCCCGTCAAATTCAGCATGCGGTTGTAGAGGTCTCTACGCCAACATCTTCCAATGCTTTAAAATCGAGTTTAACCCAAAATTACTTCTTTTTTTTCTGATTTTCAAAACGCTACCTCAGCTCTCAGAAGCTTCAGAGCGTCGTACTTCTCGGTTAGTCTCTGGAGCTCGGCTCGATCTTCTTCGGTCTCTTCCTAAAACCATAAAAATATATCTTTATTTCGAGGCTTCAAATCCCTCTTGTTCAAAAATCAACAGAACAAAAAAAAAATAGCAGTCAGAAGATGATGCCGTGTTCAGTAATTTCGCAAAATGCAAAATGATCTCTGACTCTCCAAAATTCAATTATATATTTTTTTGACGGCTATATGCATTTCGCGAAACTACTTTGAACACGGCATGAGTGATAAAATGTCTTTTTTCCTCAAAAGTGGAACTAAAAAGGCTTTCGAATTCTCACTTTAAAAAAAAAGTGTTTATGGGTTTTTATTTACTCTGGCAAGGTCGTAATGAAGAATAATGGTTGCTAAAAAGGAGAGACTCGAAAAAAGGTTGCAAAAAGACTGCGAAAATTCTTTTCATCGAGCCGCCCATTTTTGTTGAATTTTGAAGGCTCGAGAAATAGGAGAAAAAAGATTCTTTATCATCCTAAAAGGAATATTTGCATGGAGTCTTTTCCGATCCTTCCGACTTTGTCTACGTACAATTTTTTTTTAAATTTCAAATATATACCCACCGCCTCAACTTCGTCGATTTCCTCGATTTTCTTAGCAATCTCAGCAATTTGCGCATTCGCATTGGAGCGAATATCCTTCAGACGGGCTTTCGAGGCGTCCAACGCATCCAAAAGCTCTCTCAGCTCGTCAACTTGTCTTAAAATGACTAAATCTATTATTTTAGTTCACGTTGATTTTGATACTTTGGTTGACTTTCGAGCAAAGATTCCAATCTCTGGATCTCCTTCAGGTTTTCCTCGTTCTCCACCTTCGCCGCCGCGATTTCGGCCTTTTCCGCTGAGGTCATCAGCTCTAGTTGGGCACATTCGGCGCGAATCTCAACTTTTAAACTAGTTATGGAAATTGTAGGGAAAAAGCACCTTCTCCAAATCCCGATCAATCTGTTCCAGTTCGGTGTCGGCTGAGATTTCTTCGCCTTTCTGAGAAAATGAACAGGATTCTGATAAACCACTAGGGACGTCTCTTTTGAGCGATATAGTGACAGATTTTCCTTATTACATTCGCCTTATCGAAACAAAAAATAAATTTTTTCGTTACTCTAATATCGCAAAATGGCCTAAAAAAATTGATACTAAATTTAGAAATAACTTCCTGTGATTTAAATCACCGACTTAACTTCCAAATCATTGATATTTGATAACCATTTTTATAAACCATAAAAAATTAGTGAAATAACTGCTTTTTCAAAAACTCCAATGAAAAGCATGAGGAGTAATTCGTTTTAAAATTTATAAAAACTAATATCCAATTCAAAAAAAAAGGTAACAAACTTCATTATTTTCAGAAATCGTCGCCGTTTCGAAGACTTCCTGCAAGTTAAATGAAATAATTACTAGGATCTTCCCCATATTTACCTGACCGGTGGAAGCGACGGACATTTTCAGATGTCAGGAGATTAAAACCACAGCATTATCAACCTGTAAGTATATATCAGGGTGCTAAATTCGAAAGGAAACGCGAAACATGGAAACAAAAGTTTTTTGAAAATTGGTCATGCAACAGTAGTCCTTTCCGATTGCGGAAACAGTTGAGCGTACGAAAAAGTAACTTTTCGAGGGTATATTCATTTTTTGAACCTAATTCTCGAAATAAACTCTAGGCTGTACTGAAAAAGAAACGGGGAGACGCTACAGAACAATGATCCAGTTCAGGGCAATTATCAGCAAGCGTATAGAAAAAATGTTGGGCGTCAAGAAGAGAGCGTTTAGAGAAAGCACGTTATCACTTACTCATTCTATACTACTGAACAGTTCTTCGATTATTTTGTTCCCTTTGAACCTATCATTAAAAATTTTTTTTTCTTAAATTGTTTTTCCAGAAGTCAAAAATGATACCACCATGCGTTGCGATCGATTTTGGGACTTTTTCGACAAAAATAGCGATAATGGATGAATCAGTCCCGATTTTACAACAACACCCTGTCGGTTTGTTGATTTATAGCTCAAAAAACTGAAGAAATGAAATTATATGAATGTTTTTTATAACAACTATGTGTAATTCAGATGGACTATATACAATATCCCTCGTTGCGTTCGAAGAATATAGCTTAAGGGTTGGATTGCAAGCAAAGAACAGTCAGGCAGATGTTATAAAAGGTAGTTTTCGTATTCAGAAATGTCAAAAAACAAATCTCTTGATGAAAAAAAAAATGGGTCGCGGAATAACTACCGACCTATCAGCGCTCCAAGGCCTCTCCTTAAGGAGAAATTAAATTTTTTTCAAGTTTCTCGGACCTCGGCAGGTGCGTAAGGCCGGGTTAAGCTTCAAATAAAAGTTTTTTAATTTCATTGAATTTTTTTTTCACTGTTAATTTCATTCTACATGTTGATTTTTTTCATCTCGGTTGATATTTAAATGAAAAAAATCTTTGTCCTTTTAAGGAAAAAAAGATTTTTTTTAAAATAGTTATGCGCAGACTTGTTCTACGCCATTTAGGTTTAGGCTGGGTTGGAAAAAAAGGGCGTTTCGTTACTTTTTCTCTTAATCGAATATGTTGTAAAACACAATTTTTAGGATTTTTTAAACACAAAACCGAATATCCTCATTCGGCTAGTTTTCGAGATACGGTGGCTCAAAGGATTACGGTAAAAATCTTCGAAAATCTATATCTCGTCAAAAAATCAACGAGTCAAAGTTCATCAGAAGGTGCAAAAGAATTTCATTCAAATTTTAAAAATAACACCTCCTTTTTTGCTCACTATTGCTCATATTAGAGAATTTTTTTCAAAAAAATCGAAACCAGTATGTGACGTTGCGGTCGGGCGTTTTGTCTCGCTCCTATCAAAACCACAAAAAAGTACTCTATCTATTAAGCCAAACATGGATTAGGCGAATTTTCCATCTAACATGGAAGGTCATTTTAGCGTAGGGTTCAGAATTTTTTATGAATTTTCTCAAATAATCTTTGATGGACTGGTAATCGATCCCACATAGTCGCTATCTGCGCAAACTTTTCGTTTTGGAGATATGATTTTTCAAAGTTTTTATCCTTAACCATGTGACGACGTTTGGAAGGAATCTGGCCGCACCACAAACGACTGCATAGCAGCTAGGAGCGTAGTGCAGTGGCTAGCGTGTTAGCTTGCGGAGCCCCTGACGAAGGTTCGAATCCTATCGCCGCCAACTTCTTTTTGCGATTGTTTTTTTCAAAGGTTACAATGGAATATCGAATTTTTATGAGTATAACCATCCCAAAAAATTTCGATAATCATTTTTTTTCCTAAAATCGCTTTATTTTCATGGAAAAAAATTTTTGGAAAGTTTCTGAAGTGACAGACTTCACAACATGCAAGATTTTTTTTTAATCAGTAGAAAGTATTTCAGAAAAACCGGTAAACCTTCATCAAAGGTCTTGGCATGTCTTGATTGCGATCAATAACAGATTGATGGCTTTTTCAATATGTTAATAGTCAATTTTATCTTTATTTTTTTCCATAAACATTTTTTTACAGAACATGTAAAAACTTACCCGTCATCCGAGTTTCATTTCAAAAAAGTTTCCAAATCGCATTTCCATCCTACTCCGGCAAAATTTCGGAAATCCATAAAGTTTTTATCAAGAAAATTTTGGGAAAACTTCTCTGATGATGTGAAGTCTGCCACAACTTCAGAAAATTTTCAAAATTTAGTCCGGGGAAAAACAAAGTTATTTTGGATAGAAAATAGCTATCGAACTTATTAGAACGGTTATGCTTATAAATTTCAATATTCTCATCAGATTTCTTGAAAAAACAATGGCAAAAAAAGTTGGCGGCAAAAGGATTCGAACCTTCGCCATAGGCTCCGCAGGCTGACGCGCTTACCACTGCACCACGCTCCTAGCTGCTATGCAGTGGTTTGTGGTGCGGCCACATTCCTTCCAAACGTCGTCACATGGTTAAGGATAGAAACTTTGAAAAACCATATCTCCAAAACGAAAAGTTTGCGCAGATAGCGACTATGAGGGATAAATTTCCAGTTCATCAAAGATTGTTTGAGCAAATTTAGAAAAAATTCTGAACCCTACGCTAAAATGACCTCCCATGTAAGTTGTTTCTAGAATCGCTCAAAAACGTCCGAGCCGCGTCTGGTTTCTGTTACCAAAGTCGGGAAATTCTCAGATTATAAATTTGTGAAAATTCCAGATTTCAAAAAAAAGCTTGGAAAAACGGGAAGCTCTGGTGATCATTTTGGCTACGATGTGACTTTAAAAAACAAACTCTCGCATTTCCCCGTCGAGCTCATCGTCTCATTATTTCTAGATGAAGTCATCAATCTTGAAGAACAACTTTTCGAGGTTTTTATCTCGCAGATAAAAACTACTACTCAATTGAATTTCAGAGGGTCATCGTCACCGTTCCGATGTCATTCGATGCAAAACAGCGACAAGCGCTGATGACTTCATTGAAAATTTCAGGCATTGAGGTTGCAAGTTTGAAATTTGTAAAAATTTCCGGAAGAACAAAGCATTTTAAGATTTTCTGTTCAAAAGTTAGCAAAAATAATTTCAGGACGCCCATCTGATTGAAGAATCGACGGCAGCGGTCATCGAGTATATCAGAAGCCGCCCGACAAACTGCAGAAGACGTCACGTCGTCGTCGTTTCCTTTGGCGCGGGATTTTTCGAAGCTGCTCTTATCCGCGACGTCTCCAACAACTTGACGATCATGCAAACTGATCATCTGGAGTACGGTGGCGCGGACATCACCGAAAAGCTTTTCGACAAGGTTCTACCGGAATTCAAGAGCGGATTGAAAAAAGAAAACTTGGAAGAGTGGGAGAATCGCTTTATTTGGAACCTTTGCGACGAGGGAAAATCTTTGTTGTCGCTAGAAGAAAGAGCTTTGCTGAGATATGAACTGATCGGAATGGAGGTCGAACCGGTGGAGGTAAAAGTGAGCAGAGAAGAGCTGAATAGACTCATCGAAGAGGACGTCGAAGCACTCATGAAAAAAATCAGAGGTCTTCTTAACAAGCCGATCTCCGACGATCCTCGAGGCAGAAGACTTCAACCAGATGACGTCAACGAACTGATCCTCGTCGGCGGTTCTTCTAAGGTCCACTTGTTCCGAGAACAAGTCAGAGGTTAACACATTCACTTAATTAGAATCTTTTTTCCTTCTCAAGACTTTTTCAAAATGGCTGAGGTTACTACTATTGATGAGGTCGAAGCGGCGGTATTCGGAGCTGCCGTTTTTTGCAAAATCGAAGGCAAGACTTTGAATGATGGAGGGGTTTTAACAATTCTGAATGACACCGGGAAAATCAAAGAAGAAGACGCACCGATTTCGATGACAAAGGTTAGCGATTTCCGTCGAGGATTCCATGTTTTTCCCGAATTTTTCAGGACTTTGTGGAAGCTGTGGAATTGAAAGGAATGTTGAAGTGGGAACAAAAACAAGAATACCGAATATATCTGATGAATGACGAAAAAGAAAGATCGTACGGTCGTGAATGGACTTCCAAGCGGGAGCGGCCAGAAAGACAGCAAAATTTCGAGAAATTTATGGCTTCAGAAAAAATGCATAAAACAAAATTTCCGCTTGAGCAGATTAGAATAAGCTTAGAAGAGGAGGAATTTCGTAGGATGGAGGCACTTTCTTTGAGAGGAAAAAAATATTCAGAAGAACTTGAAAAAAGAAAAATTTTCCTCCAGGAAGAGGAGAGAAAAGAAAAATTATTGAAGAAGCTGAAAGAAGAAGAAGAAAAATCCAAAAAATGATTAGAGCGAATCTACAACGAGTTAATTTCAAACAAATTTTATGGAAAGATAATTTTTCAATTTTTTTTTTGAAATCTAAAGCAAGGAACGGATGAAAATTTTTGAAACAGTTTCACCTATCTACCTGTAAAAATATCATTATTCTTTTTGTTGTTGTAAGATGATTTTATATGGATGATTTATTTTATACATGTTTAAAAATATTATTGTGCTCAAAAGATCAGGAAATGTATTTACTTTTTTAATAAACTTTTTCGATGAGCCATGTTTTTTCTTTTCGCTCTGGTTCAGTTTACCAAAAAAATTCTTTTTTTCTGGTATTATTAATTTTGTATTTTTTTATTTACTTTTTTTGAACTTAATAACTTTGAATTAAGGCGATAAGTCTTTCGAGATATCCAACAAAAAAATTGGCATAAAAAGGTAATAACAGAGCTTCACGTCCGCCACAACCATTATTGACTAGTGAGTTTGATATTTGAAGGAAAAGAGCAGGAAAAACCGATATTTTCCACAAAAACCGATATTCTCTACAAAAAAATGTCATCGTGACGAGTACTTCATTGATAATTTTTCAAATAATGAACTTTCTCCAATATTCCAATATTATGATTGAACCAAAGATGAGAAGATACAATTTCTTAGTTGTTTCTTCATAATTCCTATTTAAATGTTTCAGCCCGCATCTTCACGTTAATTTTCAGAAGAACCACGAAAAAGACTCAATTTTCTCGACAAAAATGTCAACTAACCTATTCGAAATGAATGAGAGCGGAATTGGAGTCTACATTGATGGCGACGGAAAAGTCACAGCGGGAGCGCAAGTTGACGGAGAATCAGTAATAGTCATTTCAGGTTTTCAATCTCTAAAATGATTGAAAAATGAAGCGAAACCTCTTTTGAAGATTCAAAGTGGAGCGAATCAGCAGCCAAAAAGACGGGAAAAGGACTCGATATTCTTCATGACGCTTCATCGTTTGGTAATTAATTAATTAATTGAATAAAAAGTCAAGGCCTTGGCCTTAAGGCGATTTTTGTGAAAGAGGTATCGTTTTCTGAAAAAAAATGAATGAAACGGTTACTTTGGCGCCCCACTGCATACGGAGTGTCGTTCATGGAAGTTTTTTTCCATATTATTTTTTTGTTTTTTTGTTTATTTTTTTATCTTTCTCTCAGGATAATGAGGACCTTTTTAAAAGCTTCTTAGTCGAAATCAGATCAAAAGCTCATTTTCAGGTTTCTTTGACGCTATTGAGTCAAATGAGAAGGTCGAAGTCGAAATTGCTGGGATAAATTACGAGGAACATCCGAGAAAAATCGCCTTGGCTCTCGCATTCAAGCAAATCGCGTTAATTGCTCAAATTTCTACCTTCAATCTTTACAAGGTCTTTTTTCAAGTTAATTTTAACATCAAGAATTTTTCTTTTAGAAAATCAGTCTTGCAATCGATAAGCAGTCTAATATCGCCAATCATTCTCTGGCAGATGTTCTTTACATTTCAGGCTTTGAATCGGTTAGGGAGGTTTTTTTCCAATTCAAAATATTTTTCCAGAAGCTCATCTCCAAAATCAACGCTCTCGGTCTTCTGTTTTTGAACGAGAATCGTGACATTCTTACTCGCAGAACTGTGGCCATATTCGACAAAACTGATGCGATTTTACTCCGTGAACATCTTCAAAAAGTCCAAGTTCTCAAGGAAATCTGTCACGTCGATGCTCCAACAGCTGTCAAAAGTTGGATTGGAATAGATCTCAAATAAAAAGGACTTTTCTAGGTACTTCCCCAGAAGCTTTCTTCGAAGAGTTGATGGGGGAGAAGTCGCCGACGATTGTGAACCAAGTCGTCGTTCTGGACACGGCCAGGGCTCCAGAATACTCGAAGGACGTCGAAAACTACTTCGGGATCGACTCTGAAGTAGTCGCGTCGGATTCTGCCTCAGTGGCCAAAGGCGCTTCTCATTTTTCTGAGACGTCTTCTGGTGAACCTTTGGAGAGAAAAGAATTGGATGAAATGAAGAATGAGGTGAGAAAAGCGAATTCCTCCTGCTCTGCGTCAAAAAAAAAAAAAACACGGCGTTTTTTCGTAGACGCTCCGCCCACTTTTTCTCCGTAAAATGTCGTGTTTCGTGTGCATGCACTGCGCCGCTTTGGCGCAGAAAATTGCGTTTATGTATTGGATTGTATTGAATTGTATTGAATTGTATTGAATTGTATTGAATTGTATTGAATTGTATTGAATTGAATTGATATGTTATGAATTGAATTGAAAAAAATCTAGAGAAATTTCGATTCGTCTTATAGACCGTGGCAATCATTGTGCGTTGAAATATATTCAATATATTCTAAAAGTTCAAGGAGGCCTGAAAACACTATTTAACGCTTAGTTTTCATCCAGTAAATGCACAAAAAAATCGGCTCTCACTGTTGCGCCACTATTGCAATGAGCCGCCCCCATTGCATGCAGCCACGCCCAATGACCACATCTGCCGCCTGTTTGGGAACACTGTGCCACTAACAAAAAAACGCCGTGAAAAGTTATTTCTTAATAATTAGAAAACTACATCTTTCAAATATGCTGTGTTTATAGATGTGATTATTTGGAAAAAAAGAAGGGTCCAGAAAGCCTTTACGATTTTTTTGAAGTGCACAATACGAACCACTAGAATCGCGTTCAAATTTTTTTTTTTGGAAGATGAGGCTGTTGTTTTTTATCTTTTTTTTTAATCGCTTTTTTTAAGTCCATTCATTTTTCAGGCCTCCCAAATCTTCATTAAAATTCTCTGTGCTGCTTTGGAAAAAGCTGAAATAAAATTCGTAAGTTTATTATCATTCATTTTTCCATTGAGAATAATTATTGCACTTTATAGGGATACAAGGAAACAGAAGAGCAACTTGTGGCCAAATTTGTCAAGTATTACATGTCGCTGTGAATATATGAAAAGATAAAGTTGGTTTTTTCTTTTTATAAATGCATTTGGTTTGAAGACCCGCATCTAAATTTATAAAATAAAGTGAACATTGAAAATGGAATCGCTTTGAAGATCTGAGGAAAAAGGAAAAAGTGACGTGAATGTTAAAAAAGGAATTTTTCGGAATGTGCTCCAAGGAGAATTTTTCGATAGAGCGCGGATCGAGTATTTTTGAGTCGATAGAAAGATTTAAGAAGCTTGCAAAAGATCCAAAAAAGAGCATGAATTTTAACGCTTTGAAGCTGTTTTTCTTAAAGGTTGATGGAATAGCGCTTATCTCAAATTGAATTATCAAAAAGCTAGTTTGGAATTCCTTTTTTTAAGTCTAAGAGTTAACGCCATCGATAATTATTGAATGTTTCTTAACTTCCATCGCAACTTCTCCCTCGTTCTGCTTCGTTTCGAGACCTAAAATTTCACTTTTTCAGGTTTTGCAAGTGAAAACACTAACTATTGTCTTGACTGGCGTGGTTAGAATTATTTTTGAAGTGCCTCTGAAGGTAAAATGCGCAAAAAGCGGCGGCGAAGGCGGTGAACGTCAGTACAATGATGTGCCACAACAGCGTGAACGTTTTCGCGTAGAAAAACGCCGCGGAAGTCGATGCGGCCTAGAAAATGAAGCGTGTTGAATGAATTTCGAGACTTACACTGTAGAATTTGAAGATGGCGAAGGCAAATGTACTCTGGCTGGGGTATTCATCGATCAGAAACGTGTAGATTTGCGTCTGAATAATGGCGTCCCCAAAACCGAGAGTTCCCGAGCAAATTAAAGCGATTACTGGACTTAAAATCAAAAAAATTTTCTTTTCAAATTTTGAGTATTGAAACCTAGGCGCAAAAAACCCGCTGACGCCCGTCGTCGTGTGCAGTGGAGCGTCGTTGGGAAAAATCAGTATTATTGCGATGAAAGAGAGGAAATGAAGCAGGGCGGCCGCCAAAATTATCATATCTTTCCCGATCACTCGTGCACGTCTTCCAAGTACAGACAGAACGAAGCCGGCTGAAAAGCAGGTGATCAAGTTTTGCTGATCGGGACTTTATTGCAGGATTTTCGGAACCTCAAAAAAATTTATCAAAACCAGTTTCCTCAAGTCTTATTTTGATATGAGAAAAAGACCTCCAATCTGTCCAATTCCAGTAGCAATCGCGCTAAAAGCCAGCAATTTTGTCGTGTTCCCTCCCAGAGAACTTGTAAATTTGATACAAGCTGGATATACAGCTGTAATTTTTCTATTGAACAATTGATTCAAAAAAAAAGCTCACAAATCCAGAAAGATCTCGATATTCCGGCGTAGATAAATAATACAGCTAGTAGGCACATTTTCTTGGTCGCTATCAATTTCCAGGTGAAAGCTGAAAAGTTGAAAATAGTTTGCTCTATTGATAACTTTGTGCTTTCCAGTTTATCAGCATGAAAAACCTTTTTATCCTATTTTCTCAATAGAACTCACTTTTTTGCGGCTATTCTTAGACCGAAAAGACATTATTTAGATCGCTCAAAATGAAAATAATAGAATCTAACAAAGTTGTGAAAAATATATCTTTTTCGTCAATTTTTCCTTAGAGCGATCTTGTCGCGGCCATTTTCACTCACCCAAGTTCTCGCTCAAAGTCATTCCTTCACTGGGATCCTTGTATTCTGGTCGCGGCAATAATACAGTATTCAGAGTACCCAGTAAAGAAATCGAAATAAAAATTCCGACCAACGTTGTTATCTTAAAAAAATTTCAAATAAGGAAAAAAATTAATATACCGATCCATCCTTAATGATATCATCAACGGTTCTTTCTCTAAACATGAAATACAAGTAAATTCCTCCTGCCACGAGCCTGAAATTTAAAGAAAAACGCACTTTAATTAATTTATCTATGCTCACGATGTCTTAAAAATGATCCATAGAATTGAACTATTTCGTTCAATATTTTTCGGCGTACAATTCTGCGCCAAATACGCTCCATGGCCAACCCAGACGACTGAAAGTCATATTTTTCCGTTGAGAAAGAAACAAAAAGTGAACTTACAAGAAGCTCCAAGGCCCAACAGGGCACTGGCAGATAGGAAAAAGTACTTGTTTAAATTGATGAAACTTGCCTGTAAAAAAATTTTATTCATAAATCGGCATGTTGAAAAACATTGGACGCATTTGGAATGGCTCGTCGAAGTCGCGAAAGGTAAAAAAAAAATTTTGACCCATCTAAAAACGGGTTGCACGCTGTGCCGGCAACGCATTGAAAGAAGCTGCTAAACGCTGCGTAGGAGCTTCATTTTTGATCCCTCATAAAGATTTTTTGAATTTTGAAGGAAAAAATTTTAGTTAAATAAAATAAACGATCGATCGTTTTGAGGTGCGCCCGACTCAAGACGACTTACGATTCGAAAATAATAAATATATGTGCTCCGACTCAAAGAAAATTAAGCATGTTATCATCATCTTTCAATTCGTAGAAAAATATTCAAAATAAATGAAAATAACAACCAACCATGAAAATCTGATTGAAAACGAGTCCGAGGGCTATCGCCCACTTCGGCGTGAGCCAATTAACCACCGGCGCAATTATCAAACATGACAAGGTGAAAACCAGGTAGGTGATAGCAAAACTGATAAAAATTATATGAAGAGGAAGAATTTAAAAAAAAAAACCTTTCATAACCAGCGTGTTCACTGATATCTCCGCCGTTCTTATGGACACTTTCGATTAAAGGCTCTTGGATGAATTCTGAAATTTTGAAGGTCAATCGGTCGAACGGGGAATGGCTAAATGCGTCAAAGTGCGGCCGACCTTCAAACGACTTGCGCTTGTCATGTTTATCAATCCCCACAAAGAAGGTAATTTGACTTCTTGTTGAGAATTTTCTGGTGATAATGTTTTTTCGTTGCCGTGAAAAAAGTCCTTGAGATTTTTGAGGCCTCATTTGTTTGAAAAGCTCAATTTTTTGAACTGTGAAAGGTCGGAATTCTGAAAGTTTTTTTTAAATTCAAAAAGGCGCCGCCCGTATTTGGTATGTTTACAGTTTGATCACAGCTGCCTTGGCTCTGAAAAAAGCTGCGTGTAGGCCTTTTTTCGCTTCAGAACCTTCCCTTCATTCGGTTCAAGTGGCTATAGCCATTCTAATTGCAACCAAGAAGAATGCCTATTCCTACATTCCTCGAGAGCTAACAAAATACTGACCCAAAGACATGTAAGCGAAAAAATGAAGAGCAAAAGTCATTCCCATAAGAGCCACATTTCTCGTTCCTCGATCTTCAATCAGGAAAAAGCCCATTTTCTGTAAATATGAATTTGTTTTTCGAGCGAAACAACTATAGTCGATAAAAGTCCCAACGCAAGGGGAAAAAGGGATAGGGATGAACATATCGGATCGATACGATAGGATGACTGGAATGGGGATACATAATTTTATTTATACCTATTTGGGCGCCAAAGCATTCGAAAACTGGTTTTGATTTCCATCAAAAGATGAAAATGAATTCTTTGTATTGAGAAAAAAGTTATTTTTTACTCTAGTGAAAATACTTCAACTGTAGTAAAAGGTGTCGAATCAAAATCGAAAGCCATTACTACTGATTAGAGGTCTGAAATATCATAGAAATTTGCTTATTTTATCGCTGACATATCACAAAAAAATGGTCTTAGAACTATTAGAGGGCGGATGAGCACATCCGGACATTTTTGAGCTGTAGGGTTTCACGAAAAAATTCCTATAAGGTGTAAAAGGTTCCTTTGGGCTGCTTTATAAAAAGTTTTTTTATCAATTTATATTGACTGTTTCTGCTGATTCTCCTTTTTTTCACCCTTCCGCAAGCTTTCAAAGTTACAGTAAAACGTGGCAAAGCAAGATTTCTTCTAACTGTTTTTGGAAGTCTATATCTTTTTGCGACAGTTTTCGGCCCCTTCTTCTGGCCCCTCCAGAGCGTATCAAACCTGAACCTATTCGTTTTCGAGAAGGCAGTATGAAAAAGAAGACAGAGTATGAAAAAAATCGAATACAGGTCTTCTCTCTACTAAAATCTATAAGGAAGACTGTCCCATTGACCGAAAAAAAAAGTCTTCCGACGTCGTTCCCGTTGTAATTTTGGGCGTAAATCAAAAGTCAGGCAGATCGGACACCAAATAAAAGGTCTTCCTCGTCGAAGACTGCTTTTAGACTTTTAATAACAAAAATGTGAAGAAATGAAAATAAGTTCCTGACTATTGTCAAAGTTCGAAAAGCATTCGCAAGACTTTATTCGATATAATAATAGAAAAACTTGTTAGAGGGTAGACGGGAACATTCTATCTATACAATACAAATGTCAATAGTTTGTTTGCCTCGACGTAGCGGTCCTTGAACCTCTGCGCTTAGCTTTGCGCATGTCTGTACATTTCGAACGTTCGGATAACAAAAATAAGCATCAAACTTTCTAGACTAGGTTTTCGAAAGATTCCTTTTTTTTTTCATTGATGCAGCGTTTAAACCGTTGATGTTTTTATTTTTATTTTGATTCCTTGATCAAATTTGATGATTTAGTCCAAAACCGAAAGAATTACTTGAAAATGTTAGAAATTTACTCAAAAATAGGAAAAAGAATTTTGAGAGTACGGTATGTGAAAAAGTGTAGTGCGCGGTGCGTGCACAAATGCATTATATTTTACGCGATTCAAAACTTTTTACGATTTTTCCGATTTTCCTTCGTTTGAAAGTTTTTCTATCTTTTCGTTAACATTCATAGTCAGGAAAATGTATCAACGATCCGTCTTTCTTTACTCAGAGTTTCCCGATATCCCATGTGAGTTTTCGGACTCGGAAAATTTAGTTAGTTAAAAAAGCGGATATTTTGAATTGAGAAAAGTTCGCGTCGATTTTTCTCCTAGTTTGAGAAAATTTTCATTCAAGGACTTGAGTAGGATGTAATTGTTTGAAATCTCAACAGTTCTATAGCTAATTATTATGTTTTCAGAGATTCTCATCTCACAAGACGCTTAGAAATTCAACAATGAAGAAGAAGAAGTTTATAAAATGCTGCTAAAATTTTTAGAAGGTAAGTAAAAGTTTGAATAAGTTGAAATAAGCTTTGATATGATAGATTAGGCGCAGACTTGTTCTGCGCCATTTACTATTGATTTTATTGAGAGAACTTCTTTTCATGAGTTGTTAATCTCAGCGTTGAAAAAGAACAAAATGAAAAATTGATTTTAAAAGAAAAAAACACTTTTTTTAACCATGATTTGTCCGTTTGGCAGTTGCTTAACTCTATGAAAGACTTTGTAGAAACAAAAAAATACGGTTTTACTTTTTTTCTCATTTTCGAGAAAAAAAAATTTTGAATAATTCATTAAAAAGTAGGAACATGGGAAAAAAATAATTAATGCGAGAAAAAAAAAAGAAAAACGAGCGGAAAATGGTATTTGTATAGGGAGGGGAGGTTTGCTAAACATTTTTTGGACATGAAATTGATTTCAATTTTCAATTCGGTAGGCGATTTAATCAAATAAAAGAGAAAGAACAATGAAAGATGGGAATGGCGGTAAGAAATAAGAAGAGAGGAGATGAAACTATAAAAAGGAGTGTTAAAATTGAAAAGAGATTGAATATATACTGTGGAAAGTTTCTTTTTTTTTGGGGTCACTACAAAAACTGAATACGATATTAAAATTCCAACAACTAGAAACCTTTTATACCCTTCTCGCTTATCAAATCACCAAAAACTAAAAAAATATTTTTTCAGCAAGTTTCAAACTCTATTTCGTTGACTAAGCTTCTGTTCATAAATAGTGAACATAAGGGAACGGGAAAATTTAAAACTTCCGTTTTTCGACACCTATAAAAAACAAAACGAGAAACCCGCCCTAAGCGGCTTAGCTAAAGACGAACGCACTAAAAACTGTACTCATCACAACAGAATCCAGTCAAAAACAAATTGTTTGAAATAACAGTTCGCTGAGAAGCGGCCTAAAAGGAGAAAAAGATTTCTGAACGAAAAGTGTGTTTTTTTTTTTGCGTGGTATCGACGACGATCGTCGTTAAAGTATGAATTTGAGGGTTTATGACGTTTTTAGCTGTTTTTGAACTTTTGCGGAGAGTTATGTATATGTGAAAGTAGGAATACAATGGTGTGGACGATAAAAAGAAATCGATTTCAAAAAGGGAATATTTCAAACATTATCAATTCAGAAGTCACAAAAGGTCAAGGAAAGGGAAGTTGTCAGTACAGAATATGCTCACCTAAGCTCAGAAAAGCTGAAGAAGTGTCCAGTTGCGCCAGAATCAGTTCTCTTAGAAAAATAATCATCTATTATTAATTTTTTTAAAAAAAGAATGCGAAAAAGAAATATATAAAAAGGCAGTTTTTTTGCTAATCTGCTTTCTTAATCAATCAATCAATCAATATTTGTTGGTTGTTTTAGTCCGATGGAATCGACTAATGATTTATATTAAAAAAACCTGGTTGAGCCTGTAATTGAATTTTTTAATCACTTCTTTTTCTTTCTCGGTTTTGAACTGCAATATCGAATAAACTCGACTGAAAAAGCGCATTATTCGACATTTTTTTAAATAAACTTTACCTTTCTTTTCCTTCAAAGTTTTAGCGATCGTTTAAACTTTGTCCTCTGATTTTTTTCAGACGTTCATTGATAACGATAAAAGACGCACGCGGTGTAGCCGTCACAGTAGCAATCTTTTTAAGATCGGACACCCTGTAAAATGTTTATTTCTCTCCCATTTTTCTTCGATTTTTCGAGAAATTTTAGTTATTTTTCGAATTTTTCTTCTTAAGAGCGTTGCATGAAGTTAATAGTGAGAGTTTTCATCATTCTGTGGTTATCTTATGAAAATCATGTAGCACATTTTGATAAAATCTTTTTTGATAGATGGGAATTTACACTGGAACATAATCAATGAAAAGAAATTGAAGGAAAAAATTGAAGAAACTTTTTTAAAATACATTTTGTCAGTTCTTCGATTTTTTTTTTGTCATATTTCACATCTTCCAGACTTATTATGCACTAAATTTCGATATTTAGCCATTCCTAATTACTCTAACGCAAACAAATTCTTCTGAGAATCCATTAATTTCAGCTACAGAGCAGTTAAACTTTTAATAACTGTCATCAAGAATGCTGCCCTTATACTGAAAAATTGATAAGGCTATGAAAAAATCACATGGCCTTCTTCTCTATAGCCTTTGGTCGTTCTTTAAAGCATCGAAGGAAAAAAAAAAGAATATTTTACAAGTTTCAGTAGAGTTCACCAACATTTAAATATCAAAATTTTTCATTTTGTTACTTAAAAAACTTTTTTTAGGTAAAAAATGCACCAGAAACTCTGGGACGTCATCCAAGTCTTCATTTTTCATCTTCATTTCATTTCGCTTCGAATTTCAATTTTCGGATTCTCCACAACTTACGTGAATACACCAGTCAATCAGTTCAAGGTTTTGAGTCAAATTAAATTTAAAAAGTAGAACTGTTGGGATTTTAGGCGTATATAAACGAGTCTTTGATTAAAAGGGATGTCGTAATGACTGCAGCAAACTATGATACAATTTGGAACATTTTCCTCAACATTTGGTTCGTCGGCTTCTTTTTGGGCATCTGGCTAAGTCCCATTTTGAATGATCGCTATGGGAGAAAAGGTGAAAATCGAGGGATTTTGAATGAAAAACATTTTTCATTCAGTTGGGTTTTTGACTGGAAATTCGGTCGCTTTCCTCGCCTCAATTCTTCAATGTGTTGCCATTTATTGGTATGGTTTCCTCGAGGGAAAGTATAATTTGTAGTTTTTTTCAAGGTTTGTTCCAGAGCTTCTTATCGTTGCACGTTTTATGACATCGGTTTGCATGGCTGTGACTTATCAATCTTGCATTTTGTACATACAGGCTTGTTTAAAAACTTGACTTGAAAAGAAAAGGACAGTTTAGGAATGTTCCCCGACGCATCTTCGAGGGTTCATGACATTTTTGAGCGAAGTCTCATTTTCAACCATGACCTTGTTTGGGAGTATCCTCGGGACACAAGGAGTCTTGGGAAATCATTTATTTTGGCTCGTCTTTTTTGTTGTTCCTTTCTGTAGGTTCACCATGGATTTAAAAAAGAAATGTCCTAATTTAGGCTTCATTTTCCTCGTCGGTCTGATATTCCTACCTGAAACGCCGAAATTTTTGTTGATCGTCAAACGCGACAATGACGCGGCCATCAAATCCGTCAGATTCTACCACGGACCTTGCGTCGATGCAAAATCCGTGCTGGAAAGTATCCAAATGGTGGGGGACTCCTCTTTTTCATGACATTTTTTGAATTCCCCTTGAAGGAAGAAGAAGAAGGCGAGGAACAAACAATTTCGACGAGTCAGGCCTTGAAAGATTTATTCAGGGAGCCCTACTTGAGGAAGGCGTTGATGATCAGCGTCAGCGCTTTGCAGGTCCTTCTCTCCTAATTTTCTTATCGAACGTCTAAATTTTCCAGAACACTGTGGCCCTATGGGCATTGCTTCTCTCTTCGACGTACTTTCTCGAAAATGCGAACATGGAGCCGAAAATCGCGCAATGGAGCAGCAATTCTATGAACTTTGCCTACGTTTTGGGCGCCATTTCCGGGACGAACATCATTGAGAGGTTGGAGTTTTCGAAATGAAAATCATACGTTCTCCGGAGATTTTTCGATAAATTTAAGTCTGGTTTCTTTTTTGAGGAAAATCTTACGAAGAAAGGCTGAATCCTGTGGCCTAAACCCAAACAAGGTAGAAGGCGTAAAAAAAAAATTGGCGCGAAAATTAAAATCTCAAGTACGCAGCCAAAGGCGATCGAACAAACAAGTTATTAACGTTGAATACTCCGTGTAATTATGACGTCATTTTATCCGGAGCGTGCACTTACTTTTTTTTGTAAATTCAGAAACTTTGACGCCTCGCTCACCTTCCCTCACCGCATTAGGAATACCGTGTTTAATTGAGGTCTTTTTTTAGATTCATCAGAAAAAAAGTCTTATTTTTTTATGATTTTTTTCTTGTGACAGATTTAAGCCATTTAATAATTTTGTAACATTTGTTCCATTTTTTTAAATTCTGCATTTGAATTTTTCATAAAGTTGAAAAATATGAGTATATCGTTGTCGGAGCACCTGTTTTGGCGCTGCTGTTAGGGCTTTCAGTTAGTTTTTGCTACCAGCTCCGGTTTCAGTCTTGGTACTTTTCAGTTTTGAACCCGCCCGAGCGCCCTAGAAGCCTTTAAAATATATTGTAATTTCCCAATAAGAGCTTATGAATTTTCTAATTAGATTCATTTTTTGATTTCAGATGGGGCCGCCGACCGCTCCTGCTGTCCTTCACTTTTGCCAACAACGTGGCTCTGCTGGCATTTGTTCTGTTCACGGCCCTACAGCCACTGATCGACTGGCTCAAGTACGGCTGTTTGGCGGCTCTCATCGTCTACGGCTACACTTATGGGTATGTCGTTTTCCCGAAAACACCAAAAAATGTCCTTTTCAGTTGTGGAGTTGGACCGATTTCCTGGTTCATTTCATCGGAGCTGGTCCCGCAAAAGTACCGCAGCATAACCCAGTCGGCCGCCTACGCGATCAACACCGTCATGGTCGTAATCAGCAGTTTCACAGTGCTTCCGTTGTATTCAGCCCTTGGAAGCTATGCGTTTCTCCTTCTGTACTCGATCCCCTCTACGTTTTCGTTGATCTTCTTGTTCAGAGCATTGCCTGAAACCAAGGGACGTGAAGTTTATGATATTGTTAAGCAGTTGCGTGGAAAGTGAAGATTGTAATCATAACTATCGCCCCATTTTTCTATTCATATTCATTAGATTTGGTTTTTTAATCTTGCCAAAGAAGTTTTCCCTTTTCCTGCATGTTGTCATATTCCTGTACACTCTGTTCACAATTAAAAACATTAAAAAGCTCTCAATTTTGATAATTTCAAAGATTACATGTTTTCTGAAGAATTTTTACTTGATCGCACAGAAAATAATCTTAAAAACTTGATGTCCACAAAAAAATGACGATGGAGACGGCTGATATCGCTCAAGTGGATGATGTGTTTGACACCACTCGAGCCGGCAAATAACCGATGCTTATCTACATACAGTAGAGAAGTTCTCGCTGAGCCCTTGGGCCAGACAGGAAATACGCGGTCAGTTCTTTTTTTTTTCAAATATAATTTATTTGAAGTTATATAAAACTGCATCTTTGAGCGAGTTCACGTTTTTTTAAACTTTTTGGCTGTAGAAATTCATAATTGCTTAAATGATCCTTTAAATAAAATTATTAATGATAGTTTGTCATAATTTTTTTCAACTGTATTAATAATTTGACTCATATTTTAGCTGTCGGTAAAACAGAAAACTTTGATTAAATTTCTTTAATGAAGAGAATATATTTCAAGTAGAAAGGTATAGAAAAAGAATTACCTTCAGTAGTTTATCTTTAAAAAAACAGCCTTTTCATCGAAATTAGCCGGTTGAATAATTTCAGAACTAGAATCCATTCTATACGATTATTCTACCTTTTCTTCACAAAAACAAGTGTATGATCGTTGTTAAAAAAATGAATTCATCTAGTTGAATCTAAAAACCAAAGCAATTTTACATGGAAACTAGGATGGAAGCCTGAAATCTCAGCCATACTGGCTTACTCAATTAAAAATTAGATAAAAAAATTTTTGAGAGATATTTTTCGAAAAAAATCCCCATACCCTTGATTTTTTTAATGCGTAAATACCGTTTAGAAAGGTATTTTAGAAAAAAAGAAAAACTGAAGTTTATTTACGAAAGTATAATTTAAAGAAAAAAACAGTTTTTTTCCTTTTTCTCACTGGTTTAGTTTTTGCCGATCTAGTCGAAATATACCCAGTTGATTGCCGCAAATCTCGTCTATTCTAAGCTTCGCCTTTGTTTCGAGGCCGAATTTTTAATGATTATGTTCCCACAAGTTGAAGCTCTCATTACCAGCCCCGTAATGATGAGCCTCAACGGAGCCGTCAATTAACTCACCTGGAATTGACCCAGGTCCTTTGTATACCTGTTGCCTCGAGAGCTTTTCACAGCGATCCGAGCATTTTTAATTGTATGGGTTGCATAATTTGAATTTTGTCTCCGCTTTCCGAATATCCAGCAGGTTTTGTGGCTTTTTCAGAATCTGAAAATTTTTTTAAGGAATGCTTTCTAAGCTTATTTGGATCTCTGAAACTTTGAAAGATGTAGTTTTCAATATTCAGCTTCAGCTTTGAAAATTTGAAGATTTTTCATTTATGTCTTCTTTTTCAAAGTGCAAAGAGTTCTTTAAAAAAATTACAATGCTCAATTCTCATTTTATAATTTATTATAAAATTTTTTTCCATTTACATTCATAAAATAGATATTTTTTTAAATTTGAAAAAAACTTCAAAAAGAGTTTTTCAAAAATCGTATGACTAGAAAAAAGCCACAAACTAGATTCCCGACGATCTTATCCTCAATCTAATTTTCTCATTAATCCCTTCAAGAAATTTCTGAAACTTTTATTAGGAGGCAGCCAAAACAAGGCACAGTCATACATCAAGTCGGAATTAATTAACGATTAGGCTGGCAATAGAGCCGAACCGAATACAGACAGGATGGCGAGTGCGCCTTTTCATGGCTGCTCGACGGGGGTTTAATGTGCTCCCATCCACCTGTCAGAGACTCGATTTGCGTAGAAATCTAGGGAAACTGTTGAATTTTGGTTTTTTGACTTATTTTGTTTTTAAGGTAGCCATAGATGGATAATTATTTTAAATTGAAACTTTTTTGACTAAAATACGGAAAAGTAGTAACAATTTCGAATTTTTGCACTTTGGCGATTGAAACTTTTCTTCAGTATTTGTTCTCAAAGTGGTACTGCTAATTTTGGTGCTGTCTAGTATCCCCCCTCAATTAAAACAACGTAAAAAAAGTAAAGGTGAAGAAATTGATAAAAAAATGAAATCTCGATTAGATTTTGAAGCTTTTTGAATCCATTTGAAAAAAATTCATCAAATCGCAAAAAAATACCGATTTTCCACCAAATTCCATTTTTTTCTTCTTGATTCAAATTTTTTTAATTCATAAAGGAAAAAAAGACAAGTTAGCCTTGATCTCATGAATCCCTCATTTTTTTTCCACTTCTAGGAACCAGCAGCCCATGTGTTATCGTTATATTTATTTGTCCGGCACGACGGCTTCTTTTAATCGGCCGCCGGCGCCCAACCGCCGATTTTGATTTACAACTGTCGGAGCCGGTGCCATGTTTCTTGAATCTCATTCGATTCATTCTTTGATTCAATTGCTGGTTGCTACCCTTCTCATAGATTTATTCGTTTACCTCCTTTAATTTCAGGTTTTGAGAAGAAAAATGGACGATTTTGCAATTTACCTGCCTCAAAAACATGTATTTTTGATGAAAGCATTCATCCTCGAATTCTTTCTCGTCAATTATGGGCTTTCAGAGAGAAAGAAGCATTTTTCAATTTTTTCATCTTTTTGCTTTTTTTGTTTGGTTTGAATTTGGACGGGTTTTTTCGAAAAAAAAAAGTGAAAAATTAACTTTTTCGACTACACAAGAAAAAAATATTCAAGGCTGATAAATACCTTTAATTGATATATAGGAAGCCAAAATTGCGGACGTGGATATTGGAGGAAAAGGTCATGGGGCTAAAATTTTGAACAAGAAAACAATAATATTGTGATTCCGCCCATTTTTGAGTGGGCTTTATTGAATTTACGCCAGTTTTGTTTGAAAATTGGACTTCTAAACATTTTTTTGAGCCGGAAAGCATATTTTAACAGGTTTCAAACTGTCACTTTCCTTACCAAGTTTCCTTGCTTCAAAGCATTATTCCATTCACCCGAATTTCATATCCAAGATAAAGTTACCACTCCATATATATTCGGCGCCTCTTGAACCTCGACGTTTTGAATTTCGCGGTTGAAAATTCCAGCAAAGCTTCTCCTTCTCCCAAAACCCGCTACTATGTTGTTGGAAAGGCGAGAGAGTCGAGTAATATAATGGCAAGCAAACAAACCAACATCAAGTGGGTCCCTCTACTCTGGTAAGTGAGGGGGCCACCGCAAAAGGTCCGCTTGCACCAGCCTAGCCTCTTATCCCGATCTTCTGACGATTTAGTAGCGATTAGAAACTTTCGAAAACCAGAACGAATGTTTTTTATCCCCTTTATACGGTCCCTGAGTTTGGTGCTGCTCATCGGTTTGCTAAATTTCGAATTTTTTCTTAGGAAAATATTGAGCTTGTAGTAAGTTCTTATCAGGTTTCGAATCTTTCAATAGGGCCCCTATATTCAAAAAGAACTTGTAAGACAGTTCAGAAAATTATTATTCTTTTAAATAAGACATCAGCGGGGTTTTTATTCACTAAATTTTGAGCGCTATCCATAATTTAAGCTTTGAAATTATAATTTTGAAGAGAAATATTCCCCCTCTCCCCCTCAAAAAATTATTATTTTCCTGAAAACTATGACTGAAAAAGTTTATTTCGAATAACAAGCTCCAAAATTTTACTGGTCAACCTGAATTTTCGGGAAAAAATAGGGAAAAATTGTTCTAAAAAATGGGGCGATTAAGGCAAAACAATGAATAATGGAGGGGTCAATTGGCCGGCGGAAAAAGCCGAATTTTTTTTCCCAAGCCGTTCCTTGTAATTTTGTTCTCACTTTTTTGAACATAATTCAAATTTTAATCTCAGAGGGTAGTATTTATAAAAAGTTATAGCCGCAAGCCATTTTTTCAAAATGATTCGAAAAATATTTTTTTTACACTATTCGATAGATGAGACTGTCAACTTTCATAATCCGATTAGTTTTTAGAAAAAAAGGTCCACTGAGAAAAAAAAAATTCGTCATTTTTTTTCGCGATAAATCTTGTTTTTCTGCACATTCATTGAAAAAATACATGATTTCAAAAAAATATTCAGTTTTGTAGAGCGTTGTCGATTTCATATGTTAACATAAATATTTTATTTTAAAAGTCGAACTTTAGTAAATAGGAACGACTCAAAACCGTTTTTGCAACAAAAAATCGTCTACTTTGGTGGCGTGAAGGGGCGGGGCTTTTCGCTCCCTGGTTACAGCGAAAATATCCATCGAGAAATTTCAAAATAAAAAATCCCTTCAAGATCGTATACTCTAAATTGTAATAGTTCCTTGTTATTGCCGGCAATAGTTGTCCATTCTAAGTGGCCCTTTTTGGAAGGAAAGGCCGAAAATGGGTGGCAATCCGATACATGCGATTGTTTCTGGCGAGGAGAATGGAATGGAGCACAAAAGAGCACAACTGTGCTCCTTCCTCGCCGAAAATGGATGTTCGTCTTCCAGTTGATTGACGATTAGGCTGGTTTTAGCGCATTTTTGTTTGGCAATCTTGGAGTTTTTTGGCGCTTTTTGACCGACTTCCTCCGGCGTTTTTCGGTATCAAAATGGCTTCCTGTAAGACTATACCAATCACTTTCATCTGGAAATAAAACACAGAACCATTTTTTGAGCATTAAAAATAAATTAGACGCCCACTTCTTTCCTTCTTTTCGCGTGATATCGCGATTTGAAATATTCATACAAGTTCACGATGGGTATCCCCTCAAAGTGTTTTCGTTTTGGATTTTTTTTTTCATTTTTTGAGTAAGTATATTTTTGAAAATAATGTCTTTGTCTTTTTTGCTTCATCAGCTCTGATTTGTGAACTTTTTGTGATATTGCGGGGCTTGCAAGTTCTTCTTACTTGATTCATCATTTTTCAAGCTCAATTAATTTGGTACTGCACTTGGCCCTGCTAAATTTGGAGATGTTTATTCTAATACAAGTATTTTTTCTTATTTTGAAGACTCCAAAACTCACTATCGATAATCTTCAACTTCCGTGATAGCCCTGAGTAAAGTATTCTTCCCGTCCTCTGTTCGAAATAACAAGGAAACTGTTCGCACATTAAAGATTCCCAAGAGGAGGAAGATGTACATCAAATTCAAGTGGTTGGAAGACGATTTGTGAGCCGATTGTCCGGCTCGAGTGGTCCCGACGCCATCCAATGAGCCCATCTAATGAGCCGGAGCTTGTTTTTGCTCCTTCCGGAGCGCTTTTCTTTTCAGCTTCTCGGAGAACTTTTTCTTCAATTTTCATTTGGATTGTGCTTTCTTAATGTTGCTGATGTTAAGAAACAGTCGAGGGCCTTTTTCTTCATTTTTGCGTGAGAATTTTTTCTTTTTTTCCTCTTCCGTTAAGACTCGAAACTATATCCAATTGTCCAGAGAATCGAAAAAAAAAATGGCAAGAATCATTGCCGTGTAATTGGATATTCACTTCAAGATGGGCTCAAAAGTGCGAAAAACGGCTGTTTCGCACGAGTTTTGGATTTCAAATCGACGTCTAATGCAATTTGAAGCCTTCAAAACCACCTGCGTCTTGGGAAAAGATGCTTTTTTTTTGTTTGGATTAGCAAAGTACTTGAAAATGTTTTTTAAGGTTTTCCATTTTGCATAGGAAGTTGTCTTTCTTGGCTTTTTTTTGATTAATTTGAGATATTGTAGGTTTTTCGAAGCTTATATTTTTTTATGCAGAGAAGTTATCGCAAAAAAAAAACCAAGAAGCTGCTTTCCTTGGTTTTTTCTCTGAAGATTGAAGGGTTTTGAACTTTTTGACGTCACCTAACCTCAAATCAACTAATTTTTTTAATTGATTCCATCAGAAAATAGATATTTGACCTAAGAACCATGAGAGACATTACTCAACCGAATGTGAAGCTGAAATCACTCGAAAATAAGCAAAAAACGGCACTCAAGTGACAGAAGCTGAGGATTACCACGTCGTCGGCTGTCGAACAGACCATCTGGGGGTTGGGTAATCCTCTTCCTTCTTCTTGCCACTTGGCACCGCGCTTCCTCCATCCGGAGAGTTCTGTTTGCACAGTACCCCATTAACCCACCCAGTCCCCTCAAAAATAGAATACACCCTTTTTTTAGGTAATTTTTTTGAATTTCCATAACTTTTTTTCATACTCATTTTTTTCACTTTTATTTTTTTCATTTCTCCGTTCTTCCGTTGGATAAGTTTTCTAGTCGAAAAGAAAGATTTTCATTGGAAAAAAGAAAGCTCGTACAATTTATACGTGCAACAGGTGTGGAGGTGAAGATTTTGTGTGTCCAGCCGGCTGGCCGCTTCTTCTCGTACCAGTTCTCTTGATTTTTGTCGAGTTGAAAGGATATTCGACTTTATATTTTCTGGTTTTTAAAGTTCACGCTCTGGAAAAATTGACTTTTTTTTAAAAGGATGATTTTGGTTAGAAATCATTTGAGTTATCCTATTCTTTTGGTTTTTTTAGGGTTCGATCCTGTTTTGATTCGCGTTTTTCAGCTCTAAGATTTGGACCTCTTTTTGACCTGACTAGGAAACTTCCCCCCTTCCAAAGCTTGAAATAGCGATTTTTTTGTCATAATTGACGTAGATTTTTTTGTCATAATTGACGTACATGCAAACTCAAAAAAAGTATTTTTTTTCCCTATTTTCGATATAAAAATATTTTTTTAAACCTGGAAGATATGAAAGAAAAACCGTAGAAAACTTGGAAAAAAAAATGATATGAGAACAAAAAAACCATTCATCAAAAAGAGAAATTGAACAAAAAATACCAATGAAAGTCAAAATTTCCAGGTCGTCCTATCCTTATTGAACGGTCCAAAAACCGTTATTTCGATGGCATTTTCGTAGGAAGAGTGCTAGGATAATGAAAGTTTGGCTATGGGGGTTATTTTGTACTCTGAATCAAATGGCATTAACAGATTTTTGATATCTTTCCGTATTTTGCCAGTAAGTCCAAAATCGAGGGGGTCCTATCCTTATTGAACGCAATGTATTTTGCAGACTTTGAAGCTCCACAACTCGAAAACTAAATCTATTGCAAATCAGGAGGTCCTAAAGTACACATCAGTAAAGTTTCATCAAAAGTTCAACCGGAAAGTTAAAAAAAGGTCCCCAGTGAGGAAGCTGACGTCTGCCGTTTTTTTCCCACAGTTTATACAGCACTTGAGCCTGCTCCCAACAAGGTCATCGGACGAGTGACTCATTTTTCCTAACATTCAGAGAGATTTCTGGCAATAAACTATGAATTATTGGAGAATCAAAATGGGCGCACCATTTTCATCGTTATTATAGTCCATACGGTCTCCCAGAAACTCACTTCATCCGATTTTCCTTCAAATTTTCGAAATTCAGCCGATTCTCATGAGCCTGTTGAAGTTTATACTTGCATATCTATGCTTAGAACTCACAAAATCGTCACTCTAAACTGAAAAATTTCGGCTTGCGTTCCACTCTGAAAAATTTCGTTTTGACATTTTTTGTTCAAATTTGTGATCTTTTTTTCTTTTCTTGTACTTCTCCCAATGCTCATTCTAATCCGTGGCACCGATGCCGATGTTCTTACCGATGACAAAGTGTTTTTATGGCCCCTCTACGCAATCCTGTCACAAACGCGTCGGATTACCCAACTCTCGGGTTATGCAATCGGGTTTTTTTTTCGTTGTTTTGTTGTATCGCTATTCCTTGTTGCAATTTACGATAGAAAGTGTTTCTAAAATATGCTGACGAAAATCTTGGTTCCACCGAAAATCCCTCCGGCTTTTCATTCATTGAAAATGCGCTCCAATGACAAAATAAGCGGAGCTTGAGATTTTCCAGGACCTTGGTAACGCGAATCGTACGTCTCGGGGCATTTCTAGTGACCACTTTAGTAGCGTCAACACCCTAGAAGTGCTCAGAAACGTGTCCGATTTTTATTAAAAAGGTCCGAATCTAAAGAAGAAATTTTGAAGATTCTTATCCGCGAGCATTACGATCTGATGTTTAAATATAAATATTTTAATATCAAACCATTCAAAAATAAATTCTTGAAGCTTTATATTTTTTTCTATAAAGCGCCAGAGCCGCAGTGATCACCTTCAGGGCGATTTCGCTCTAATGATAACCAAGTTCAAGCCTAGTTAACAAAAAAATTTTGCTGAAAGAAAAATCAAAAATATTATCATACTGAAGAAATGGATGGCTCTACCAAAAACAGCCCTTTTTCCAAGTGTTTCAAGCATTTTCAAAATTTTTCAATATCAATTCTAAATAACCCGAAAACGAAACGATTTAAGAATCGCTATGTATACATCGAGGATTAGGTGTCCCGCACACGCCAGAAACATTGCAAGAACAAGAACAAGAAGAAGGAAAAAGAACAGATGACCCTTCTCCTCCTCCTTTTAGTCGTGCCTTTGGGCGTTTGCTCTTCCTTTTATGGAATTAGCCGTCTCTCATCAGATTGCTTTGCTACGAATGGACATTCCCCTTGACCACGACTTTTTAGTATGGCTATCAAGTTTTCGAGGTGCCACTGGAGTGATTTTTTTCTTTCCCCTTTCCTGTCAATTCACTAAAGCGGCTTTTATAGCTCTTAAGTGATCACTTGAGTTTCTTGATTTTTCTTTCCGCCTTCTCCATCACTTTATTGAAACCTTGGTGTGGCTTTGATTGCTCTTAAGTGATCACTTGGATTTTTTGATTTTTTTTTTTTCATTTTTCCTGTTCCTTCATTGAAGATTTGGAGCGGCTTTGATTGCTCTTAAGGGATCACTTGAAATCTTTCATTTTTTTTTTCAACCTTTCCATCACTCAGCTGTCAAGTGTTCCCTATTGTGATAACTCTCCTTTTCTTTTTTGAAAATCTTCAGAGATTCCTGTAGATCAAAGTTTTCAGTCAATCAGTGTTAGACCTTTCCAAGACCTCCCAATTCCGATCCTCAATAACTTCTCCGCCTCCTGGATCTGAACTCTTGACCTTGCCGGTAATGTCCCCGCGACTTAACCACTTGACTAGCCGTTTCCGTAAACATTACAACACATTTTCTATGTAGAGAGAAATTCTGAGAAAGCTTTCTTACAATTCAACACTTTTTTTTCAAGTGGTCACTATAGAGCCTTTTGAGAAGCACCATTTTCACTCTGGTGGTCACTTTAGAGACCTTGAAGCCCCGCCTATTTCCCCCACACCTCAAGTGCTCACTTTGGAGGTTCGCCAGACTCCGCCTCCATTTTTCACAAGTGGTCACTCGAGAGATTTTGAGGCCACGCCTACTTTTCTCGCAATTTTATGACGTGATCAGCGAATTATTTCAATTTTTTGTACTCATTTTAGGGACTTGTCGAACTATCATTCATACTCATTGGAATGTAGATTTTTTTTTGAACATACCAAGCTTCAATTTTGGTATATTTTGGAAAATCTTTGGAGAGAAAAAGATGAACACGTCTCCTCTCTTTTTTTCCTAACCCATTGGTCATTTTTGGGGTTCCATCCGTTTTTTCATGCAAATGAGAGTTGGATGAATAGGTTTTGTCCTTTTTTTTCCACGTGAAATCGGTTTTTGCTTCACATTTAGGGCTGAAACCATTGGAAAAAAAATTTTACAACTTTTTTTTGATTTCGATTTTTACGAATCTCTGTTTTCTCACTTATCGGCTTTACTTGTTGGCTTTGAAACAATCACTGGAACTTTTTTTCAATATTTTTTTATATTCAGAAGCCTCGTCCGTTCATTTTCGACTGGGTTATGGACTTTGAAAACTCAAAAAGATGAGCTCCAACAGAAAAATACGAACACTTTTGCTGATTTTCGTGTTATATCTATCGGAAAGCCCAGCGTCAGCTTCATTATCAGGTAAATTCTCGTCAAAATTCAGGATTTAAAGCCGGAATCGAAAAAGAACACAAAGGGGTCGAGTGGTTTTTTATTCGATTTTCGCGTGGCTCTTCAAAAATCCTTCTGTTCTTTCCGCGTCCTCAAACGAATCGACACATGTCTTTCGAGTTGTTCCGGCTCTTTTTTTTCGAATAGAAGGCTTTGGGAGTTTAGGTGATTTTTTAGAAGTGTTGGTTTAGATGCTTAGGATCTTTTTTTCAAGAAATGGATGCTTACGAAATTTTTAAGATTCTGAGGTGGTTTACAAAAAAATTTTTCAGAAGAGTTTTGAGAAGGAAAAATTTGGTTTTTTTAGGTGATTTTTTTGTAAATTTAAAAATCGGTAATTTTAAAAAAATAGATGATTAGGAACTCTTTCAAGGTTTGAAGAAAAATTTTTAAAAAGTTTTTAGAAGTTCAAAAAGGTATCAGGGTTTTGAAAAAGACTATTTGGAACGTTAGATCTTTTCCAGAGGAATTAGAAGTGTTATGAAAAATATTTCTCTAATTCAGAAACTGTTTATGGGGTTTTCGAAACTTTTCAGAAGTTTAGAGATTAGAAGCAGGCTTTTAAAAAGAAGAATCTATAATTTGAGGTGGTTTTTAGATAATCAAAAAAAGCAGAAACTTCATGAAAAAAATTAATCTTTTATGAGGGTTCGATGTTCGAAAAGTTCAGTGAGAAAAAAATCATGATAAAGAATTTACAATTTGAGAAATATTTTTTTATTAGCGGAAACTTCTGAAAAACTTTTTTGAGGCTCAACATGTTGAGAAGTTCGGATGAACAGAGCTTTTGCAAAATTTGAATATAAAATTTCAAAATTTTCATCTTTTTTTGGCCTCACTCTGAAAAAAACCTTTGAAAAAAATTCTTACATTTAATTTTTTTACTAGACGTTAATGATCTCTCAACTACATAAAACGAGAATTTTCGGACTCTTCATAGTGCAAAATGTGCCGCGAAGTGACAGCCTGCCGATTTCTTTTAGGGTTCATAAAATTTGAGGCTTTCATCGCCTTTGAGGAACATTAAAAAAATGGGTTTTTAGTAGATTCAAATCTCCAGTTTTTTTGAGCAAAATTTAATATAAAGTTCTTATTGAGAAATTATAGGTTTGAGTACGTTTCTGTTAGATTTTATATGAATTATCGTTAATAAATTGGCAGTCTCGAGAGATCTTCTTTTCTAGATTCCCAGTTGATTTTTTGGATTTCAATTGATTGATCGTCATGTTCCTCAAGGTCAAGCACCCGGGAGTCTCTCCAAAAAGATTAAACCAGCTTTTTAGTAGCTTGATCATTCGACATCAAATTTTTTTTGTTGTTGAAACTCTGTCTTCCGGTCACTGAGCATGACCTCATGACCTCAGATGATGCTCCACAGCTCGAGCTTCTCAAGTCATTTCAAGAGCTTGAAATTATTTAGTGAAGGGAAACTTGGAAAAAAGAGGAAAGCTCAAGCTCCCGGTTAGCCTCATGTCAGTGGTGATCAAGCTAAGCATGAACTGGATTCCAAATATCCAGTTTTTCTTGTCCTGCTGCTCTAGCTCCTAGAAACCATTCAAAGAGCTGCAGCTCAGCTTCCGGCCGACCTCACGCCAAAGGTCGAGCCGACCTCAACCTCGAACACAAGGCGATGCACGGGTAATCCCTGAGGCCGTCTGTTCGTGGCTCGCGCGGCTTGTCGGGGGGCCGTCAATCTGAGCGACGGCTCCTCTTGCCGATCGCCCGGCGACAAATCGCCTCGTTTCTCACAAATTTGTTGTGATAACGTGTTATTGAAGGGCATTCGTAATGAGTGTGATGATTGGGATGTTTGAAAAAAAAAGAAAAAAAAACTCTTCAATTAGTTCATTCATCGTTGGCTTAACGCTTTTATCGAAACAGGTGCAAAGAAGAAACAAATAGACATCTCTGGTGTAAACACGTTACATTTTTTTAGTTTATTAAATTTTTTTTTGCCCAGAATACCAAGTCCAGATCAAAGTTCGAAGCTTTTTGAGTTCATTTCTAAAAGTTCTGAAGCGTATTGCATACTTCATTCGTCTCTGACATTAGAGAGTGTTACGTATTTTTCCGATTAACGGAAAACTGGGCGAAATGAGAGTTTTAGACGTCTTTGTGGTTTTTTTTTTCAATTTTTGTCTCAACCTGGTGTTGATTGGAAAAGATTTTTTTGAAAGAAAAAAAAGGTCGACAAATTTCCCGAGTTTATTTCAGAGCATTTCCGATTTTATTCAATTTCAATCGCAAAATCAGGATGGTATGGTGATGTTGCAGGGAGGGAAAAAGACCACTAGGTGGATTAACTAACCCCACCTGTTAAGAAAAAAAAAAGTTTTTGGTGTAAGAAAAGAAACATGTCATGATTTTTGTGATAGTTTCAAAATACATCAATTTTTTTCCTGTCGAGCCTCAAAAGGCGCAAGGTCATATTGAGGCTGAAGCTGAATCTACAGTAAAATCGCAAGATTTTCTAGAACTATTTTCAAAAATTGAATTTTTAACCTTTCTTGATCTCTTAAGATCGTTTTTTCTTTCATAAGCTCCTTCTTTCTGTATTTCAGCGATTGGTCGCATTTGGAATGGCTCAGAGTCTCGAGATTTGTTCATTATCGTGACTGTAAATTTTGAATTTTGGTGAGAAAAAGTACTCTACGCGCAACGCGACCCATTGAGCTATTCCACCTGCGACCATGCCCGAAATATCAAAGGTGGTTTCAAGTGACTTCCATAAGATTCGATGGGCCAAAAGGGTGACCACCACTGTGTTGAGTAATTGGGCCGGTCGGGTTGTGCAAGAGAGAAAAATACTCGTTTAATGCCAGGGTGTTACCTAATTGGATAATCGGAGCACAATTGTGAGCGCGGTTAATCAACCGCGTCGAATATCGTTTCGTTTTGGCTCCTCCAGCTCATCATTGACCATGATGAGCTGGAGGAGAACTTGAAGGTTCTGGGTGGATATAAAATTAAAGAAAAAAGATTTTTTCGATTGAATAAAGAGAAAATAATCGAAATATGATTGAACTTTTTATTGGGTTTATTTTTAAAGTCTATTTCCGATTTTGAGAAATAAATCCATGGCATATTGGAACAGAGAATAAATGTACAGTACCGTCAGAAAAGTTACCAAAAATCAGGGTTTCGATGACAATTTTCTTGTAAGAACTTCAATTTTCCTGAAAAATTCTGAAGCTGCGGTTTTATCCAGGAACTGGGACTTCATCAGAGGGGTAAAATTAACTGTCATCACATTCCCAGAAAGTTCCAGAAAGTTTGAATCCCTTACAAGAAAGTTGTGACCGAAACCCCGTTTTATCGTATCTTTTCTGACGGTAATGTATTTGAAAAATCGAAAATTTTTTGAATTTCACGTAAATGCTTGCGAAATGAATACGGCAGGAAACGAGTTCTTCAATATGTTACAGAACATATTTTTTTTTAATAGTTTTGGGTTTATTCGAAGGATTTTTTTCCAGTGTAACATGGTCTACAAATGATAATCAATTTTTGAAAAAAATTTTACATTTTGGTTGGAAAAAAAGACTCGATTTTATGCTCATTACCTCGCCAAAGGTCTAGTTATTTCTTTCAGCTTTTTTTATTAAAATTTTTTTTATTTTGAAAAAGTTAAAAATAAGCTAGCGATAACTGACGAGCAATGTTTAGCTTAAGACACTAATTTTCTTCAAAACTCTTTTCGCGACAGTTTTCAGTGGCGAAAAATGAGCTGAATCGATAATTTCACGTCATTTTCTCATTTCATTCCGTTTCAGAAGAACCGCCGTGTCCTGTCGGCTGGCAACTAACTTCGGAAGCATGCGTTTTGGTATTTGTGGCCCCGCTGACTGCTGAACATGCTAAGGTACACATCCAGCTCTATTTATAAAAAAACTTGATATATAGAGAAAAGACAAAAGATTTTTTTACTTTAGAATCGATGTCAAATTGAAGGCGGCGCTTTGTTGGATACCGGATCCAATTCGTTAGTTGAAGATGTTGCAGAGATTCTGCAGGTATTTTTTTCGAATCGAAAAGTGTCTAAAATCATTAAAATGAAGCCCTTTTTCTGAGTAAACTGTGCCCTTTCTGTCCAAGTAGTTTATATATTTCTTTTTTTGGGGTTTTTCCTTTTTGAAGTGATCACTCTAACAAGGTAGGTCATTTTTTTCTTTGCGGTTAGGAATTTCCTGAAAATTTTTTTAGAAAAAAATTCTTGATGTAGCAGAAAAAAAGATCCTGGAAGTCTCAATCTGCACAACTCCCCAATTTTTCGAGAAATAAAGTTTTTTTAGACTTCAAAAATATCTTTTTAAGGGATTTTTGAGACGTCCTTTTTTAAAAACTATAAAGTTGTGCAAGTTGAGGCTCTCAGAATCTTCAACCTTTGAAGAAAGAAATATTCTTTTTTCAGGAAATTCCCAACCGTAAAGTGAAATTACCTACTTGTAAAGATAACTGATGATTTTGAGTGTTTGGATACAAAATTTAACGGTATTTTCTCCATCTCAAAGCCAAGTTTTTTTCGTTGATATAAAGATTCATCCTTTGGTATATAATATATGTAATCGGAAGTCTGTTGCTGTTTGAAAATTCCCCTTCTTTTGGAAGTTCTCGTCCTTTTAAGAATCAATTTCGTGATTCAACCTTTTCTTAGCTTCTAATTTTACTCTTTGATAGTCTATCATAGCTCTTTTTGTTGGTTTATTTCACTGATTTCAATCCAGCTTGAAAGATTTCATACGTCCTCTCCTTTTTTTTTGGTTAAACCCTACTGGTTTACAGTGAAGTTTAACAGTTGCTTCACTTCAATCTTTCAAGTCCTTGCTTTTTTCTTCATTTTAGAGCTTTCAAAAGTTCGTCTGATGATACTTTGACTTTCGAAATTTCAAAATTATCAATTTTTGCAGTCGCTGCACGAAAAAGGCCTCACAGAGCCGACTTTTCACGTCGGCGGCCCAGGCCACGCGTTGAGCCGCGATTTTGATGGTAACTATCGCTTGTGAGATTTTATTTGAATATTTAATAAAATACAAAAAATATAGAGTCACCACGAACCCATCGTCTGCCCATCCGTTTGTCTGTTACCTGGACAAAATCGCCAGAAGATCGTTGGTTATCCGACAAAAGTTGTTGCCTAGAGGTTAGGAAAAAAATTTTCAAGAGTAACTTTTAAATTTTGAATTTCAGGAGCTCCTAAGATCACTTCAACTGGACAATCGGAGATTTATTTCCACCCCAGAGCCGACGCCGATTACATCGCCTTGCCTTGTGCCGTTGAAGGAAGTCCGGCCCCCATAGTTTCTTGGTACCGAAATGATGTAGAAGTGGTAGGTTTTCGGGATTTTTATTGTAATTTTGAGGCATTTCACGTCTTCAAAATCTTACAGAAAATTTGAATAAATTCGAGTACTATATTAACAAGTTCTCTGCGATTTTCAAAAATCTCTTGGTACAAGAATTTCAAGTTGGCTCCTCAGAGCTCTTTTTTCCTATCAGAGATACTACATAATCTTTTCAACTCATAACACCTGAGTTTCAGAGACTCCGCCCACTTTCAGGGTTACGGTAGAGAAAGTATCATAAAAAACTAACTTTTTTCCTGGTGGAGCAAATTGGTTCAAACCAACTTTAACGTAAAGAATATGCCATTTTGAGCATTTTTTGTGTTAATAGTGACCCTGGGAAAATTTCCTTACTCCAGAAAAAAATTGATTAATGTTGAAAAAAATGACTATGCAGCCCAAAAAAAGCTTTTTTTAACTTCAAAAAAATTCTTATTTTTTTCGAAATTTTAAAAGTATTCAGATAACAGTTTTTATGCCAAAAGTATGTTTGATGTAGCTTTTGACTAGAAAATAAAAAAAATTTGAAAAAAAAATTTTTTCATTTCTTCTTTGAATGGAAGGGAAAAAGCTTCAATTTGTATCAACCTCGCGAATAAATACAAAAAAATTGAAATAAAATTTTCGGCTAGAAAAAAAAAACTTCAAAATCTTCAATTTTCAACATGCACTTGTGCTCTCATGATTTTGTTAGAGCTTATAGAATATAAACGGAAAATTATTGTCTTTTTCGTTTCATGAAGCTCTCGAGGAGTTTTAAAAGTCACGATGTTCATCGACAAGTAATCCTAGTCACGATTAATAATAATCGATCAAGAAATAGTTATTGATTTTGAAGCTCACTCCATCGACTTCAAACGTCTCCTACCTTCTTTCCGGAGGCACCTTATTGGTTCCAGCTCACTCTTCCTTATCTTATTCGTCATTCCATTGTACGGCGAAGAACGCTTTGGGCGAAGTTCGGTGGGTTTTCATAATTTTTGCTCTTGATTTACTATCTTGTTCTTATATCCTTCATGACGAGGTCTAGGCGTCGGGAATTTTCACTGGAAAGTTTCTAAGGTAAAAAGAGGATATTTTACAGTTTTTTACTAGGATAATAAATGATTCTGATTCATTTTCTCGCCTCATAATTTACCCACTAAGCGGAAAGTACAGTAAGAGAAAAATTAGAACTCGATAAAAAATGTTATTCCTGGGAAGGTGTTAGGAAGCTAGAAGTCCAGGAGAAACCCTGAGAATGTGTTTAGAAAGAAGTTGAAAGGTCTTGGGAAGGTAAAAACATTGAAAATGCCTGCCAGAAGCCTTCTAGCAGGTTACTAGACGGTGAATAGAGGTGTTGGGAAGGTATCTGAAAAAATTTCCACTATTTTCTGGAAAGCTTCCGAAACGAAAGCAGAATCTTGCCAAATTTAACCTGAGTAGGTACTTTTGGACAGTATCATTTAGTTTTTATCAAAAAAAAACCTGCTGATTTTTGCCTTTTATTGTAGAGCTTCAGCTTCAGAGAAGCTAAAACCCTCTCTTTCTGCAGTGAAATGGGACATACCTATCTGTTGAACTTCAAAATAATATATTTAGCCCCATATCTTAAAGGCATAGGGGCAGTAAAAAATGGGGTTTCAGGTCAAAGCAGTATCTTGTATAGTTTTTCTTTGCGAATTGAATGGCGTACTCAAAAAAATTACAGATGTGACAACTTTAGAAGAAAAACGCGATTTTACTTTCCCGCCTTCAATTTTGAAAAAAGCTTTGGATCGGCCTACGGACAAATGTTTACAGTAGCCGTGCACGCGATGTTGCGGACGTCTCATTAGACTCGCCTTTTGTGAGAAACAACCGGATTTCTGCTTCAAATTAAGGGTTTCTTCTCTGAAAAATCGATTAAGAAATCAGAAAACATACATTGATAATAAAGAAAACACAAATAATTGCTATCCCAATCAAAACCTGTGTAAAATCATCATTTTTCGCCAGAGAAGCATTTTTGCGATCAAAGTTTGCAAATTATACATGAATAGAAAGCTTTTGTGACGAAAAGAACTTTGGTGACAACAGAAAAAATTGAAAATTGAAATAAACGAAGAAAAAAGCGAAAATCCGGAAGATGGCGAAGCCTGTTGTCCATAGAGCAACTTTACTGCAAAACCCCCTTTTTGGCGGCAACTCAAACTTTCCTCCCTCCGACTTTGAATAATTTTTTCTCCAAAACTAGGAACTTCTGTAAGTTTCCAAGTTCACCGTTCGATTCGCAATGAAAAGCTCTACAAAATACTGCTTTGAACTGAAACACCGTTTTTCACTGCCCCTATGCCTTTAACAAAAGCCGCTCTTTTTTCCCATAAATTCTGAATAATCGTTTTCGAAAGTGCTCCACTGAGAAGTTTCATCGATTTCTGATACAATTCCTTCATCTGTAAAACAAAATTAGTTCAATAAAGTTGGTCCTGAAATGATGAGCAATTTCGAAAGAAGTTTAGACGTTCGATTATACATCGATTTCAGAGGCTCGGCGATCCTCCTGAAGCCGTCGTTCCTGGACGCGTTCCGTCCGCATCGCCTTGACGTCTACTCGTTGATGAACGGCGGGGCCAAGCTGGACTGCGATCCGCCGACTCATCAGCCAAGTACGTTTCGATGTTTTAATGGATTTAATAGAAGTTTTGATTTTTGACAGAGATTTTTAATGGTTGTGCTGGTTAGAAGAAGGTTATACAAAATCAGGTTCACATTAAGTAATGGAACTGAAAATAAAGTGAAAGTTGTGCTGGTTTAAAAGTCATTTTCCAAATATTCTTGGAAATTTTGTAGAAAAATATAGAAGCTTCCGAACTTCATAGCCTTCTCCAATAGGATGCCTTATCGTTCTGAAAATGTTTTCTAAAAATCGCATGATGTTTTTCGCATGAATCTGTTTCCAACGCCAAAGCATCTGCCAAAAGTTGTACAGCTGCTGGATAATTTTTCACTCCCACGTTAAAAAAAAAGCATGTTTGGAACTTCAAAAGAACAGAAAAACGGCTTTTCCCCTTGGTGATTGATGACGAGTCCAGCCTCTGAGTTCTTTCTCGTTTTTTTTGTTCCGAAGTCAGCGGTTTTTCACTTTTTTATGTCAAGTGATGGGCAACTGTTTGAAGTCATTCTTAGCTTTTTACTGGATCATACGAAATATGACATGTTAAGGGAAGGGGCCCAGTTCTTTCTTTAAAATCTTAGATTTTTTTGAATGAATTTGTTTAAGTATGGTTTTTTTCAAAAAAACCCTTTCGAATTGATAAATTTTGAATTTAAACTTTTCGTTTTTTTCTTACCTTGAACTATAGAACAGTGTTGTGAATGGACTATGGATTTTAAGGAACATTTTAAGGACCTTGAGGATTTCATCTTACAAATTTAATACTTCAGAATTTCTTATATTGTTCAATTTAAAAATCTCAAAATTTCTTCACATCTCGGAAAGCATTGATGAATGGGAAACTGAAGCTTTTTCACACAAAAAAAAAATCTTTCCTTTCAACCTTATCACTTAGAAACGTTGAAAAGCTTCATCCACCTCCTGAAAGTTCACGCTGTAAAACGGAGCTTTTCCACACTTTTCAAAGAGTCTAACAATCCGCCCCGAAAATCTCTTCCCCCAACACATCATCATCACTCGCTTCCGAAAAAACCATTGAGGCGCACCCCATTCCAATGGCGTCGAAACGAGGCACATCCTTCCCCTCTTTGCCTCCGGAGAAGCATCGAAATGGGGCTCGTCCTTGCTCATTTCAGACGAAGAAGAGCTCTTTTCCGTTGGAGCCCCTCTGACATGTTTTCCATGTTTGTCGTCGTTCCAACAAACTTCTTCTTCTTTTTTCCGGCTTGAAATTGGTTGAGAAATGGCTTTTCTCCGGAACGTTTCCCTCGTTACTTACTATAGTCTGAACGTCTTCGCTCTAATTTTTCAGTCGCTTCGAAATTGGTTGAAAAATGGCTTTTTTGGTGCGTGCTCTTTCTGTCGGGAGTAGGTATAGTATTGCTCATGATAGCTCATTTTAAATGATTCTGATTCTGACTAGACCTAAAGTTACTCATGTCGAAAGAGAGATTTTTTTCAATTCTAAATATTTAAGTTTTAATAAATTTTAAATTTTATCATTCTCTCTCTACCGCTTTCGATCAAAAGAAGGGACAAAATGCCCTAAAATCCAGATTTTCGACGATAGAAAGAATTGAGGGTTATTGCTCATGTTAGCTCACTTTTAGGTCGTTTTCGGCCTTTATTGCTCATTTTTCGACTTAAGATTGTGTTTCCCCGCTAACTTTAGACAACTTAAAAAATCGGTAATCATAGTTTTTTGCATAAGAGTCAAAACCCTGTTATTGCTCATGTTAGGCTGCTTGTATAGCTCTAAGAAGTCGTTTTTTCTGAGTTTTTTCAACACCTGACTGAGTAAAAGCTGTTGCTCATGTTAGAGCCGCACTCAATCGTCAAATCCTCACCTCCCAGCGGACCCCTAAAAAGGGAACCGCCGTTCCCTACAACCGTTTCTCGAGCCTCTCTGCCGTCTCTCCATTTCCCCATGTGTCTACACGTTTTGACAAATCGAGCCAATCACTCATAGGCACAACACACGCATCTCCTCATCTTCCCTGGGGAGATTCATAAGGTCCTCGGCTGTCCTGGATCTTTTCTCACTAGTCAGTGCAAATCCAGGCTTCCGACTTTGAGCTCGAGTTTCTGTAGAATTTTTGGAGCAAGTGTAGGTCTTTTTTTGGAAAAGGTTTGAAGGTGGCCATGACTGATCTGCTGGCCACTATCACTCAAGATCTTTTTGCTTAAAAAAAATCTGAAAGCTTGACCAATCTCCTGGCTACTAGCCAATTTTATTTCTGGTTATCTGATTTATATACCTTGATCGTCTCGGATCTTTTCTCACTAAATAATTTTCTGAAGCTTTAACAGATTGTACGGGCGCAGTTAAGGGTCATTCCTCTCATAAAGGAGATTTTAGAATAGCCTTACCGATCTCCCGGTTCCGAGCCAAGTTGGTTTTTCTCTTAATCACTGATAAGTTTCCTGCCTAGATTGTCTTGAGTAATTTCCTAGAAAACATTCTAGACTTGGGCCGATTTTAAGTTGAACCTTGAATAGACTAGGTCTTTCCTTTGGAAAATGGTCCAAAAACTGTTTTTGCAACCCTTGTCGCCTGAAGATTGTCTTTTGGGGTTGTTCAATCAGGTCGATGTAATCTATTTCTACCCGAAAATTTTAGCGAACCGTCTTTGTCTTTTTTTTTCCTTCAGGAAGTCTGAAACTGCGAAGTTCTTTCTACTAGACCGAACTTATCTCGTGGAGCATTATCAATGGTTTCAGTCTTAAACCTTGTCGACATAAAAAATGGTCCGAACTTTGAAATAGTCTTGATTTTATGACTTTTTTTTTGACGGATCTTCATAAACACTAAATTGCGATATTTACGGCTCTGACTACCAACAAAACTTTTATCTCACATAGAAATCTAGAGATTTTCAGTGTTGCTTTCACCTCGCTCAGAGAAATTCGCGAATAACTCTAGTAAGGATGAAAAAGAGGAATGTTCCCATCGACTGAACTAGACGGCACCTGTTTCTGATTCTTTTTCATCCGCTGCGCCGTCGTCGAAACGTGTCACCGACACATGTTGTTCTTCGTTCGCTTTTTCGATGTAAAATGAGCTTCGAGCCTTTGGATATCAAAGCTTATCTCTTTTGAAACAAGCCTAGGATGTGTTTAAAATGTCCCACAAATAATTCCACTTTTGAGGAAAGTTTTAACTCAAAAACCCTCTGAAATTCACGTTACGATTCGAAATTTTTATCTAAACCATGATTTTCGACAATAAGATCGAAGAGAATAGATAACACTGGCCGATCAATTCTGATAAAAAAGAGGAAAACGTATCAATTTTTGGTCTTGTACTGACCTTATCATAACAAACTGATTTCAATGAATTTTCAGAAAAACGAGTCAAGATTTTTTTAGTTGTCTCAAACCAGTGTAAATGACAATTTTTGCTTTTCTTTTCCCATTTCAAACGAATTTCACCCTTCGACCCGAGTTTTTATTCAAGCTTAGGAAAGCAACTTTAAGTTTCTTTTTTATGGAAATCCTCTCAATCTAGTGGATTTGACAGTTTTCCACACGTATTTTTAGCTTCTTCTCTCTTTTCGAACTAATTTGGCCCTCCTCCCACCAGCCGATGTTCCATTCCATTTAGTTCTTGTCTCCTCCAGCCGTCGAGTCAAATTTAAATCCGCCGCTCTTTTTCGCCCCAGGGCACATTTGCACATTTTCCCGGCGGCTATCATATGTCATGTCGTGGCGCCCCCCCAGGGCAAGCTTCTCCTTCCTTCCTCTGAAAAGTGACGGCTTTTGGTCTGTGTTCTACTACTTTCTGTGTCATTTTGACCTTCTTGAATTTTTCTCTTGGTTTTAATTTTTTTGTGTAAGTTTTTGGGATTTTCAGACAAATATAAGAATCAGATCATCACTAGGGCGATGTTCCAAATTGAGATTCCAAAAAGTTCGAGTTTTTGATTTTAAATAAAAGTTATTTTCTGAACGAAAATTTGAAAAAAATTGGGAATTCTCAATGGAGCGCATTGGGAGGGTAAAAATAGGCTATTATAAGACTTCTCGAGTTTTCTTTCAAAAATAATTGTTTCGTTATGTAGGCTTTTGAGTGAGAAAAAATCTTCCTGCAAAAAGTATCTGGATGATTCAAGATTTTTCAACATACTTCAATGAAACAAAACTTTACTCGACAAAAATGATATTTCCCTGATTTTTGACATCCAGGAGAGCCATTTCCATCAATAGCGCACGTTTGCTTTCAAAAATAAGCCGCCGAGAAATTGGCCAAAAGTATCCGGCTGTGCATCAACTGCCTAATTGAAAAATTGAGTTTGACTCGGGCCGCCGAATTGGAAGGCTCATGACCTTCCCTCTAAAAGCCTGAATTTTAGCTCCTCCTGAAGTTTTAGTCACCCTAAGTGCCTTAGTTTCATTGATGTACTAAAAAAATACTTTTTTTCTATTTTTTTGATTTTTTTCTTTATGGTTTCTTTTTTTGTGAGAGAGTCGAAAAGTAAAAATTTATTTTCCGCTATTTTCTGTTCTTAAAAATGAATCTCGCGTGTTCAATTTTCCTTTCTCTCAAGGAAAAAGCCTCTTGAAGTCTGAAATTGCATATTGCGGACGACGGCTTTGATGGCCCTTGGGGCGGTTTTTCGGAAATTTTTCCCTAGATAAATTTGTTCTTCTTGCAATTTTGGTTTTATGCCGAGTGAACTCTTGGTTTCAAAATTTTGAACTTTCAGTAAGAAATCTTGAATGTAGATCCAATTTTTTAGGTGCAATCGAGTCAAATTTGGATAAATTCATTGAAAAAGATTTCGATGATTTCTAAGTAGCAGTTCAATAATAAATTTCGTCCCTTTCAATCTGAAAAAAAATTTCTCGGAACCTTATCAGAAAGGCCAATCGCTTCTCGGGAAATTCGGCGAAAACCGAAGAAAGGCGCGAGAAGAAAAGGCTTTTTTTTCTGTTCCTGGTGCGTCCAGGAAATTCCAGCCTGTCTCCCATTGTTTTCTCCTTTTTTTTCCCAAGCGAAAATGAAATTAAACTCTCCTCTGATAAGAATCTGTACAGTCATTACATCTCTCTTCGTTTTTTTATGGGTCACGTGGATTTTTCCTTATCAATATCAATAAAAAGGAACGTTTGAAGTAGGAGATTGACTGGCAAATTATCATTTTTTGACTAAATTTAAGGAATTGGTTTTTTCCAACCGTTTTATTTTTTTTAGATAATTTCTCTCATTCCCGAAAATTTTGGCTAGGATTTCTCAGTTCTTGAGCATTTTCGCCATCTTGAAAAAAATATCCAGGCCAATTTGGAGCTTGAAACGCGCTCTATTGAAATATTTAGGAGGTTTTGAAAGGGAAACCAAAAACTCGAATAACCTCAAAAAAACTACCATGATAAAATGACAACTTAACAACTTTACACCCCACCAACAAAGCCTCAATAAAAATCCAACAAATAGTGAGAAACTGGAACGATTTACTCGGAACTTTTACTTTTTCCCTTATCAAGTCGTTTGATTTACTTTTTTTTTGCTTCCTTCTTCCAAAAAAATGGGGTCAGGATCGAGAAAAACGGGATCTTTATCTTTGGAACGCCTATAAACGTTCTGTTTTCTTTTTTTTGCAAATTAATGGAGAGAAGCTTGGAGATAATATTATTGAAGATCAGGAAAAATCGAATTTTGGCTTAAATTCGATTGGATGCTTTTTTCTTGAAGAAGCTTCGGATTGGATACCTTAAAGAGACGACTTTTCCCGTATCTAGCTTGGTTTCGAATTATCAGAATCGTATGAGAATCGCTTGGAAATCTTCCCATCACCATCATATTCAAGCCCCCGATAATTTCTTTTCTCGAAAACGAAATCATTCCCCTCCGATTTCTTGTTTCCATCCGTTTTGATGGCTTTTTTTTGACGAGAAAGCCGTTAAGAGACAGACTTTTGGGTCATTTGAAAAAAAGTTCCTTTCCTCACCGAATGAACCCGTTTATAATCCTCTTTTGTACTTTTTTTAGTTTTTATGAGATTTTTTATCAAAATAGCTTAATAAAAGTTCAAATTTAGATCATGGGGACTTCATTACTTGAAAGAAAAAAAGTATTAGTCCATCCATGGGCTCATTAAAATCACAAGGCTGATTTTTTAGGTCTTTGTTGGGTTTTGTGTGGAAAGGCTAACAGATTTTTAAAGTTTTTTGGGAGGATCGCTCACTCTTTTTGAAACTGTTTCTAGATAAGTCAATAGGTAATATTTTCAAGATTAAAAAAAAAATCGAAGATAATAAGAAATAGGAGCTTGTCACTTCAAACCGTGACCGACCTTAAACGACCTGCGCGTCATGGTATTGAGAAACCTTAGAGAAAACTGTTGAAAGCTTTTTACGTCGTAGACTCCCTTTTTTAATTTTTTTTTTTAGAACTAGGGCGATTTTTGGTATGACCAGGTACTATTTTTTTTTTCGAAACTCTCATTCAGCACATTTTGTACGGCGTTATCTAGATCAAAATGATGCGGTGAAGCGACAAAGATGACCTCAAAGAAAGGCAGCAGAAGATAGAGGCAGAAAAAAGCCACACCACCGCAGTTGCTTCAGATCGGCGAGTCTGATAAATTAACGCGGAAAAAAGGCCCATTTTGGAACTGGGACATTGCACGGAGGAGCTATAAATTTCTGTTTTAGGTTAAGCATTTGGGGAATTTTTTTGAAGGTTTTGAATTCAAACAAGAGCTGTTCTGAGCGAAACTAGGCGAAGAAAAGTGGTATAAAGAGGATTTTGGCTAAATTTGAGAAAAATGAGAGAAAGTGGTTCAACATGAGCGATAAACATTAAATTCTCTGTTGTTTTAAAATCTCCAAAGTTCTCAGAAGGAACAGCTTATTTTTAAAATTTTTGGTTTTCGTTCAAAATTTTTCCTCGGATGTTGATCTTCACTTTTACCACTGGAAATGATTTCGGAATTCGCTTTAACATGAGCAATACGTTAGCTTTTTCTGAGTTTTGCTCCTTTCAAAATTAGTGGAGACGTAAAAATAATGGTCAGAAATTTTCATGATTTTGCGTCTCAGAGGATGTTTTTCGCCGACTATTTCGTTCCTAATCAAACTGAAACTCCACAAACCCATAAAAAAGATCGACCTTCAATCTTGTCCTCTTTCACTTTTCGTTCTTTCCTCGAAACCGATCAAACAACTTTGACCTTTCCGCCCGAACCAAATCTAACCAAATCAACATAATACACAGATGCGTGAAATTGTCGTTCAAGGAAGAAAAAAAAAACACCTCAATAAGAGGAACATTTGGCCTACTTTTCAGTGCTTTTTTGTCTCATCTTCTTCCAAAGATGGGGAGAGCGCGCCAAAAATGGGGCGTGGCTTGCCTCCTTCATCTTTTAGCGCGGCGATCCGAATCTCCCCCTTTTTTCCTTCCTTCTTGGGATTTGTTCTGGTTTTGATCGTTTTTCGGTGTTGGTTTATTTGCTCTTCTTCTTTTAGGGCTTCGAGTGGCGATCTCGTTAGATTTCGCAGTTTTGTCAGGTTTTCTTCTTTTTTTTTCGTTTACTTTTTTGAATTTTTGTTTGTCTTGAAGATAAAAAATAGTGGCTTACTTTTAAAATTGACTCATAAAAAAGTTTCAGATTTTTGAAGTGATTTTTTTCTAATCATGTAAGTCTCATTTGTGAGTTTTCAGTACAAAAATCAGTTCGATGCCTTTAAAGATGAGTAGAAAATTCCAAGAAGCCATGGAAGCGATTTTTTTTTTCCTGGAAGATTTTACATCGTCAAAAACGCTCTCTTCTCAAATGATTGACTGATACACTTTCACCATTGTTTTTGGTCGTCCGATTCATTCTTCCAATAACTTTTTTCCCTTGCCTTCCGATGGGCCTGAAATTACACACATTCTCTTCCGGAACTGTACGAAACATTTGGAAAAGGCAAAAAAAGTTGTTTGAGTGCTTCCCGATGGGGGCCACCAAAACAAAATGAATAGAAAGAAATTGGTTAGTCATTTTTCGTTTTTGTTGTTTTTGAAGGGGAAGATGGAACGAATTTGGGTTTTTCGGTGAGGAAAGGGACATTATTGGTAGAATAAGAATGTTTTAACGAGTGAGGCGTTACTAGAATGAGAAATGCTCAATTTTATGGCCGTAAGGAAATGAATCTGTAGAAATTGAGTCCTTAAACTCATATAAAATAACTTTTTAGGTTTAAAAAAAGCTCTAGAAGGCTTCTGCCTCAATTTTTTCAAAAAAAGTTTTTCCGGCTTTTTCGTAATTTTTTCCATTTTTAGATTCGATTCTAGTCAAATATTCTCAAGCTTATCACCAATGAGTCCTCATTTTCTTAACGTTCACTGATCATACAAAAAAAGAAAGCGACTAGAAGCGGCTATTTGTTCGGCGTGCAAGGTTTTGACACATTTTCCGTGCGCAAACTTTTTTTCCCCCCTTCTTCAGCTGTCTTCTCCGGTCTCTTCCATTTGGCCAAGTTCCAAGTACTTGATGCTTTTCTCTTTCTGATGGTCTTTGACTTGATATTATTCTAGGAATTTTCTGGAAAGTCACTTTCTCTTGAGAGTTCAAAAAAAAATGCCTCGTTTTACGAAATTTTTTGAAGTTTTGTCATTTTTTTGGTGAAGCTGAAGCTTCATTTTGAGCCTTCTAAGGTTTGTCAAAATTTCAGTTTTTTTTGGAGTTCAAGCTTCCTTCTTAAGCTAAATGAGATTTTTTTCAGAAAAAAATTTTTTTAATTTTTGCAAGTTTGACCTTGCTCAATTTTTTTATGAAAAAAATTAATTATCGGTAACCAATTCCATCAATTTTTTTTAGCTAAAAACTGCGGCTTAATCCTTCTGATAAGGGCTTGATTCAATCAAGAAATAATAACTTTTTGCCCAGTTAATTTTTTCGAATTTTTTCTCCAAAGTAATGGAAAGTTTTCCCATTTAAAAGCCACTCCCTAATCGGTGAGCTTCGACCTTTTGAACATCATTTTCTAGACGAAAATTGGGAAAAGTCAACAATTGAGTCGCTGAGAAAAGCGCAAAACAACGGACCTCCGAGGTGCAAATAAAAGACCTTGCCTGAGGCGGGCAAAATGATACATTTGGTCTCTTCACGAAAAAAAAATGCTGTGAAAAGAAACGAGCAACATGAAACCGTTGGAGCCCTTTTATTTGTGAAAGGTTTTTGGGGAGGAGTTTCAAAATAGATGGGAATTTTCGTAACGGCTTTCATGTAAAATCACAAAAACCATGATTGTCAAAAAAAGAGGAAATTTAGAAATGCTTTGGTTCTTTTATGATTGATCTCTGCACCCGACTTTCAAGCGACTTTCGCAAAATCGTAGAAATCTAGAAAATAGATGGGAATTTTCGGAACGGCTTTCATATACAATCACAGAAACCATGATTTTTCTCAAGAAAAGAGGAAATTTAGAAATGCTTTGGTCCTTTTTTGATTGATCACTGCACCCGACTTTAAAGCGACTTTCGCAAAATCGTAGAAATCTAGAAAATAGATGGGAATTTTCGGAACGGCTTTCATTGTACATTTTTTAAATTGAACCACAGAAACCATAATTTTCAATGGTCTTTATGAGAATAAGAAGTTAAGAATTGTTTTCTTTTTTCTTTTTATTGATTGATCACTGCACTCCACTTTAAAGCGACTTTCGCAAAATCGTAGGAATCTAAACCTTCCCATTTCATATTAAATGGATAGTTAAGGACCTCAATTTTTCCCAAATGCCTCTAAAGTTCACAGGTTCGATCTCTCCTCACAACTTTGCAACCCCTTTTTTTTCCATCTCAAACTTTTCAAGTGCACTCTAAACACTCCTCGTTCACCGTGATATCTCGCGTCGGCTCTTTGTCAATTTGCTTTTGATACCACGACTCTTCAAACAAAATCGCTCAGTGTTCGGTTAGCCGCCGTCGACGCCAAATGAACGAAGCCGAAGCTCCGCCCACCGGACACGCCCCCATTTTGTTGATGCAGCGCCTTCAGAAGCTCGACATTGCACGGACCGTCCTTCTTCTTCTTCTTCCTACCTTCTGTTTTGCTGACGTCATCGTTACCACTGTCCTGTGACGTCACCCTGGTGATGATCCTATTTTTGTCGTTTTTTTGCATGATTTTGGTTTTGTTTTTGGGTTTTAAAGCCACCTCAAATATTTAGAAAAAATTTTGAAGATTCTGAGAACGTATGAATGAAAAATGCGTATGTAAGAAACAAAAAAAATTCTGAAAAATTATTTTTTAATTTTTGTGAAGAACTCTATACTTGAACATTTGGGCTAACATGCAATCTTCAATTTTGTTTTGAATCGAAATTTAAAATTCTTCATCGATTTAAGAAAATCAGTAACATGCCTTCAGTTTTGAATTCCCAACCAAAATTTTCCATATTTCCACCATTTTTCCATCACGTCATTTTCGCACTCGCACAAAATGATTATAATCTATGTGAATCGTTGAATTTTAATACTTTCTTTTCGAATTTTCACACGCACTCGTTTCAAATTTATGCACACAATCACACAAACACGCCACGAAATCACTCGCACAGCACCTTCTTTCTCTATTTCTATACTTATTTCAAAAACTTTTTCAGAAATTTTTATGACACTTTCTTGTCACTTGCACATGAGCACAAACTCTTACTAACAACACTGGGATCAGAAAAAGATCTTTTTGAGGAGTATTGAGGTTTTTTTGTTTGCATGTTGATTGGCTCAAAACTCGCGGTTTGAGAATAGAACCCATGTCACCCCGCGCAAGTCGTTTTGGGTCGGTTGCAGTGGGAAAGATGCTTTTGGTTATTTTGAGCGCCAAAAAAAAATACCTCAGGCTCTCAGAGTTTAATGAATTCAAGTAAAAAATCAGGATCTAACTTTTGAAAGGCCTTCACAGTTTTCAAAAAATGTCTATTAAGTCTAAAGAAAAATTCTTAAAAAGCCTCAAAGTCTCCTATAAATCCCAAAAACATTTTCACTACTAACAATCACTTGCACACGTCACAGAGTGCACTCGCACAAATCAATTTGCACCAATTTGCACAAAAATCACAAGAAGCACTCGCACAGAAACAAGAAATCACTGTTTTCTTCACAATTTGCACTCGCACCGACACACCTTTTGTTCTTTAACATGTGAAATATGGTGTGTAACATGAGAAACATGTCGTGTTTTTTGTGTCAATCTGAGCAATAGTCTCTGAACCGTGATGTTATTTGGTAGCATGATGATGAGGTAGACTGTCCATTCTTTTGATTATGATTATAACTATTTTGGCATGGACAATGTCACGCTTAATTCAAATTTCACCTTCCTCTCTTGATCATACCACGAAGATAGCATGAAAGGTAATGAAACCATGCCTTTTCTGTGAATTCCCCATAAGGTGTGCTAGCACGAGCAATGCGCACGCCTACTCTGATTCTCCATTTCTGTCTTCATCGGTATAATCTTCTTTTAATCCCCTGTCTATGTTCATAGGTTGACCTAAAGCTTTCTTTTAAAAACAATGTTCTGCTAGCATGAGTATTCAATTAGGCCACGCCTTCTTCCTCTCTTTCTCTCTCTTTCTAACGTCAGCTAGCATGAGCTATACGATAGCACCAATATCACGTTTTTTTTTCACTCGCACAGGCTTGTGTTGTATTTTGTTTTGTTGGTATTTTGTAATTTTTTTCCTCTGTGGCTAGTTTTAATAAACTTTTTTGCACAATCAAACATGGTGTTCAAGAAAATAGGGTTTTTTCTTTTCTGAAGTATAAAATTGATACATTTTGAATAGAGTTTTTAGTTGAGTGAATATTCAGGCTGATATCGCTTTTAAACTTAACCAGCACGACTAAAAGTTTAAAATGAACGGTGTTTGGAATGGCTTTCCCTTCTTAAATCTGTTTCTTTGAAGCTTTTTCACGAAGTTGGTCAAAAAACCATTCCAAATGCGACCACAGTCAAGTAGAATGTAGTTTGATATTTATGAAATGTAAAGAAAACCAGCACAACCATTGAAAATTTCAAGATTAAGAAAGAATTAACACACACAGAGCCCTAACGTTCGGCTTCACCTTCACCTCCTTGTAATTTCTTTTGGCGGGTCACTCGGGGCGTTTGCAGAATCGCTGACCTACTCTTGGCTGTATGCCTCGTCGACGGAGAAGATCTTGGGGCAGGATGAACGTCGGTTCATCTCCTTGGATGGCACCTTGTACCTGTCCAATGCACTTCAGGAGGATGAGAATAGGTGGGTGAATTTCGTGGAAAATCTATCAGAAGGTGTCCTGAAATCTCAGTGAAGCCAGTGGTTAGATCAAAATGAAAATTAGATCATTTTTCAATTTTTTCTGAATATTGATACGTGGAATCTACTAGACTGGAAGTCCTGAAAACTGAAGAAACCATGCTCATTTAAAAAAAAACTGTCGGCGGTGAACTTTTTGAACTTGTGCCTGTCAAATTTTCGACTTTGGTGCTGCCGTTTGGACTGCCTAATTTGGCCCGCTGATTTTTTGGGGAATATCCAGAATTAATTTTTCATTTTCTTTAAAAATCAACCTAGTTCGGCTCCAAAATAAATGGTCGTTTTGATGTGGCAAGAAAAATGGGGGATCATTTATAGAGACTTTTAAATAAATTGCATTGATCTCTCGCATTCCTTGATGTTCAAGTAATTTTATTACATGTTGAATTTTCTTTTTTTGAATTATTATTTTTCATTATTTTTAAATATTGTGAAGAGATTTCCTTTCAAGAGCAAAAGTTTGTTTAATCAGAAGCAGATTGAAAAAAAGTTAAATTTTTTTGTAAGAAAAAAATCAGATAATTTTTTTAAACTCTGAACATTCCTCGTAAAACAATAAAAAAAACCAAAAAGTTGGAGCGGTCAAGTTAGTTCTGTTCACGGTGAACAGATCCGGACCGCTCCGACTTTTTGATCTTATTTAAGAAGTGGATTTTTCACATGCCCGGTATTTTTTGCCGCCTTTTAGATGGAACGGGGGCGGCGGCCCGTGGGAGTAGCCTTGCGACTACTCCTGCTGACCAACCGATGACCCTTCGCTTATATACCTCTCTATCCCGGTGCATCCGACCTGGCACGGTTTTGCCATCTGCTCCGCGTCTTGTGCTCCAAGGAGACAGGTGGCCTTGGCGTCTCATAGGAGAGGTCATACAGGCATAGGAGCGAAAACATTTACTAAAAAAATCCAGTCGAATTTTTTTGATATGAAGCTTCTCAATTTTTAAAAACACGAAAATAAATTTTTTTGAAAAAAAGCCTTTTATCAAATTTCCGGTGTTTATTTTTTTAAAAACCAAAGCAACTATTGTTTTTTTTTTCTCTTTCGAAATAAATCAGTTGGATATACCGCCGAACTGTTCAAAAATCTTTCTATGCCTGTTTTTTTTCGAGTTCAAAAACTGACTGACCCAAAAGAGAAAAAGCAAACTTTAGCGGCTTGTATTCAATGAAAAAAAAACACTAACAATAGCCGTGCACAGTGCTCATCGAAAGGAGCCGAATTTGCCCATCGGCTAAGCTTTTGGCGCGGCTTTGCGCAGTTTTGGGCACTCTTCACTTCCGTTTCGGTGTTCATTGTGAAGCTTCCTCTTTGAGAAAAGCTTTTGAATTGGGTGCTAAATGGGGTTGGAATAAGATAGATTGAAGACCCGGGAACTTTAATCTTTAGGCTAATAAAATATTAAAAATGATGAAAAAATTAACATGGAAGTGAGACTTTTCGTTCGAAAAGAGGATGCTTTTTTAATTTTTCCAGCTTCTTTTTTTAAAAAAAGTTCTAAAATTCAACTATTTTCAGCTACGCATGCTCCCTGTCGGTCTACTCGACCCAATCCGGCCATTATGGACCATTCTTCCGGCTGATCGTACCAAACTCCGGCAACGCCACCTTCGCTCCTCGCCTCGACTCGAGCCAACCTCAAGTTTTTCCCGAGGCTCCGAAACTCGGCGAATCGATTTATTTGGAATGCTTCGCATATGGAAAGTGAGGATTCGACAATCATCATCCAGCAAAAAAAAAAAAATTAATTTCCAGTCCATCCCCCATCTACAAATGGTCCCGAGTCGATGGAAAGCCGCTTCCAAAAACGGCTCAGATCACGAATTTCGGCCGCGTCTTGAAGATCGAAAAAGTTGGACATTCTGAAGCGGGACGGTACAAGTGTGTGGCGTCGAATGCCTTGGGAGCCGCTGGAGGAGAGATCAATGTCAAACTGAGAGGTAATAATGGAAAATAAAGAATATTTTGAGCTATAGTTTTGTTATAAGTAGACGAAAGGAATCTAAAACATTGAAAAAACTTAAAAGGTCATTAATCAGGTTGGAAAATGACCTTGAGCTCATAATTTCAGCACCACCTGTCATCCTGCAGCCACTCTACGACAAACTGGTACCAACCAACCGAGAATTCACTTTGGAATGTCTTTTGTCGAACGCGGACGCCGATTCTTCAGTGGAATGGTTCAAGAATGGACAACCGATAGTTCCACTACTCTTGCCCGTTGAACAGAGGAAAAGACTGACCATTGAGCATAATGTGTGAGTTTTTCCATTCGATAAGTGGAAGTTATCTCCAGAAATTCTGAGAATCAAGAAAAAATAAGGTAACACTGTCAAGACGAATAGTCGTCAGATAGGTAATAATGGTGATTAAAAGAAATTTGTAAAATTATTGCGAGGGTCCATAAAGGCTCCATAGAAATTTTCCTTCTAGGGTGATGAAGGTTCCCTTTTTGCGCTATTTTCTCAGCCCTTAAGCACTACTTTGGTGCCTCTCCCTTTCTCCACCATTTATCGAGCCTTTGAGATCTCAGAAAAAAAAAAATGGAAGGCTCGATAAAGAGACTCTCTTTGCTGCCTTTCTGCGGCCTTTTTTGAGCTTCTCCCTTTTAGCGGCCATTATGCACCCTTCCGACTTTGCTCGAGAATAATAGATATAGTTTATTCACTGTCATATTTAACAGAAAAAAAAATAATTGAAGAATAGATGATCAAGTGAAGGAATAGGCAGAAAAATAACAATACACGGGAAAGAGTCAACCCCAACGAGTTGACGGGTACCCGGAAATATGACGAATTCAAAGGAGACGAGAGGGCATATTTTCATGAAAGGCTTCAAACGGAAGAGCGTTCAACTTTTTACGCAGAGTTTCTGGGGTAACGTTAAAATCTAAATAAGAAGTTAGTTTATTCCAAAGAGGAATAGTTCTAGAAAAAAAGTCATTAGAAAAGAAAGAGAGAAGAAAAGAATTTCTTCAGTCTGACCATGATCGGAACCCAAAAGTCCGACTCTGGCGTCTACGAATGCATGGTGTCGAACGACGTCGGCAATACCTGGAGCTCGGCTTTGGTCTGGGTCAAAGATGCCCCACCGCACTTTCCGCCTCATGCCATCCCAAGGAATATTTTCGCTGTCGTCGGCAGTCAAGTTGTGAGTTGGAAAATTTCGATCCAGGGAAAAAGTTAGATTTCCGACGTTTTTGATCAATTGATCGCACTATAAATATCACAAATTATTTCCTCAAGTACAGTATTTTTACCGTTTTGTGTGTTCAGAAGCTCAGTAGTTTCTGTGGGGCGCATTGAAAATTGAAAATTTTTAATTACTTGACTTTTTTTCACTCTTGTGTCGTATTGAAGAGCTGTTCGAATTGAGAGAATTTCTTGAAATTCTCAGAAAATTTTTCCGTTTTTATTCCCTGTCTTCCTTCATTTTCTGTAACAGACTAAGTTGAATTTTTCAGACGGTGCCATGCGTCATGGAAGCTTCTCCCTACGTGGTCGGCAAGTGGAGCGACGCCGGCGGCGCTCGTTTGCCCCAAAAAGGAAGGATTCGCGACGTCGATGGTGTCCTACACATCGACCGAGTTCTTAATGGTACATCGTATCGTAATCCTCGATGTTTACTGTATTTTTAGACGATTCTGGACTGTTTTTCTGCATGGCACAGAACCGGCTCGGCAAGGCCCATGCTCAAATGCAACTCACTGCGATGGGTACTACTGTCCGCAAAATAAAGACGTCGGATTTCATTATTTTCAGATGAACCGGCGGTCAAAGTCCAAGCCGATAATCGATTCGTCAGTGAAGGCACGGTTAATATCAGTTGTGAGGTGAGGAGAAACAACAGAAAAGGGAAGGAAGGCCGGAGTTTAGGTTGAGTTGAACTGCGAAAACACGACGGAATGCCCAGAAGCGTTGTTCGAATGGAGGGTGGACGACCGGCCGCTCAGCCGTCTGCCGTCTTTCCGGACCAGAGTCCAGGAACACATGAAGAAGGCCGGTCCGAAAGGGAGGAATGTCAAACAGAAAGTTGATCTGGAGGTTGGACAAATTCATGATTCAATAAAAAAAAAATCCAGACTTACAAATGTAGCTTCAGAACCTCACTTCCGTAAGGTTCAGGAAACGCAGTAATAGATTTAAAATTTCAATTATAGCCCGACCACGGCTGGGACAGCGAACGGGACGTTTATTTTTTCGTGGCGAAGGTAGATCATGGCGAATATCCATGTGCCTTCCATAAAAGCCCCATTTTATGACTTATTTATTTTTCTCTTATGATTCGTCGATTCAATCAATCAAATCAAAATGTTTTATTTCTCACACACAAGTACTAAATTTCACGAAATAGATGTAGGGAGAGTTTGGGAACATATGTGTCGGAACTTGTGGTGATGGAGGGAAGAGGACTCGCGGTCGTGTTAACCCCCACTTGAGTAAATTGAAATAACCATGAAGTTATTCTTTTTAGATGTCGATTATGTAGCTTTTCATATTTTTTTGTTGGATCAAGAGTGTTTAGTTCTGTAATGTTGTTTTCAAACCATTTCTCAAGTTTAGATCTGAACTTATTTTTTTCATGCTCAAATACTATGTTTCTATCCATGTGATTCCAATGATTGTAAACTCTTTGATTGATGAACCGGTAGTGTATGTCAGAAAGTAGAGGCCGCTCTATTTTGAGACCATTTCCTCGCAGTTGATTCGATCTACTTGTTGTATTTTGTAAAGGGATTGGAGATGGGCACCAATAGTATCCGTAAATGAAATTGTGAGCAGCAGTTATGTCTTTCTTTAAACGTCTTAAACAAAAAACAATCAATAAAAACAAATAGTTCATCAAATGAGGCTCTTATTAAAGGCGCACGTATGGCCGCCATGAACTACTTTCGCCGCGCAAGTTAAACCGCCCGTTCGCTGTCCCAAGCCAGCCTTGAACGGGCTATACAGCTTAAAAAGCTCATACTAATAAGGAAGGTCTTTTTACTTCTGCGAATCTCAAATAGGTTTTTTTTTTCATTCTCTTCATGATTGACCTGTTAAAATTCCCTGAAAGTCGGCATTTGACCCCTCCTAGTTTCCCTAAAAAGTCTCAAAGTCGCCATTTTACCTGGTGTCTAATGATTCTCTTTTGTGAAAGGAATTACTTTGTAGCTTGGGAAGTTTGAGATGGTCAGGATCACATCCTGATACATTGAAGAGTTTCAAGAGAGTTTTTCGCAAAATGAGCTCCTTTGGAAGTCGTTAAAAAAAAATTCATGATTCCAGGTTCCAAAATCGCTCGCCGGAAAGCACATCGGCCGGTTCGCCTGCGCTTCCCTCTACGGCGGCAAGTCGGAAGCGGTCGGGCGCAGTCAGCCACCCTCTCCCATCGCCGTCATCATCGAGAAGCAGGAAAAGGGGCGTGGCTACCGGTTACGCTGGCGACTCCCTCCACAGCACCGTGATACTAGGGATCATTCGGTTTTGAGGAAAAATCTAGGACAGAACGAAATAATTTCTTGTTTCAGTCCAAAGCCGAAGGGTACCTCGTCGAGATGCGCACCAAGCAAGAATCGACGATGGAGCGCTGCCAGCCGTGACGTCATCGCCCATTCTGACCTCGACAGCGTCACCCTGAACAACTTGCTGCCGAATACGGATTATCAGGTGATTTTTTTATCCATAGTAGTGTCAGAAGAGCCTCTATTAATTAATTGAGATAAATTCGTCTATTTTGAAAACAGCAAGGTGTCATAATTTTGGTATGAAGAATAATGAGCTGTCCCCAAAATTTTTCTCTCGTTTCTCAAAACTTCTTTTTCAGTTCCGCGTTCGATCCCTGGACTCCTCGACGATGAGCGAGCCGTCGATGCCTTCAGAATGGATCCACACGCCTTCTGGGCCGCCGTCAGAATCGATCGAGACCTTGAAGTGGCGTCCCCTGGACTCGCAGACGTTGCTCGTCGAATGGCAGCCCGTCGAAAGGGACTATCACGCCGGCGATAATCTGAGATATCGAGTCTCTTGGTCTGAATCGACTTCGGCCGATAATCAGACCCTCCTGGCGGCTGATTCAGATGTCCTCCCTCATCATTTGGGTGGGAAAAGGATCGGAAAGTCATCGGATAATGAGTCTGTTTCAGACTCTCATTTGCCGCAGGCCGTGGTGAAGCTCAACTCGACGGAAGGATGTCGAATGGTGGTCCTGGCAGTTCGGCCTGTTAATGACCAGGGAGACGGCTCTGTCAGCACCGATACGATTGCTTTTTTGAACAGTAAAGGTGAATGATTTGAATGAATCTGGTCGCACGTGGAATGGCTGAAAGACATAGCCTTTTTTTTTAAGGAAGATCGGGGCATAAATAGATTTCATAAATAGACTTCGAACATTTCCATGATTGAATTGAAAAAAAAAGCTTCCGATCAAATTTTCGTTCTAAACTTTTTGGAGCCAATTTGGATGGTCTTGGAGTTCTCAGAAAAATTGGCTTTAAGATAAAGCTTCTTACACGGGTAAAGTCCAAAAGGTCTTTCAAAAAGGACTTTTGGAAAAAAAAAGCCTTTAAAAGGCCTTAAAGGCGCTTTTTTTTAGATCTTTTTTTGGAAAGGACCTTTTAAAAAAATAAGGCGGAAAAAAGAAGATTCCGGGACTTTTGACAACTTTTTAAGAACTCAAAAAAGAACTGTAGGCTCTTCTTTTTGAGGCCTTCTTGAGGTCGTTTGGACTTTGCCTGTGTTAAAAAGCGGTCCTAAAAGTTCAAATATAAAGATTTTATGCGCCAAATTTGGTTTTTGGCTTTAACTAACAAGCTGTGAGCTGCTTTGAAACTCCCTGAATGAGGTTTTAATTTTATTTTTTATTTCAGGGCAACTGAAACGCGCCCATTTGCACAACGTGATCCCAATCAACGCGACCCACGTCAATATTTCATGGATCTGGGAGAAGGACAGCGATTGTGACGCCAAAAATGCCCTTCAGGTAGCGTCTTTTTTGAGTTCTCAAGCTTTTTACTGGAAAAGAGCTTATTGATTTTTAGAAAAGAACTATGCTGACTATGGATCGAAAGTTGAAATAAGAACATTTTCAGATCAATTGCAACTCGACGTCTGGTGAAGAAGTGACGGTGAATGTCGGCCACGATCATTCTCATTTCCTGGTCGGCGGCCTCCAGGCCGACACCGCCTACGAGTGTCTTCTGCGCGCCGTTGATAATCATGTAAATCACCAAATTAGAGTCATAGAATTGAAGAAATTGATCCAGGGAAATCAAGGACCACCCAGCCGGCAATTCAGGATCCACACCAAGCAAAAACCGCCCACAGACGCTCCGGAGATTCTGAAGCTCAACTTGAAGCCATCGGTAATTCTTTTTAGTTCTAGGAAGCTCTAATGACAGTTTCATCCAAAACTATTTTTACGGTTCATGCTCCCAATACTCATTACACTTCCTAATTTTAGTTTTTTGGCTTTTTCGATTTTACGAACTTCAGAACTTGCATACGAGCTTTTTGAGAATAATCATCTTTGATTTATTAGACTGAAGGCTACGCGACAGTACTGGAATGGACAGCTGTGCCGCTGCAAATGCTGAACAAATCGGAGATTGGCTGCGGATACAAGGTATCTAGAAGGAAGAGAGAATTTTTTTTTCGAAAAAATGAAAATTATTATCAACTTATAGAGCTTCAAAGCTCCGTTGAGAACGAGGATTTGAAAGATCTTGAAGTCGGTAATGAAAATCGACATTTCTGAGCATTTGTAGTGACCTCTTTAGTGGCGTCCGCACCCTTAAGGGACCCCTAGAATCGCTCAGAAGCGTCCTTTTTGAGTGACCCCTAGAGTCGCTCTTAAATGAACTCTAGTATCGCTCTTAAGTGACCCCTAGAATCGCTTAGAAACTTCCTATTTGAGTGACCCCTAGAGTCGCTCTTAAGTGACCCCTTAAATCGCTCAGAAGCGTCCTTTTTGAGTGACCCCTAGAGTCGCTCTTAAGTGACCCCTTAAATCGCTCAGAAGCGTCCTTTTTTAGTGACCCCTAGAGTCGCTCTTAAGTGACCCCTTAAATCGCTCAGAAGCGTCCTTTTTGAGTGACCCCTAGAGTCGCTCTTAAATGAACTCTAGTATCGCTCTTAAGTGACCCCTAGAATCGCTTAGAAACTTCCTATTTGAGTGACCCCTAGAGTCGCTCTTAAGTGACCCCTTAAATCGCTCAGAAGCGTCCTTTTTGAGTGACCCCTAGAATCGCTTAGAAACTTTCTATTTGAGTGACCCCTAGAGTCGCTCTTAAGTGACCCCTTAAATCGCTCAGAAGCGTCCTTTTTGAGTGACCCCTAGAGTCGCTCTTAAATGAACTCTAGTATCGCTCTTAAGTGACCCCTAGAATCGCTTAGAAACTTCCTATTTGAGTGACCCCTAGAGTCGCTCTTAAGTGACCCCTTAAATCGCTCAGAAGCGTCCTTTTTGAGTGACCCCTAGAATCGCTTAGAAACTTCCTATTTGAGTGACCCCTAGAGTCGCTCTTAAGTGACCCCTTAAATCGCTCAGAAGCGTCCTTTTTTAGTGACCCCTAGAGTCGCTCTTAAGTGACCCCTTAAATCGCTCAGAAGCGTCCTTTTTGAGTGACCCCTAGAGTCGCTCTTAAATGAACTCTAGTATCGCTCTTAAGTGACCCCTAGAATCGCTTAGAAACTTCCTATTTGAGTGACCCCTAGAGTCGCTCTTAAGTGACCCCTTAAATCGCTCAGAAGCGTCCTTTTTGAGTGACCCCTAGAATCGCTTAGAAACTTCCTATTTGAGTGACCCCTAGAGTCGCTCTTAAGTGACCCCTCAAATCGCTCAGAAGCGTCCTTTTTTAGTGACCCCTAGAGTCGCTCTTAAGTGACCCCTTAAATCGCTCAGAAGCGTCCTTTTTGAGTGACCCCTAGAGTCGCTCTTAAATGAACTCTAGTATCGCTCTTAAGTGACCCCTAGAATCGCTTAGAAACTTCCTATTTGAGTGACCCCTAGAGTCGCTCTTAAGTGACCCCTTAAATCGCTCAGAAGCGTCCTTTTTGAGTGACCCCTAGAATCGCTTAGAAACTTTCTATTTGAGTGACCCCTAGAGTCGCTCTTAAGTGACCCCTTAAATCGCTCAGAAGCGTCCTTTTTGAGTGACCCCTAGAGTCGCTCTTAAATGAACTCTAGTATCGCTCTTAAGTGACCCCTAGAATCGCTTAGAAACTTCCTATTTGAGTGACCCCTAGAGTCGCTCTTAAGTGACCCCTTAAATCGCTCAGAAGCGTCCTTTTTGAGTGACCCCTAGAGTCGCTCTTAAATGAACTCTAGTATCGCTCTTAAGTGACCCCTAGAATCGCTTAGAAACTTCCTATTTGAGTGACCCCTAGAGTCGCTCTTAAGTGACCCCTTAAATCGCTCAGAAGCGTCCTTTTTGAGTGACCCCTAGAATCGCTTAGAAACTTCCTATTTGAGTGACCCCTAGAGTCGCTCTTAAGTGACCCCTTAAATCGCTCAGAAGCGTCCTTTTTGAGTGACCCCTAGAGTCGCTCTTAAATGAACTCTAGTATCGCTCTTAAGTGACCCCTAGAATCGCTTAGAAACTTCCTATTTGAGTGACCCCTAGAGTCGCTCTTAAGTGACCCCTTAAATCGCTCAGAAGCGTCCTTTTTGAGTGACCCCTAGAGTCGCTCTTAAATGAACTCTAGTATCGCTCTTAAGTGACCCCTAGAATCGCTTAGAAACTTCCTATTTGAGTGACCCCTAGAGTCGCTCTTAAATGAACTCTAGTATCGCTCTTAAGTGACCCCTAGAATCGCTTAGAAACTTCCTATTTGAGTGACCCCTAGAGTCGCTCTTAAGTGACCCCTTAAATCGCTCAGAAGCGTCCTTTTTGAGTGACCCCTAGAATCGCTTAGAAACTTCCTATTTGAGTGACCCCTAGAGTCGCTCTTAAGTGACCCCTTAAATCGCTCAGAAGCGTCCTATTTGAGTGACCCCTAGAGTCGCTCTTAAGTGACCCCTTAAATCGCTTAGAAACTTCCTATTTGAGTGACCCCTAGAGTCGCTCTTAAGTGACCCCTTAAATCGCTCAGAAGCGTCCTATTCGCGTTACAAAGAATGGCTTTAACTCAAAAAAAAAGCCTTCAATCGCAATTGTTTTTTCTCTTTGTCAATTTTAAACGCTGAAAATTGGAACATTTCAGATCTTCATCTACATCTCTGAAACGGCGTCCGAAGCTGTGATATTGGATATGCCACTGAATCGACTTTCCGACCGGCGGAAACCTTCGGCCAGGCTAGATGGCCTCAAATTGATGTACATGTACACGGTTCAGGTAGATTATCATCAACAAATTTTTTAAAATTCCCAAAATTTAGTGCTCTTGGAGCAAGGCTAAATTAAAGGCAAAAGCTCAAACAGAAAAGACTATTTTTCCAGTAGATTTTCATTTCAAAGTGATTAAAATCCGCTCTCATGGGAATATTTTCCGAATAAATGATTCTCCAGGTCGCCGGCTACAACCCGGGCGGAGTCGGACCACTGAGTGACCCAAGGAGCATCCGCCTCGGCTCACCGTCTTCCCTGGACCTGACGTCATCTTCAGTTCTTTCAAATCCTCCAATGTTTGCCTTGATTTGCCTCCTTCTCGTGCCATTTCTTAGGTAACGCTCAATAATCCCCTATATCTTTTTTTCGTTTGAAATTCGTTACCGGTGCCATCATATTTTCCTTTTTTCTCTACAACCAAATGTCTGTACAATTCATGGACAATAAAGATTTGATTTCTAACATTTTTTATACTGTGCTAAAGTCGAAAAAATGCTTATGTATTTATTAAAATGTTTTTTTTCCAGGAAATTAAAAAGAAAATTGCTTTTATCCAACGATGCTCAGCAGTGAGCAAGTGCTGCCGAGGCTTCTGAAATATTTTTATTTTCAATATTGATTTTTGATTTCGAAAAATCAGTGCGTGAAAGCTGAACTTCGCTTTTTAAGAAAGAAAATGAAAAACCCACGTGACACCCGCATTTCTCGCGCAATTGCACAAAGCGCCAGCGTGCCGTTTCCATTGAAGTTGTTTGATGCAGACGTTGAGCGAGTTTTGAATAGACCAAGAGGTTGCGTACGGTTGGCAACTGGTATTCATTTTTTACGTTTCAAAAGAAAAAATATTCCCTGATCAGCGTTTTCGTTAAATCGCAAACCGCTACTCCCTGACATGACATCATTCGGAACACAAGCGTAATAAAAATATTTGGCTACATATTTACTTTACTTACGTGAAAAAAATTGAAGAATGAAAAGAGCCAGAAATAATATAGAAAACTTTTCACGTCGAATCTAATTTTATAAATTTAAAACGTGAAAAATAAATCAAATAATATAGCTGCTTGTGCGAATCGCCAAGCCAAGATGACGTCAGGGAGAAGCGGTTTGCGATTCAACTCGAATTCCTGATCAGTGGTTTCTAATGAAATCTTGAGGCTTTTTCTGGGTTGATCCTTGATTTTTCGATTGCAATTTATCCCATTATAGAAGATTTGGTTAAGCAGACCAAGAAAATAACTGGAGGGAGCACTAAACTGGGAGGTCGACCAGAAGAAGTCAGAAGTGGAACCGGTTAAGCAGGGCCAAAGAAAGAACCATGGCACGTTTTTCCGAACCAGTTATTTTAAATCTCCTTCACAACCAAAGACCAAACGACTTAAAAAGAAGCTCCTTTTTGAGTTTCTGAAAGGGTGTCAAAAGTTTCTCGGAATCTCCTTTTTTCCGCTTCCTTTTTTTTAAATTTCCTCAAAAGTTCCTTTTCAGAAGAGGTCTAGAAAAAAGGCCTTTTTTTTTTCAAAAGTCCTTTTTGAGACCTTTTGGACTTTGCCCGTGTTTTTGTGCCAAAGTATACAGGGACCAATCCAAATTTTTTTTTCCGAATTTCCCATATTTTTATTAACATCGGTAAGAATCTTTAAGTGTCGAAATTGTTCTACTCACCCTCTCTGATCGAAGCAGAATCCGTTGCGATTTTCCTGGTTGACGAAACAGTCTTTAACGCAACTGCCAAACGTCATGACTGCTTCCAGCGACCGGTCTGGAAGATTTAAAATTAATCATCTCCACTTTCTTTTCAAATATTTATATGAAACTGCTTTTTTCAGCTTCGACTACACTTTTTCAAAAAACAAAATTGGAAAAAAAGATAAAAATTTCTAGGATCCTCTGAATTACCTCATCCTCCTCACAAGCCCTTCATTCATGATCCTCTGACGATTCCGGCTAATGTCCTGCTCGCCCAAGACGAACATTCTTCTGATATCATGGTAGGGAATCTTCCGATTGCCCGATGAGCAGCTGAAAAATCTTTTTTCCAAAGAATCAAAAAAATTAAGCTATTAAAATTGATAGAAAGTTCGTTTGACTGTAAGAGTGAATTCATTTTAAAAAAACTTGAAAACTTATTGCTATCAGATAAATGAGAAGAAATTCATTCCGAACCCAACTACTCGCTACACAGTATAATTCGGGATAAGATTCGCTTTCGCTGCGAGACCCGCTCGATGCTTTTTTGGGATGTTTTGGTATTAAATTAAGCATACTCTGTGAAAATCACATGAATTTTTCTATCAATGGAAGTCAAGAACCTTCGAGCTTTCTGAAGAATTCAAGAATTACAGTACCGCTCAAAAGTCTATTAAGTTTTGGTTTTTTGAGGATAAATTTTTTTTGAAATGCGATATCGATTCAAATTTTTTTTCATAGTTTTCTGAGAGAGACATACGTGTTCTGGCGAAATTTCAAGTTGCTAGCTCGAAGAATAGTAATTTTTCGAGAAAAAAACGAATTTTCGAAAAAATCGAATTTTTGCTATTTTCAATTAAAAAATCATAGCTCAACAAAAAAATTTATATCAACACAAAACATTGTTAAAACAATATTCGGGACCTAGTACTTGGTTGCGAAGCCCCTGGCGTCAATCACTGCCTGGCATCTTCTCTGCATATAATTGGGCAAAGTGTCGATGGTAGACATGGGGATCTGATTCCATTCAGACAGCAGTTGAGCAAACTTCTCGTTGCAATTCTTGGCTCTTTTGTTGGCACAACGTCGCTTCAACTCTTCCCAGAGATGTTCGATCGGGTTCAGGTCCGGAGATTGACTTGGCCACCCCATGACATTGACCCGACGGCTCTTGAACCAGTCCTGAGTTTCAAAACCATACGAATTACTTGTCAATTTTTCTCACCTTGACGAACAGTGAAGTGTGCTTGGGATCGTTATCCTTTTGATAAACACTCCCACGGCCCATGGCTCTCAAGTGCGGCAACATCTGGTTCTGGAGAATGTCTTTGTAGACGTGCTTGTCCATGATGCCGTTCACGCGATGAAGCGGTCCGATGCCACTTCCAGAGAAGGCGCCCCACACCATGCAAGAACCTCCACCATGTTTCACGGTGGGTAATTGGTATTTCGGATGATATCTGGACCCAATTGGTCTACGAACCCACTGAATTCCGTCACTCCCGAAGAGGAGGAACTTGCTTTCGTCGGACCGCAGAATCTCGTTCCAGTCTTGACGGGTCCAGTTGAGATGCTCCTTTGCCCACTTCACCCTGGCGGCTCGATTCTTTTCAGAAATCAGCGGTTTCTTCACTGAACGTCTTCCCATGATTCCAGCAGCATTCAGACGTCGTTTCACGGTCGAGACGGATGGCGGAGATGGCGAATTCAAGAAAACTTCCCGTCTGATCGCAGGGGCGGTGAGTCTTGGATTGGTTCTAGACGTCTTCAAAATGTTCCTATCGTCATTACGATCAGTGACACGTGGTCTTCCAGTGCGTTGGCTGTTAGTAGAGCCATCTTGAGCTTTCTGACGCTTTAGGAACTGAGAAATGCCCGCCTCTGTCACGCCGAACATTCCTGCCAACGTCATCATGGTCAGTCCATTTTGACGACCCACAACGATGGCTCTTTTTGTCGTTATCAGTCAAATTCTTATTTCCAAAGGTTCTTCCCATGTCTGAAAAACATGAAAAAAATCATATGGCAACATTATTAATTTTAAAAAAATTTAATAAAAAAATAAATAAAAAAATAAAAGCATAAAAAAACAAAAATGGAATTCAATAAAAAATGCCTAAAACGCGTCACAGTCATTGCGGACATGTCTTTGTATACCGTATATGTTTCAAAGTATATTTTACATTATCCCTGAAAGTTATATATAAATCGGATAAGTACTCGCTGAGATATCCCCAAAAAACCAAAACTTAATAGACTTTTGAGCGGTACTGTAGGTGTTCTCTTGGAGAAGCGCTCATAAAAAAACTAATTTATAATTTTCAATTGGTGATATTATAGTTCATATGATCTTGTTGCTCAATTTTGACATTTAATTAAGTTCCTCCAAAAGGACCTAACTCTTGGAAATCATCAGAACCAGAAAACTTTCAATTCAGTTTTTTTACATTAATGTGTAAAAAAACCTTTATCAAATTTAAATTCTAAGCCAACAGTGTGCGCGGTGAAGCGATTCGCTTTCGCTGCGAGACCCGCGCAGCGCTTTTTTTGCAACGTTTTCGAGTTAACTTAAGAAAACTACGTGAAGTTCACGTCATTTTTTTTCTAAAGTGCAAACCGATGACCTTGATCTATAGGGAAACTTCAGTAGTTAGGAGTTCCGTTGATTAGAACCTCATATAAAACCAATTAATAATTTTCAATTGGTGATATTAGAGTTCATATAAACTTGCTGCCTAATTTTGGAAATTATTTTAGTTCCTCCAACAGGACGTAACTCACGGAAATCATCAAAACTATGAAAATTCCATTTGAGCTCTTAAAAAAATGAGTAGAAACCTTTCTCGAACTCCAATTCTCGCCCTACAGTATACGAAATGAGGAGATTCCATTTCGCTGCGAGACTCGCGCAATGCTTTTTGCGATTTGTTCGAATTGAATTAAGAATACTACGTGAATATAACGTAATTTTTTTATTAATAATTGGAACCCAATGGACTTGGTCTTTTGGGAAAAATTCAAGAATGAAGAGTTATTTCGAGAAAAACTCTTATAAAAAAACCAATTAATAGTTTTTGAATGAATAATATTATAGTTGATGGGCACTTTATAATCAATTTTTGCAATTATATCAGTTTTGCGAACATAAATTAACTGTTTTAATCCATCAAAACTATGAAAATCTCATTTGAGTTCTTAAAACAATGCGTGGAAACCTTCAATGAACACAAATACTCGCCCTACAGTATACGAAATGAGGAGATTCGCTTTCGCTGCGAGACCCGCGAAGTGCTTCTTTGCGATGTTTTCGCATTAAATTAAGAATGTTAGGCAACGTTCACGTGATTTTTTCTATTGAGTGAAGCCCGATGGCCTTGGTCTTTAGGGAAATTTCGGGGATTACCGGTTCTGTTGATTAAACCCTCATAAAAATACAAATAATAATTTTTATGTGGCCTTATTAGAGTTCATATGATCTTTTCACTTAATTTTAGCAATTATTTCAGTTGTTCCAATGCGACACAACTCTGGGAAATCATTAAAGCTATTGAAAATTCGTTTAAGCTCTTAAAAATAATGTCTAGAAACCTTTATCGAACTCCAATTCTCGCCTTACAGTAGACGCGATGAAGCGAACCCCTTTCGCTGCGAGATCCGCGCAATGCTTTTTGCGATTTTTTCGAATTGTATTAAGAATACTACGTGAATACCACGTGATTTTTCTTAATAATTAGAACCCAATGGACTTGGTCTTTCGAGGAAATTCAGGAATGAAAAGTTATTTTGAGAAAGCTTTTATAAAAAACCAATTAATAGTTTTAAGTGAATAATATTATAGTGGACAGGCACAGTATAATCAATTTCGGCAATTATATCAAATTCGCTAATAGGAATTAACTCTTTTCATTGATAAAAACTAAAAAACTTTCAATTCAGCTCTTAAAATAATGTGTAAAAACCTTCATCGAACTCAAATTCCTGGCCCACAGTGTCCGCGGTGAAGCGATTCGCTTTCGCTGCGAAACCCGCTGGGTGCTTTTTTGCGACATTTTCGAGTTAAATTAAGAAAACTACGTGAAGTTCACGTCATTTTTCTTTTCAACTGGAAACCGATGGCCTTGATCTATAGGGAAACTTCAGTAGTTAAGAGTTCAGTTGATTAAAACCTCATCAAAAACCAATTTTTAATTTTCAATTGGTGATATTATAGTTCATATAAACTTGCTGCCTAATTTTGGCAATTGTTTTAGTTCCTCCAATAGGACCTAACTCTTGGAAATCATCAAAACTATGAAAATTTCATTTAAGCTCTTAAAAAAATGTGAAGAAACCTTTATTGAACTCAAATTCTCGCCCTACAGTATACGAAATGAGGAGATTCCATTTCGCTGCGAGACTCGCGCAGCGCTTCTTTGCGTCATTTTCGAGTTAAAATAAGAAAACTACGTTAATATCACCTTATTTTTCTTAGTGATTGGAACCCAATGGACTCGGTCTTTCGGGGAAATTCAAGATTGAAGAGTTATTTTGAGAAAACCCTCATAAAAATCCAATTATTAGTTTTGAGTGAGTAATATTATAGTTGATAGGCATTTTATAATCAATTTTTGCAATTATTTGAGCCTCCAACAGGACCTAACTCACTGATATCATCAAAACCATGAAACTTTCAATTCAGCTCTTAAAATAATGTGTAAAAACCTTCATCGAACTCAAATTCTAAGCCCACAGTGTGCGCGGTGAGGCGATCCGCTTTCGCTGCGAGACCCGCGCAGCGCTTTTTTGCAACGTTTTCGAGTTAAATTAAGAAAACTACGTGAAGTTCACGTCATTTTTCTTTTCAACTGCAAACCGATGGCCTTGACCTATAGGGAAAATTCAGTAACTAGAAGTTCCGCTGATTAAAACCTCAAGAAAACCAATTATTTTAGTTCCTCTAACAGGAGGTAACTCACGGAAATCATCAAAACTATGAAAATTTCATTTAAGCTCTTAAAAAAATGAGTAGAAACCTTTATCGAACTCCAATTCTCGCCTTACAGTAGACGCGATGAAGCGAACCCCTTTCGCTGCGAGATCCGCGCAATGCTTTTCACGATTTTTTCGAATTTAATTAAGAATACTACGTGAATACCACGTGATTTTTTTCTTAATAATTAGAACCCAATGGACTTGGTCTTTCGAGGAAATTCAGAAATGAAAAAGTTATTTTGAGAAAAACTTTTATAAAAAAACCAATTAATAGTTTTTGAGTGAATAATATTATAGTTCATAGGCATTTTTATAATGAATTTTTTTGCAATTATATCAAATTCGCTAATAGGAATTAACTCTTTGAATTGATCAAAACCATGAAACTTTCAATTTAGCTCTTACAATAATGTGTAAAAACCTTCATCGAACTCAAATTCTAAGACCACAGTGTGCGCGGTGAGGCGATCCGCTTTCACTGCGAGACCCGCGCAGCGCATTTTTTGCAGCGTTTTCGAGTTAAATTAAGAAAACTAGGTGAAGTTCACGTGATTTTTTCTATTAACTATAGACCGATAGCCTTGATCTTCCAGGAAAATTGAGTTCTGTTGAGAAAACTCTCGTAAAAAAAAAGTTAATGATTTTGAAAAAAATATTAAGATTGAGAGGAGCTTTATAATTACTTTAACTAGGAAAGATTGATATTTTTCCTTATAAATTTCAGTTTTGCATAGAAAAAATTCTAAAATTGACCAACCTTCCCATATTCCTCGTAACACACGATATGAATCCATTCAGTTGGGGGAAGGTCATTTGAACGCATCGTTGCAGTTGATCGGGTCGATTTGTTATCTTAATTGGAAACATTAATATATTTGAACAGCAAAGCTTTATAAAGAGAAAAAACCATTCTGAAGACGTTGAAGCACCGATCCGAGCAACTTTTGCCTTGATATTGCATGGTATTCACGCACATAGCCTGTTCATTGCAGTTACATTGCCGTACAAATCTGAAAAAATGTGTACAATGAAAAATTAGAAAGAAAAAAACCTTCCCGGCACTACTGAGCGATCAAAAATGGTAGCCGCCGAACGAGAGAGCTGTAAGAAATCTATGTTGAAGAAAATAACAGACTTTGCAAAAAAAATTAGCTTTTTGAAAAAATGAGAAAACTATGAATAATTTTTTCGATATGACAAAATTTCGGAAATTAAATTATTTTCCAAGCTTCCAGTAGCAACCTAGATTCTGTCATGACCCTTCAGAATTTCACATGACACAAAAACCTTTTTAAAAAGTTGTGAAAGTAGAAAACAGATAAACGACGAAATTCGATGTGCGTAAAAAACACCCATTCTCAGAACAAAGTACGATGGAGCGCAAAAGTCCCATTTACAGATTTTTTTTCTCTTTTTTGTCTTTTTTTCTCTAAACTCAAGCATTTAATTTCAGAATCTACTCAACCCCGGCTAAATTTTGCGATGAGCCAAGCGTCCAGCAACACGTCAAAACCAAAATCGAAAGCAACATCATTCTAAACAAAAATGTTAGTTTTTTTTTTAAATAAATATCCTTTGAAACCTCGATAGAACTAGCCTATTTATATACCGTTATTTTCACGCCTCAAAAGGTGAGTTTCGGCGAATACTCGCGGTTTTTGATGATTTAAATGTTCGTATGAGGGGTTTTACCCTCAAAAAACGAGTGCTTGAACTCGTTCCGAGGACGTTCGCCGAACAAAACTGATCAAGGGCTATTGTGGACGATTTGGTCAATTTATAAGTAACGTTTGTGACGACACAGCGTCTAGAACTGAGATGAATAATTTTGAATGATAAATGATAATGAATTTCCCGGTTTTCAAGCGAATTTCGTGGTAAAATCGGCTATATTTATCTTGTCATTTTGCACTTTTAGGATGGGAAACCTTGGCCGAAGGACGTGGGCTCTTCAGATTCGTCTTCAACTCCTTCAACACACATTCGAATCGCACTATTCTTCAAAGGCCCCGTATGTTCTTTTTTATTTCTCGTTCAAGGCTTTCAAGGTCTTCTTTTTTTACCAATTTCGTTTTACTTCCGAACAATTAGGTTGAGTTTAAATGTTAAATTACTGATGGAGAAACATTATAAATGATTTATTATCAATTTTTCAAGTCCGGTTTTCAAATGGACATTTCCTTGCAAATTTTGGGCTCGAAATTTTTTTCTTGAAAAGCATTAAATTGTTAATTTTGAACTTGCTTATTTTATTGATTCTGATCTTTTTACATTACAAATTTCAGTGCTTTTTATTTACAAAGTTCGCAAGGTCTTAAAGAAAAAAATTTGAAAGGAGAATGAAGATTTTTTTCTATAAATTGCGAAGTTTTTTTGAATAAATGACAACCTCCTAGGTTTTCTTAAAAGTTCCCAGTTTTTTTGAACGAATTTTAGTGATCTTCTTTTTCATGACACCTTCTTACCTACTTGAATAAAATTTTCATAACGAAAAGCATCAGAAAAACCTCTTTCAGATTTTTACAAGCAAGACCATATTAAACAAAATGTTTGGTTTTCATATCCAATGAAAACTTCATCCCTTTTTGCCTTCAAGAAGAAGAAGCGTTCGTGAACTCCCATTTAAAAGGACGGAAACGTGGAGAAGAACATGTAGAGAGGAAGGAAAAGCAAGGGCTTTTACCTCTCTCAATATCCTGCCCCGTCATGCATTTTATGTTTTGACAACTCGAGCGCGTAATCGAAGTGACATATATTTTTGCGGCCAACACACGACCGCTCCACGAAGCAACATTTTTTTTTCCAAAAATCTTGAAATCCAACATTTTCTCTTTTTTTGATGAAAGCTTTGGCTTTTTTGTGGACGGAGGTCTTTTTTTTTCTGAATGCGGGTCTCAAAAAGATCTCCAATTCAGACTTTTAATCTGCATAACTGAGATTAGAAACAGCCTTGGGTGCTTTTTTGGTCTGCTTAACGGAAATTAGTTCTGCCTTGGGTGCTTTTTTTGGTCTGCTTAACTGATATTAGTACTGCCTTGGTACTTTTTTTGGTCTACTTAACTGAGAATAGTACTGCCTTGGGTACTTTTTGGTCTGCTTAACTGATATTAGTACTGCCTTGGTACTTTTTTTGGTCTACTTAACTGAGAATAGTACTGCCTTGGGTACTTTTTTGGTCTACTTAACTGAGATTAGTACTGCCTTGGGTACTTTCTTGGTCTGCCTAATTTAATTCTCTTATTTCAGTCAAGGTCATGAACTAAAAATCTGGAACTAAAACTCATTTGCATCTTTTGAAGAGCTCATACTCCTACTTTAACTTTTATCCAGCTTTCCAATCATTTTCACATATTTTACTGGTTTAATCTTTCTCAATTTTTTTGACCTTAAGTTCGCCTTCACTATTATTTGAAAACAACTCATAAGTTTTTAGAAAGAAAAATCCCAAGAACTTTCCACTAGTAATAACTCTTTCCGCAAATCTCCCGATTCCGAATGAAAAGTCGTTTTGGATTGCAAAAAACTGGATTAAACGGCTTAAACCTTTTCACGAATGAATGGCAGGCTTAAAAGGGCCTAACTTTTCCAGGGCGGATCTTCACTCGTTCCGCCGTTCTTTTCCTTCATTATTTATTCTTTTTCGGAACTGCGTTTCGACTTCTTGCAAAATAAATAGAGAAGGTTTATTTCGTCCTGAATGTTTTTCTAGCCATTTTTTCCTTTTCTAATACGACGTGATTAAGGGGAAATCGTGTACTTTACTTTTCGAGGAACAGTGGAAATTGAGAAAAAAATTGCAATCACCCAGAAAAGCGAAAGAAGTAAGAAAAAATCAAATTATTTTTCTATTGCGCCGGATATTTGTTTTCCCGAAATCGCCAAAATGCTTTGTATAGTCGAACGTCAACCTCAGCTGCTTTTTGCAAATTCTGCTCATTTATAATTTGCGAATATTTTTTAACCCTGGAAAAAAAGCTTAGTTCAACTCGAAAACGCCCATCTGCGTCATATTGCTCACCTTAGAGAAAAAGTGCTTTCTCATCGGCCGTTTCGTGCCACAATGTAATTTTTCCTTCGCTTTTCAAATCGCGTGTTTCTTTCAGCTCCTATCCGTTTCCTTGTCTTCCATTCATGTATTAATCGACATTTGTAGTTGAGTTCGTTTTTTTTTTAGAGTTCTTCTTTTTGCATTCATTTTTGTGAACTCATTCGTAGTGAATAAGAGAAAAAACAAGTTTTCAACGTCGAACGGAAAAAAAAAAACTTTTCTGGGAACAAATAAATAAATTCTCAATTTTGGGCACACCTGTCAGGATCGCTTCTAGCGAACCCCTAAATTTTCTTTTTTTTTTCCAAAAAAAGACTCGGTTCCATGTTCCGTCTAATGTAATCCTTTCAGTTTAAGTTTGAGGTTAAGAAGAAAGGCATTTTTTTCTATGCTGAAGGTGGGCCTTTTCAAATGTTTTCAATAAAAAAGAACAACAAAAAAGAGAAGCAAAAGAAAAAAAAACGCTGCAAGTCCTCCTACAACGGTCAACGAAAAACTCTTTACTCTACTCTCTCATCAAAAGTCAAGGCTATAAATAGAAAGAACTCAGGGAACGGATCTCCACTGGGAAAAGGAAGAGATTGGCTTCTTCCCCCCACGCATTACCGGTCGAAATGGGCTCGTTAATTTGCATAATCCCCGAAGGCCTAATGCATTCTCCAACGGCGGCAAAATGAGCCTTTTAAAATTTGTGAATGTCCGTTTCGACTTTTGCTCTTCATTTTTCTCTACTTCAATATCTGGAAAATGAATAATTTTTGAATCGGATTTGAACTTCTCAAAGATTCGAACAGACATAGTCGCTATCTGCAAAAACGTCTAGTTTTAGAGATTTTAATTTTTCAAATTCCTTGTTTAAGACAGAATTAGGTCCCACTCCCATACATGGGATAAGCATGACTTGTGACCGTCATGCCCCCTCCTGCTCGCAGAAAATTTTTTTTTCCTTGCAAATTTGTCTAGTTCGATAGTACAGAATCCGAAAACAAAAAGCCTTTTTTTCCGATCACTTTTAATTTAGTAGGAAAAGATCGCTTCTGCCAGTCAATTGAGCTTTACAAAATGAAATTTTGATTTTTTTTAAAGGTGTTTGCCAACTCCCCTCTTTTCTCGTTTTTTTGCCAAGTCCCCTCCCCTTTTTCAGGTCCCACCGAAACTATCCCATGTATGTTCACTCCGCGACGAAATTCATGTTTATAAAACTTGAAGCTTGCCCAGATAGCGACAATGTGTGCTCGATTGAAAACTTGAGGGTTCACTTAAGCAAATTTACCAGGGTCCTACACTTTGACCTTTGATTTTTTTTCTTTTTTCTAGTCTTAAAATGGGCTGTTTTCAATTCCTGTAAATGTCTACACTTCATTTTCGCTCTTTTCAAAAGGGTTTATCACGTGTTTAAGGCTTTTTTTAGACGTTTTATATAAAGTATAGACAATTTTCCATACTGAAATTAGTAGATTTGGTTAATTCCTACCAAGGTCATATCCCTTGACCTTTGATTTTTCCTTTTTTCCTTTTCTAGCATTGAAAAGAGCTATTTTCAATTCCTGTAAACGTCTGAACCTCATTTTTCTCTTTCAAAAGGGTTTCTCACGTGTTTCAGGCATTTCTACACGTTTTATGTAGAGCTTTCAGTTTTCAGTACTAAAACTAGTAGATTTGGTTCATTCCAACGGCTTCGATTTCAAAACAGAAGCGCTCTCACCGGAAATTCCCAATTCCAGTAGGTTTTGATTTCTCCATTCTTCAATTGGAACCTATCACATTACACCAATGGGAAATTCGCCATTTCAGAATACCCTCCCATTCAAAATCTCAGCATTTTTCGCTAATTTTTCTTACAGAAAGAAAAAAAAAACGTAAGTTGGCTCCGAAAAAATGAGGATAAAGAACGTGCAATGAATAATTCGGAGCATAACTTGACTCAGAAAAAAGGTTCAAAAAATAGAATTTTTGGAAGCTTTTTTTCATTTTAATTTTTTCGAATTCTTCCGAAGTTTGAAATATCAAAACAGCGCTCTAAAACCTCTTTTTTTCACTGTCCTAGGTGTTATATTTTTAGTCCTGGCCATTACTACATCAATTAATCCCATACCCAGCAAATCTCCTCCAACAAAGGTGATAGTATTATATCTGAGCTATTTGGAGAACTAATATTTTTTTTATCAATGGAGCAATATTTATTCCTCCTTTCATTTCATATGAAGCTTCTGCGTTATATATTCAGATTCAAAGTTTGATCATTGAGCCGAAATTTTTATCGATAGCGTCATTTAAAAACCGCGTTCGGCAATTTTTTCTTGCTTAAAGTATTCCTTTTCAGTACTAAACTCATTGAGACCTACTCTTTTCATAATCTTCTTCGAAGACGTCGAAGTTTGAGGGTTTTTTGAGCCGTCCGCCGTCGTCCGCTGATATTAATAATATCGGGCACACCGCCCGCAGGGCTTCTTCTCCTCCACAACTTCAGCTTCTTCTTCTTCTTTTTATGCTTTTCCAGAAGCCCTGCCGAATCTTTTTTAGTACAGCGAGAACCTTTTTTCTTCCTTACTGGTTAATTTTAACGGAATAAAGTTTCACGTCGACTAGGAAGTCTAATTTTCTCATTTTTTACGTGTCCGTGTGGAATTTGACACGGAAAAAACTTTGAAAATTTTTTAGGTCTTCTAGCTTTTTTTGTTCAGTTTGATTAAAGCATGATCTTTCAGGGGGGCTTTTTGGATTGAGTTTTTTTGAGTGGATAACCCTCAGCATTTTATTTTTTTAAATTCTTTTTTTATTTTCTTCTCTTTTTCTGAACTTTCCAAATTAAAAAATATGGAGCTATCTTGAAAATATTCCCATTTCTTCCTTCCTTGTACCTGTTGTGTTGCTATATTTGCAAATAACAATCGTATAGTTTAATTATAACTTATTTATCACTACAGCTTCCATTATAATATCAGTATATCCTATTTCTATTTTTAATGAAACAAAGAATGTCTGAGTTTTTTTCTCCGCTTTTTTTATGATAATAAAATTGGGCCGAGCTCATAAGAACAGCCTATAAAACTTGATTAGAAAACTCGATTCTTGTTCCGAAGTCGAAAAAATTTGAGTTCATAAGTCTAGGTTTGGAATTATTTAGTGATCTTTCTAGGGGTAGAAAAAAAAATAGCCTCGAAGTGAAAAAAACTTGTTTTATGCACTTTAACACTCAAAAATGTATTTTTTCACTTCTCACGGTATAATTTTGCACTGAAATTTTTTTTTCAAACAAGTTTTCTCAACAAAATTAGATCTAGAAGGAAACGAAAAGACTATTTTTCTTTGTAAATTTTGACAGATCCGGAAAAAAAACAAGTGTTTAGGCCACTAACGAACGAAATCGAATAGGCGCAAAAAAGGAGAAAAAAAAACCAAGGGAAAAAACCCATAAAACCCATTTCCGGTGTTTTCTCCGTTTGGAAGATTTCCAATCCTTTCAATTGACCCCTCGGCTCACTTTTTTCTTTATTAGTTCAGTTCACTTTTGATGAGTTTCGGTTCAAAAATGAGTAGTAAGGAGGATTATTCGCTATACGAATAGGTGTTTTTTTCTTCTTTTTTTTTGAATTTTGATTTTTGATTTTTTAATCATTTTTACGCTTCGTTTGTGTTCTGATCACAGTCAGTTTTATGAAATGATCTCAAAGTTCTGATAATGCTAAATTTTCTGATGATTCGTTATTTTTTTTATGAAATATGAATAACTTTGAGGTTCTGGTACCGTTTTTTCTCTTTCCTTTATTTATTTTCTCATTATTTTTCTCACAAGCCTAATCTCTTCCGATAAAGTGAAACTGTTTTCTCGATCTGAATTATTTTCTGTATTATTTTCGATTTATTTTTAGTTTCTCAAAAAAATTCTTCATACTTTCATCAATTTTATCACAAGCCTGGCCTTTTTGATCTCTTTGAATCAATGTTGCTGATTTTTTCAATTTTTTCGTTCCATTTCACGTTCAAAAAAAAAATCAAAAACCATCACCAGTTTTCAGATGAAGTGCCTATTCGCCCTGTTTTTCACTGCCCCAATCGTCAACTGCGTCCAGTATCCATGGACTTTTGACAACGACTTATTTGGAGGTTAGTTTGATTTTTTTTTATTTAGTGAAAAAGGTATCATCTTGGAACCTGAGCATACAAGGGATAGTCTCGGTGGAACCTGAAGAAGGGCGGGACTTGCCAAAAAGAAAATAAGGAAAGGCGCGGAAGGGGGTGTTGGCGAAAAACCCTAAAAAAATTTTTGGTCAGAAGCGATTTTTTTACTTTAAAGTGATCGGAAAAAAAGAACTTTCACATCTTACGGCGTCAACCTTTAATTCGATATATTAACAACAAAAAAAAATCTTTTCTTTAAAATCAGAAAAAAACTTTTTTTTAAATCGAAAAATCTTTAAAATCAGGACTTGGCTGTCTCCATCATGCTCATCCCATGTATGAGCCTGAAGCTGAAAATTTCTAATAGAGACTAAAAAAAGGTCAAAAATTCAAATAAAATAAAAGTTAAGATTAAAAAAACTAAAGTTTGCGGAAGTTTCTCAGCGGTTATATTTACACCATAACCTGCGCTCTATGGATAATGGAAAGGAAAAATTTTTTTCGACAGAGTGAAGTTCTCGAAAATTAAAAAATCGACATGTATTATTGATTAAAAAAACAGAGAAGGTAACAATTTTTCTCCAATTTCTTTTCAAAAATATTTTTTTATTTCCGACTTTAATTAGGTTTGATAATTTCTATATTAAAAAGAGAGAACTTTACAAAAAATGTTTGAAGTGAAAAAAAAATCGCCTTGAAACGCGTTAGAATCTAGCATCTGTAACGGAAATTCGAATTTCCACAGGGGCTCGAGGAGAAAAAAGGAAAATATAAAATCGAGTGAAGAAACTTCGGCTGTTTTCTTCCTTCACCCTCCTCGCAAAAACGGCTTCTTCTACAGCTTCAATGTGTACAAGTTGTTGTTTTTAGGCTCCCAAGGAGGAAAAAAAGCTATTAATATTTTGTCGGATCCAAAAAATGAGCCCCCTCTGACACTAGTTTTTCTTCACGTTTTCGCCTATCTGGCTTCAAAATTTTGTATTTCGTAGGCTTCTAAAGTTTTTGAGCAAGCTGAAAATGAGAAAGCTCAAGTTTTTGGTCTCTGTGAATATTCTGAGCCTCAAGCTTCTAGATTTATTATTTCTTACTGATTCGAAATATTTAAAAATATGAAAAGACCTATTTTTGAGAAGCTGATACTCAAATTTAATTCTGGTGCTGCAGCTAGAAAGTAAATAGTTCACGTTCATTTTTGAAATTATGTTGAAAAAAACTATTTTTTTATATCTGATCCTTGCGATGTTGAGCCGCTGAAATTTTTTTTTTTCAACGAAAAAGACATCCAAGAAATTTGTACCAACTACATTTTTTGGCTATTTTCTTAGCAAACTTCTTATTTTCCTCTCCCATTTTTGGCGTTCATTCATTGTTAAGCCTTATTCTTTATGCGCACATCATCTAGCCAAGCTTTTTCCATATTCCTAGAGCTATTTCGCTTCAAAACCACCCCGAAATTCAATCTGAAACGGCGATAACCAGGTGAAGCTTGGGAGCAATTAGATGCGCCGGGCTTCTGCCACACGCTTTGACCTCCTCTCAAATGTCGCGGAGGTTTTTGGGAGCAATCGTCGAGCATTTCCTGCAATTAACACAAAGTGCTTCCTCCTCTTCGTGTGTCCATCTTTTGGGCGTGTGTGTGAGAGTCTTCGCAACACACGTCTGGCATCATTTTCAGTGATATTGTATTTTTTTAAAATTTTTTTAGAAATCATAAAAAAACTCCTCTGATGAAGCTTGGGTATAGACTTTGTCTTTTTTTGAATTTTTTTCAAAAATATAAAAGGTACTTTTTGTCTTTAAACTCAACGATAGGAGCCGAAATTTTTAAACACGATCATGTTTTAAAAATTTTTTTAAAAAGTTCAGATCAAGTGCAAATTTTTAGTTTCCCATGTGTACTTTAGGTCTGTACGACCAAATTTTCCTGTCGAGATTTTTTTCTTCAAAACCTAATATAGCTCTTGATAAGATTTTAGATCAAGAATTTCAACTCATTTTTTCTATGGAGCGCAAAATCCGCATCTAAGACGGCCAATTTTTTAATTTACAAAATAAAATGACGGCTCTTTTCTTTTGCACTTCTTAACACTACTATCATCATCGCGATAATCCCTATAACACGTATTTTTCCAAGAAAATGTTCAGGAGCAAACTTTAATCATAAAAAAATTATAAATTATTCAACATTTGATCAGAAACTAACAATAAGAGCTGCTTTCACATTCCTTATTTTTCCCGGGCCTTCAAAATTAACCAAATCAAGGATTCTCAGCCCTATTCGTGGCTTAGCTTCGCTCAGTTTTTTTTCAGAGCTGTTCGGAGTTTTATCTATTCACCTGAATTCTTAAACATGTGTGATAACCGATTCGAGCGGGTATTAAAAATTGAAAAAGTGGAGGAAGGCGAATGAATGAAAAGGATGGCTGATGTTCCCACGATCATCTGTGTGTGCCTTCCACGCGAGCTTCTTCTTCTTTTTCTTTTTCTACTTCGTCTTCACGCATTCATCTTCTGAATATTCTGAAGCCCTCGGCCAGTCTTCGTCTCATCTAAACTTATCTTTCATAAGCCTTGGAGCTTCAAAAAATTGCAGATTTTTTTTTGAATTTTTACCGAGGCCTCAAGCTTTTCTAATCTCTTCATGACTAGACCGCTGTAAAAATTTTCAGTTTGTCATTTGACATTGATTAATACATACTGTTACTATCTCGAGCTACGAGTACGCGTCTGGCTTCAGGAACTGTCGGTTGGGGGTGTAGCTCAGTGGTAGAGCGCTCGCTTTGCATGCGAGAAGTCCGGGGTTCAATCCCCCGTACCTCCAGAATTCTTTTGCAGAATTTCGAATTTTTTTTTTCTAATTTTGTGGAACAAGCAGCACTTGTCTTGGAGATTTCTAACGGAGAGACATAAACTATCCGCAAAATATTGAATTTCTGCCAACAAGAATAAAAACCAAAAACAACCGAGAAATTGTGGTTTTCTCTCTCGGAACTCTCTTTGGCTTGTAAGATTTGGGAAAGTGTATGAATAGAAGCTGCTTGATTCTTTTTTATTCGATTTTTTCAATGTAGCATTTGTAATTTTAAAAGAGCTTGGAGATTTTCTCACGTAGAAAACCGCCAAAAATGAACTTTTCTTTAAAATTCTGAATATTCTTAAAAATTAAATTGAAAAATGCATACCTGATTCCATAAACAAATTCATACCTGGTCCCAAAAGCTGGTTGATCCTTCGTTATTTGATTTTTTCAATGTAGCGCGTTTGTGATTTTAAAAAAGCTAGGAGATTTTCTCACGTAGAAAACCGCCAAAAATAAATTTTTCTTTAAAATTTTGATACATTTTTGAAAAACAAAATAATACCTGGTCCCATAATCTTCAGAAGGACATTTTTTTCTCCTTATGTTAAACTCCCAAAAGACGTATTTGCGTTGGCGCTCAATGCGATTTGCAAGGCAATTTCGCAGTGTATTTCACAAATTTCGGCCTCCCACTCTACCTTCTTCTACTTCATCGCTCATAGCATGCAAATACGATTTTTTTAAAAAAATATTTATTTGAATTAAAAATAATTTTTCTCTTTTTTTTTTTTTCAAGTTGCAAGTTCATTTCCGTTGCAAAAATTATTCATCAACATCCTTGCTTCTTCTTCCTCTTTTTTTCTCCTCACTCCTAAAAATAAAAAAATTGAAATCTACAGCTTTTTTTCGAAGGGCTCTGTGAGCTCATCGTCTAGAAAAAAATTATTTTTTTGAACTTTTTCAAAGGGGATTTCAGGCAAAATATAGATCGTCTATCCAAACATTATCTCTTTAGAAAAATCGTATAGTATCTGGCAAAAAAACATTAGCGCAAGACTTTTCGTTATTAACCCAATTGTAGGCCAATTCCAAGGCGAATTCCTAAGAAATGCCGCCATCCGTTGCACTAACAAGGTTCGACGGCTCGTTTTTTTCTTCTTTTCACAAAAAGAAGAACATTTTTCGACGTTCCTTCTTTCCAAGTAAAATTCCTGTTTTCAAACAGTTTTGCGCCTTCTGTAACTCATGAGAATTCCATTTGAAGCTTCGAATTTCGTAAAAAAAAATAGCGCAAAAAAGGGCAATCTTCTTCGCCTACAAATCCCGCGAACTAATCCAAAATTCAAAACGCTTTTTTTTTCATTTCACGTGTACTTTTCTCAGATTCATCCCAATATTTTATTCTAGGAATCGTTGATCACATCTGGTTCTTTCAAATATGTTGATTTGAAATAGGCTGCCGCTTTTTGTCCGAGGTTCACTAAATGTAGAGTTATTCATTTGTTGCTGCTTCTGGGCCTGCTTTCTTACTAGGGAACTTCCAGCCAAAAGAAGGAGAAAAACAGAAGTTTAATAACTTTCAAGCCTAAACTGCACATTTTCAACAGGCTTTTTCTCAGAAGCCTATGGTGTTTAGCAGATAGTCTCTCTTGTTTCCCAGTATTCTTACCCGGGTCTATAAGCCACCAAAGTTTCAACTCGAAACGCGTACCCGAGTCCGTGTAGATCCCTAGTTAGGCCATGAAGCAAGCCTTCTTTTTGGTGTCAAAAATATGAAATATGCAAATTGGTGGTCACTCTTAGTGACGAGCAAAAATTCGCACGTTTCATTGTTTCTCCTATTCCAGTTACTTGCCTAGCAACACCTCTAGGGCTTCCAAATTTCGAAAAGACCAGTTTTGAAACGTATTTTTACGACTAATTGTGTCAGAATTTTGTGTTCCGCTCGTAAAAATAGCTGGCTCTCGAAACTTTTTCTAGCAATCAAAAATCTTTAGTTTATAAATCGGATTACGGCCCGCATAGTAATTGTCTCGCCTCGAACTTGCTCCAAGGACAAGTCAGTTAGAAGTTCAAATATGGCTCTACTTTCTCTTCAAAAAGCTCCAGGTCAACTTGGACCGTTTCTGCGTCCGACTTGAAGCGATTTGAGCGCTTTACCAAAGTGTTAGAGTAGGCGAAAAGTCAGTTATAAGTTTAAATGTGGCCCTACCTGCTCTTTGAAAAGCTCTAGGTCAACTTGGACCGTTTCTGCGTCCGACTTGAAGCGACTTGAGCGCTTTACCAAATTATTAGAGAAGGCGAAAAGTCAGTTATAAGTTCAAATGTGGCCCTTCTTTCTCTTCAAAAAGCTCCAGGTCAACTTGGACCGTTTCTGCGTCCGACTTGAAGCGATTTGAGCGCTTTACCAAAGTGTTAGAGTAGGCGAAAAGTCAGTTATAAGTTTAAATGTGGCCCTACCTGCTCTTTGAAAAGCTTCGGGTTAACTTGGACCGTTTCTGCGTCCGACTTGAAGCGACTTGAGCGCTTTACCAAATTATTAGAGAAGGCGAAAAGTCAGTTATAAGTTCAAATGTGGCCCTTCTTTCTCTTCAAAAAGCTCCAGGTCAACTTGGACCGTTTCTGCGTCCGACTTGAAGCGATTTGAGCGCTTTACCAAAGTGTTAGAGTAGGCGAAAAGTCAGTTATAAGTTTAAATGTGGCCCTACCTGCTCTTTGAAAAGCTTCGGGTTAACTTGGACCGTTTCTGCGTCCGACTTGAAACGACTTAAGCGTTTACCGGAGTATTAGAGAATGCGAAAAGTCAGTTATAAGTTCAAATACGGCCCTACTTTCTCTTCAAAAAGCTCCAGGTCAACTTGGACCGTTTCTGCGTCTGACTTGAAACGACTTGAGCGCTGTACCAAATTATTAGAGCAGGCGAAAAGTCAATTATAAGTTCAAATATCGCTCTATTTGCTCTTTGAAAAGCTTCGGATTAACTTGGACCGTTTTTGCGTCCGACTTGAAACGACTTGAGCGTTTACCAAATTATTAGAGCATGCCACAAGTCAGTTATAAGTTCAAATACGGCCCTACTTGTTCTTCAAAAAGCTCCAGGTCAACTTGGACCGTTTCTGCGTCCGACTTGAAGCGACTTGAGCGCTTTACCAAATTATTAGAGCAGACGAAAAGTCAATTATAAGTTCAAATATCGCTCTATTTGCTCTTTGAAAAGCTTCGGATTAACTTGGACCGTTTTTGCGTCCGACTTGAAGCGACTTGCGCTTTACCAAAGTATTAGAAAAGGCTTCAAGTCTTTCCACTTGCGAACATTGTTTTAAAACTGATCGATGTGTTAAAGTATCTTTCGTACTAATTCAAGCGAATCAAGTGTTCTTTGGAGTTTAAAAAAACGGTTCCAGGATGATACCATGGCTGTTGACAGCCTGCATCTACCCATGTGTTATAGGGCCGGACTTTTGGGGCCTTTTGCACGGCGACTGGAGAATGTGTACAAGCGGTCAAATGCAATCCCCAGTGAACATCGATCCGGCTCATCTGCTCTTCGACCCAAACTTGACCAACATGGTCGTCGACAACAATGTTGTGGGTTTCTTTTTTCACCTTCCTTGTGAAGTAGCACTCTAGAAAGCTCAATTTTTCTGATCAACATTTTTGAGCTCTCGAAAAGGTTTTGATACTTATCCTGCTTTTTTCTGTAAGAGAACCCTTCGAAACAACTTTTTGAATGGGAAAATGATTTCTATGGGTAAAGTAATCTCTTTCACGGACAATTTTTAAATTAAAACAAATTTTTTCAAATTGAAAACATACATGGGATAGTCTCGGTGGAAAATGAAAAGGGGGGAGGGGCACATGGCAAAAAAAGCGAGGAAATGGGGGTGGTTGGCAAAAAAACCGTAAAAAAAGAACTTTCACATCCTTGGGTGTCAACCTGTAAGTCGATAAATTAACAAGAAAAAATATTTTTGGAACGCAAACTTTTATCCCCCCCCTCCGTTGAAATTCTGATGTAACTTAGCTTGAGTGCACGTTAGAGTCCTTCCGAAACAAAAAAAAATTCTCGCAATAGGTCTGGTTTTCAATTTGAAAACCTTCAAAAGCTTGAAATGGCGCCTTTTTTCGGACTTTGAAGCATCATAAATCGAAAATGAGATCTATTGCGAGAATTTTTTTTGTTCTGGAATCTAAAGTACTCCTGAGCATCATCAAAAAGTTCAACCAGGGGGAAGTTTTCAAATTAGCTTTACAATCACTCGGCTTGTTTTTTTCTATAAATTTCGTTCCTGCGAAAATTTCCCTTCAATATTTTTTCATAAGTTTTTTTTTTACCACCTGAAGCTTCATTCCTTCAAGTCTAAACTCGATTTTCAAAATTCTAAATTCAAGGTCGAAGCAGTTTTCGAGAACACTGGTCAATTACCAATGGTAACAGTGAAAGATACGCCAGCAAGGCCCACAATCAATATAACTGGAGGCCCTGGAATGCCCTATCGGTATAAATTGCATCAGGTAATGTTTCAAAAGTATCAATTTTGAGTTCTAAAGACTTTAATTACAGATAACCGTCCATTTTGGGAGGGCAGACGAAGGCGAAAAAGGCTCCGAGCACACGGTTGACAGGGTTCGATTCCCAGCCGAGGTTCGCTTCATCTTTTTTTGGACCTTTTTGGAAGTAATTCCATTTCCAGGTCCAGTTGTTGGCCTACAATAGCGATCTTTACGCGAATTTCTCAGTTGCAATGACGAGTCCACGTGGACTTCTTGCCATCGCCGTCATTGTTGATGTACGTTTCTTAAAATTGATATAACTTTTTTTTGTTTTTCACATCAGTTGGCCGCGCTAATCTTATCAATACAAATTTGATATACGCTTTAATTTGAACCAGAAATCAGGAATAGTATAAATCCTCTTCCATGGAAAATGATTTTTTGAATTTTTCGAAAAGGCTTTTTTTGAGGTGAATCAGTTGTCGAGCTAACCAGGTAATGGTCTCTCGCCTAAGTTTTCTAGGTGTAGTTTTTAATTCTGATCACAAATATGGTCTTAAAAACGGCGCGGAGGTCTGTGAAAAAATTTATGGACTCTCTAAAGTCGAAAGTTTCACTGTCTCCGATTGAGCTCATTTTTTGAGCTTATATAAATCTCGTTCTTCTGATAATACAGAAAACATTATTTTTCTGGAAAAAATTTTGAAACAACGTAAAAACTAAATCTAGTACAGTTGGTCTTATTCAGAAGTTCCCCTTCGACCAGAGACAATTTGAAGAGGAATTCGTGAAAATCAGTTACTTAATATTCTTAATAAAGGCGTATTTTACTGATATACCTAAACTTAAGTACTAATAAAAAAAAATCTCGACTCGAATCTGGCAGTCCCAAGTTTGATTTTGATTTGTGAATCAAGTCGTAGGGACTTATCGAGTTGAGCAAATCAGAGGAGCTCTGACTTTGGCAGTCCTCAGAGCAGTACCAAAATTGAGGAAAAAATGAAGACACTTGATTTAATAAAATTAGATTTTAGGCACTTTAGCAAAATGGTTAATGAAAATGAAGCCGTTAGCAAGCTTTAAACTCATTTTACAATTTTAGATCGGCCCTCAAACGTCTGTAGAGCTTCGAAGACTAACCGTCGCTTCACAAAGCATCATTTATAAAGGTTTTTTTTTTCCATATTATGCTTGAAATTACTTATTTGAATTTTAGGCATGAAAGCCAATGTCAGTCACTTGCAACCGGCCTTGCTTCTGCCCAGAACTTCACAATATGTCACCTACGAAGGATCTCTGACCTATCCGGGGTGCCATGAAACCGTCACTTGGGTCATCATGAACAATCCGATTTATATCACGAAAGAAGATGTGAGGAAAATCATTGCAAAAAGACTTGGAATAGAATATTTTCACTGATTTTCCCCTTTTTTCAGCTTCAAATATGGAATGAACTCCAAAAAACAGAGTCGAAAAGCTCGGAGCCGTCCTTCATGACGCCCGCCTACAGACCATTGAGATCCTTGAATGGCCGACTTTTGAGGACCAATATTAACGTTGGATATCGGGTTTGTTAGCTTTAATTTTTCAACAAGGTATAAATATTTATTGGAAAAGTGAAGGAAGAATATGTGAGCCTTCATGAGAACTTTTTGATTGAAATTGGCGCACTTTATAAAAAGGTCATTATACTTTATGAAGAAGAGTTTTCCTAGAATTTGATAAGATTACTCCTTGATATCGCAGGTAAAGGCAAAACACCTTAAGTTTCAGAAAAGAGGGCACAGAGGTTGATGGTTTTCTTCAACTTTAAGACATTTTTCTTTGAAAACTAGAAATTTTCGCGTTTAGTAAGACTTTCAGAACCTTTATCTAGTACTTCTATAAGAATCGTGACAATTTTCAGGAATTTTCTGACAAAAAATAAAAAACGACTTTTCTTGTGAACACCTCCTAATTTCCTTTTACTGAAAGGAAAAAATTCTCGCAGTAGATTTTTTCTTCGGGTTTTATGAATCTGCGAACTACATTAATAATGAACGTTATTTGACGGAAGTAACTCGAAAAAAAAAAAATCTGTTGCGAGAAATATTTTGCTTTTTCTGGAAGCAGGAGGTCCTAGAGTACGTTTCAGCCAAGTCCGATCAAAATTTCAACCGGGACCCAGGAGAGATTCCTTGTTAGAATTCAAATTTTTCAGGAAAGTTCTTCGGCTTCTTGTCCTTCAAATATTTACGTCGAAATGGGCTACCGAGCGAATCCGGCAAGAACAAAAAGAAACGATTCCTTGCCGAAAAGGACGATCCGCGCCAGCGAAGTCTTCGAAATCGACGACATCCGACCCGTCAACGAGGCCTACGACTCTTTCTGAGCAAACTTGTGCTGTACATTGAATCTCGGGTAGTTTTCTGCACTTTCCAGAAAAAAATATATTTATTAATTTGAAAAAAAGCCTTTCTCTCATGCTCACTTATGTCCTTGCTCCTGACCCTTTTGGAAGACTCGGCTCACTGCTAGATCGTTTCAGAATCTGGCTAGCCGTGAACTGAGTATCGTGCCATTATTCACTTCAAATCGCCAAAATTGTATTATAATTGTGTTCCATGACACGGGTTTCTGAAGAGAAGCTTTATGAAAAAAATTACACCGAAAAAAAAAGAATAAAATGTTCTTATTTTCACATTTTCAGGCAAGAAAATGTTCATGAAAGAAGGACGAAGAAGAAGAAATTTTCAGGGCAAGCAAAAGCAAAAGACGCAAAATTTCAAAGCTGATAGGCCTTGCCAAACCTCAGGTTGAAGAACTTTTCAACGTTGAAGCGTTGACTATTACTTTGAAATTTTCAATTTTAAAATCGGATTTGTAAGCTAGATAATTTGAGAAGCTCTTATTCCGCTCTCGTTAACACGCTGTCTCTATAAAAAAAGGCGCGCGTTCGGTGCGATTTTGCGACATGATGGGTATCACAAAATTTTTTCAATCAGGTATTTTTTGGTAGCTGATGACCTAACACATCTTTTAGAGAGGTAACTTAACGGCAAATAACTATTGATGTTTTTTTCTTTTTCAGTACATACCCAAGATGGTATGTACTGAAAAAGTTCCTAGAATTGCATTACCTATCGATTGATATACAACTTGCTTAGAGAAAACTTGTCAATTCTTAGATACGCAGGTGACCACCTTCCTACCGTAACCCGGTTACGGTTGGAGGAAATGGCTCTAAAAATCGTTTCTGCAATCCTGACGTCATATGATAACACTGGTTGAAATTTCATCGAAATCAAAAAATATTTTTTTTTTCTGTTCTGCTGTTTTTGAGAAAATTTCGAAAATTACAGAGACAGCGTGTTACTGGGATAAGTTTTAGGG